GCTACACAAACGGAGGAGCATGCACCTCTGAAATTGACACCATGGGGGGCTGACTGCCCGTCTGGGAGGAAGGCCGCAGCCTAGGGACACCTGTGCCTCCTTGGGCACAGCGTGGGTAGGGGCAGCCATCAAGGCTCCTCTGGCTCTGGGATTCTCAGATTCTCTATCCATTCAAGCTCATCTCTAGAAAACTCTTCCACATCCGTTTTCCTACACTGTGCCTGGTCCGAGTTAGCATTTCATATACGGGTGGACAAACGTAGGTTTACAGTTGTAATACAAATAAATAATACAACAATTAATAAATAATCTATCTATATAAAAGCCCAGCAAGCAGATGGTGGAATGACCAGAATGTCCGGAACGACCAGTGGCTACGACACACACTGTGGCATCCAACAAGCCTGATCTAGGCCCCCATCAGGCCTCTCCACTCCCCTCGGCCAGCCTGGCCCCCAACACCCTGATTGGGGGCAGGGCTGGCCAGCCAATGGCCCACAGTCTCTCCTCCCCATCAGCCCAGCCTGATGGGCCCCCATCCGGGTGGGCCGGACAGACACCACCTGTGCACGAATTCATGCACCGAGTCTCTAGTCTAAGAATAAACTCTGTGTTTCATGTACTCACAACTGTAAACCTATTGATACATATATTTATGAGGCACTTGATGATAGGGAGTGGGAGGGATTGTTACTTAAAATGGGTTAACAGTTTTCTCTGTCCTCCAAAGTATCTTCCAAGAATAATTTTGTTCAAGTTGTTTTTTTTTTTTTGTTTTGTTTTGTTTTGTTTTTGTTTTTGTTTTTTTCCCCCGCCAGTAAATTGAAGACCAAAGAAGCACTGTTGGCTATCTGATAGCTCGTATTCTCATTGGTAAAACCTGCCTAGAACAGAGGCAATTCAAACACTGTCCGTTTAGAACACTAGTTAATGGGAGCACATGCATTAGAGGGGAAAACGTCTGTTACAAATTAAACAAGGTAGAAGAAAAAGATTGATTGGGCTACTGAAATATTTACTTACAACTACTGTTTCCATATAGCAACAATGTCTTTAAATATAAAGATGGGGCATGTGTCAGGAGAAACGAATGGGCTGTAGTCTCATCAATTTGAATCCTGAGGATGAACGGTATAGGAAGATCTGGCTTTATGGCGATTGAAGTGGATTTTTTCAAAAGGACCAACACTTTTTCACACTTTTTATCCCAATTATTAACCAAGGCCATCTAAGAAAGTTCTGGACACTGTGTGGGAATGCCATCCTTCCCACCTAAATTGTGGAGCCCTCGGCCCCCACGGATATGCTCTAGTGATTCCTGCGGTCAGGAGTGGGTATGGAAGGTGGTTTACAAACTGCCAGCACCACATCAGTGTTGGGTGAGGGGCCTGAGTCGGCATCTGGGTTCCTAGAAGCCCCCAGAGTGTAGGGTGAGGCCTGGGCCACCCGTCCAGGCAGGGGCAGCGCCGGCCTTCGGAAGACCCGGTAATTCCAGAAAACAGCCCCCAAAGCGCTCCTACACTTCTGAGCCAGCGATTTGAGGCTCCCCGGAGGTCCGGGAAGACGATCGATGCGCTTCTTCTCCCGCGTCTGAGGTTTCTGCGAGCCCGCGGGCAACAGATTGCACCTGTGACTCGGGAAGAGGGACAGAGCGACGCGGAGACGGGCCCGGGACACTCGGTCTTCCAGTCCCGAGGGGACCCAGGCGTCAGGGGCGCCTTCCCCACGGACGGGGACCCGGGTCCTCGGGGGGAGGGGGGGGCGCGAGGTTCCCCGCGCCCTCGTTCCCGGGCTCCGCGGCCCCTCGGGCAGCGGGCGCGCCAGGTGCACGGGTGGCGGCACAGGTACAGTCAGCACCGACGCCGCCGCTTCCCTCCCGCCGCCGCCCCCGCCTACCTGCGTGTACAGCGCGGCCACCGCCATGAGCGCAGGGGCCTGGGCAGCTCGAGGCCGAGACGGGGCAACGGGGTGACCGGGCGACGCGCGGCTCTGAGGCCCGGGAGGCGGCGGTGCGGGGCGCCGCGGGCAGCGCCGGGACGTCCTGCGGGAGAAGTTTCCTGCGGCTCCACCAACTTTCCCAGGAGGGCGGCGCCGATTGGTCCCTCCCGCCCGACTCCTCGCCGCGATTGGCCGGGGCGGGGGCGGGGCGGGGCGCGACCCTCCCCCCGGTGCAGTGGTCCCCCCGCGGGCGGAGCGCCCCTCCAGGAACCAGGCGGAGCGAGGCGCCGCCCGCCCGCGGGAAGCAGGTGCGTCCCGGGTGGTCCCGGCCGCGGCTTCAGCTCCGTAAGCCGCTGCGTGTGTACCGTCCAGAGCAGAAGGGCATGACCATTTCCATAGAAATCCCAGGAGAAGCAACAAACTTGTGAGATCTCGTTCAGCCAGGTGACCATATTCAAAATAAAATATAAAGACGAGTAGCTTTTCTTTATAACCACAATAACCATTTAGAAAATACGAAGTAAGGATAATAGGAAGATAAGGTATGTATAATATCAACGGAAATACGAAATGTCCAGAAATTACACTAACAAAAAAGCACTTGGCCTTTGTGGAGAAAATGTTTAAATTTCCCTTCGTGGGCATGAAAGAAGACCTCAGTAAAATGGGGAGATGTGTGATTTTCATATATGGGAATATTTAATGTTGTACAGGTGTCAATTCTACCCAAATAAATAATATATAAGCGTAATATATTTGGAACAAAAACCCTAGCAGGATTTTTGGGAAATTGTACAATTATTTGACTTTTTTTTTTTTTTTTTAATGGTCAAAAGTCCCATCCTGGTTGAGCACCAGCCTCTGGGAAGTGTGTGGATTGCTGGAAAACTTCTGCAAGATGGCTAAGCCATGTTCTGTAGTTTTCAGTGTACAAGCCTGGCACTTCTTTTACTAACTTGATTCTCAGGCATATTATTCTTTTTCATGCTATTATGGATGTATATAAGTTCTTTTTTAAAATATATTTTATTGATTTTTTACAGAGAGGAAGAGGGATAGAGTTAGAAACATCGGTGAGAGAGAGTCAACGATCAGCTGCCTCTTGCACACCTCCCTCCTACTGGGGATGTGCCCACAACCAAGGTACATGCCCTTTGACTGGAATCGAACCTGGGACCTTTCAGTCCACAGGCAGATGCTCTAACCACTGAGCCATACCGGTCTTTGTTAGTGTAATTTCTGGATATTTCGTATTTCCGTTGATATTATACATACCTTATTTTCCTATTATCCTTTCTTATATAAGTTCTTAATTTCATTTCCCAATTGTTTATTGCTAATATATAGAAATGTAATTGATTTTATATATCTTGTGACCTTTCCTGAATTTATTATAGAAAATTTTTGTGGATTCCTTAGGATTTTCCAAAAAATGTCATTTGCAAATGAATACACTTTTTAAAACTTTCTTTTCAGCGTAGGTGCATTTATTTTCGTATGTGCTTATTGAGTTGGCTAGAACCACCAGCACAATGTCCAGTGGCAGTGGTAAGAACAAATAGACATTCTTGCCTTGTTCTTAACTTAGGGGGGAAAGTATTCTATTTTTGTTTGTTTGTTTTGTGTTTTGTTGTCATTAATTATAAGGTTAGCATTAAGTTCCATACATTAAGTTCCTCTTACTCCTAGTTTGTTGTTTTTTTTTCAATATTGAATGGGATTGATATATTTTTCTCAACCCATGTTTGTTAATCTATAGATAGCAATACAGTTTGGCCATGTTTGCTGTTATTGCTTTTTTGTTTTTTCAATCCAGTTTCACAATCTCTGCTTCTTTTTTTTTTTTTTTAAGATTTTTAAAAAAATATATTTTATTGATTTTGTAGAGAGGAAGGGAGAGAGAGAGAGAGTTAGAAACATCGATGAGAGAGAATCATCGATCAGCTGCCTCTTGCACACCCCCTACTGGGGATATGCCCGCAACCAAGGTACATGCCCTTGACCGGAATTGAACCCAGGACCCTTCAGTCTCCAAGCCGACGGTCTATCCATTGAGCCAAACCGGTTTCGGCTACAATCTCTGCTTCTGGTGGAAGTGTTTAATCCACATGTGTCAAACACAAGGCCCGCGGGCCAAATCCGTCCCGCCAGGCCTTGCAATGTGGCCCGCACCGCGCTGTCATCACTGCACTCCGCTGCATTTCCATCACAATGACAGTTTATGACTGTTCAGTAAACCATTCGGCCCGCGATTTAGGCTGGATTTTAGATTTTGGCCCCTTCTCTGATTGAGTTCGACACCCCAACCCGTTCACATTTAATGTAACCATTGATGTGGTTGGATTTATGATTTTTTATTTTTTTATTTTTATTGATTTTTTACAGAGAGGAAGGGAGAGAGAGATAGAGAGCTAGAAACGTCGATGAGAGAGAAACATCGACCAGCTGCCTCTTGCACACCCCCTACCGGGGATGTGCCCGCAACCAATGTACATGCCCTTGACCAGAATCGAACTTGGGACCTTTCAGTCTGCAGACCATCGCTCTACCACTGAGCCAAACCGGCTTTGGCTGGATTTATGAGACATTTTTTCTATAAGGCTCAGGTCTTTTTTATTCCTCTGCTTCTCTTTTACCAGTATTTGTGGTGATGGATTTTTTTTTTTTTAGTGGACCATTTTAATTCCTACCTTTAAAAGAACTATATTTATTGAGTTAATTTTTTAAAAATCCTTACCCAAGGATATTTTTCCCATTGATTTTTAAAACAAAGTGGAAGAAAGGGATGAGGGAGAGAAACACATCAACTGGTTGCCTCCCACTTTGCCCAAACATGCAACCAAAGTATGTGCCCTTGTGTGCTGTTTAATCTCCAAGTATTTGGAGATTTTTCAACCATTTTTCTTGTCATTGAGTTCTAGTTCAATTCTGTTTTCATCTGAAAGCATACATTATAGGACTTCTATTTTTTAAATTTTAAAGGTGGTCCAGAATGTGGCCTATGTTGGTATATATTCCATGTTTCATGTGTTGTGGATTTATTTATAAGACACCAACAAAAATCCTTTATATCCATATCTTTATTTGAAGAATTTTCTATAATAGCTAGGAGAATACAGCATTAATGACACACATTTACTAAGTACAACATTAGACAACTACAAATTTAGAGCTTAAATGTCAATCTGATATTGTTTTGGTTTCCATCTTAGCACTAGGTGATATATAGTGAAAAACCTATGTTTCAAAGGCTCTTGTTAAAATGAGGTGAATTATTAACTTATTTTTAAAAACTACATGTGAGATATGCTGGGATGGGTTTCTTTTAAACCTAGAGTTGGTTGGTAATTCCTTCATTTCTCAGTACTTCTGCTTCCTTCTTAATGAATACTGTACCTAAAAACTTTTCCAGGTCCAAGAAGAAAACCTGTTTGGAAAATTACAATGTTCAATTTCATTTTAGTTAAACGGTATAACCATTTCACAATAAATTAATAATTTAAAGTTAATAATTAAAATACAATATGTTAAATGTCATGAGCTCATTTCTGTGCAACACTGTTAGAGCAATTAGAATTTCCAACAAAAACGTCAACCTTACTCCAGGACTCCACAGATATACATAGCTAGGAATCATAAATTACAACACACATATCCACATTTAATGTGTAAAATATCAGCATTTGTTGGGAAAAAAAATAAATGGCTCAAATGATTTAGAAAGCCTGAAATGTGAGCTAAAATCTTACAATATACGGCAACAATAAGACATTTGAAATTATTGACTCTGAAAAATGCTTTAAAATGTACTCACCTACCAAGCATTGAATTATACATTCCAGTTTCAACTCAAAAACATTTTTCTTTCAAATAGTTCAGGCAATATTACAGTACTAAAAAGGTTAGTCATTTCAGATATTTATGACTCTACTAACACCCATTAAGTTAAGCTAATGAACATTTTAGCTAGACCGAATTATAAAATTAAAAAATGTATAGAACACATTTTGGCAGATATGTCACACAGTACTTTTCTGTTCCTGATCTTCTGAAAACCCACTAACTCCAGGCTGATTTAATTTAGGGTAATGCAATGGGTTCAAATTTATAGCACTTTTTCTGGTTTTCAACCTTTTATAGTACCGGGTTCTTAAAAAATATTTTTAAAGAATGCCCATGAAAAGTTTTACAGTGGTACTCTTTACCTTTATTTATTAAGAAAAGGCTGGTGGAAAACAAGCCATTTAAATACTACCAAAAAATCTAACATTTCTTCCATATGTTCATTTGCTTACTTGTGACACAGAGTCCTCCCACCCCTAGACCCCCAAACTCAGGAAGGCTTTCTAAGTCCACATTCCACCGACTCTGAGATTGTTGCTGCCTCAGAGTTTTACTACCTGTTCGGAAATAACAGAAAAGAAAGGAAGAAGGAACAGGTGGGGGAGGAGCATGCAGACTCTGGGAAAGGAATTAGTGGTTGGAGGCCACACCCAACCAAAACCCTCACAAGACCTTGAGAAACAGGGCTTGATATTCTCTCCAGGCAAGACATCCCTGTACAGAGGAAAAGTTTTGGAGAACTTAAGGCAGCTCCAGGAGGGAAGGGAGCAGGGGTTAAGGCGGCCCTCACAGCACGGCCTGAGAAGAAATGACGATGCCCTTATCCACGAACGGAGGCCACAGCAACACACAGCCTCCCTAACACACATGCATACAGCACACCTCCTAGCCGCAAAGCAGACACTGGCAGCATGCACACACAGTAACATCTAAGCACACCCTGACTTGTGCACGGCCAGGCGGGGGATGACTCTCAGAAGCACCCATGGGCCTGGCCTGCAGCTGCAGGTTCCCCAAGGGCTGCCCAGCTCCCTGGTGGCTCTCACAGCTCACCTGTTGGCTCTAACGGAGGGGGTGTGTGGAGAGTGACCTTCCTCATCACTTTGGGAGGCGTTCACTGCTTTCCGTCAGGCTGAGACAGCCTGCTACTAATTAATGACCTACACACAGAGCCGTTGCACCCTGCCAGGGAGCACTGGGTAATTACAAAGCCACGCCTAGTGGTAGCAGGCAACTGTGACAGAAAGAAAACCACTGGCTCTAGGCGCTGTCTCGTCAGCAAAAAGAAGTCGGCATTGCTCATTGCTCAGCTCCCATATGCCAGCTGCCAACTCTAATAGAGAGAACGAGCACCTCTTGCTGACCCGGGGCCCCCCATAGGTACTGAGGAACAGATGTGACCCCAGGACTTGCCGCTGCTGTGGGGAGAGCTGCTGGGCTGGAGGGCTGCGGGACCTACCACCCACATCCCATCAGCAGATGACTTAGCCACAGTTCTACCCTCCGGTGCTGCTGTGAGGATGCAGTGAGGTAAGAGAAAGCACGCTGGAGGAAAGCAGAGCCAATGCGAGGTATGTTCTAAAGGAGAATTTAAAGGTCAAACACTAATTGTTGCTGTTTTATCCTAAGTAGTTGAAGTTACCCAGAGGATACTTGATTATGCCTCCTGGGCAACTCTATGAACTGGTGATTGTGTGTTTGAGAGAGAGAGTGAGAGACTTCTCAGATGGTGACAGTTGCCTCTTTACCTAGGGTTACCAGGAAAGTAGTTTCTCTACAGTCACTGTACTGAGATTCTATTAATAAAATATTTTCATAGTTTCCCCCACTGTTATGAATAGATTTGCTCTATATTATACACTATTACCCCGAAAGAGCCAACTCTCAATTATCCACTGAAATAAAGCAAATCATACTAACTGATCCCAACCCCCACATCTCCTTGAAGTTGGCTTTGGAATATATAGATATGTACTTTTATCCTGGCAAAAAAGTGTCAGGTACATGGGGATTTTTCAAATCTTCCAAAGAAATCATGAAGCCACATTTGTGGATCTTATACCATATTCTTCTTTCCCCATCATTGTACAATAGTTACTCTCAGGTGGATCAAAGCCTTACCCTAAGAAAAGCTACAAGAAGGGAAACTGCTTCTTATTTTTCAACTTTGAATTCCAAGGTGCGAGCTAATCTAGATGTGAGCGAGCGGGGAGTTGAGTAGGGAGAAGGGCTTAAGACAATGAACTGCTATTCTTTCAAGATCTTTGAATTCCTAATGTGTGTCACAGAGGAATTATGAAAAAGTAAATTGGTGATAATGTTAAAAATGTACTACAGAGGAGAAGAACAAGTTTTACAGATTAGCCTCCAGGTAGACCACCAGGCGGGCCAGGGGGCAGCTGAGGACTGACAACATCCACTGCTGCCTTCAATGCAGTCAGAGCAGAGATGGAATACACGATTGCTTGACGGAATAGGGGGAGCGAACAGACAAAGGGGCAGGTGGAAGCTGCTGGAAGTGTGTGCAGCTGCATGAGAGTGTGGATGGACAGGGCGGGTGAGCAGTCCTCAGAACAGGGTTGCATCCTCAAGTAGCAGTCGTTACCAGGCCATGGGGCCCCTCCATCAGGTACTCTTGTCAAGACCAAAGGTCTTCAGGCTGCTAAGAGAAGTGAATTCCGACCCCCCACCTGGGTCCTGGGAGCCTGGAGCCCCGGAACAGCAGAACTCTGTGGCCGTCCCTGAACAGGCCCTCCGGCCCAGCAGGACAGCAGTCCGGGCAGAGACCAAGGCCTCGACGAGAGATGCTTCAGGACATGAGCTGTCTGGGAGCAGGAAAAGGGGCTGCAAGGCAGCAGGAGCCACGGCGCATCTTGAAGACCTGACGAGACTGAGGGTCGCGTGGACATGCTGCACAGGACTGAGCTGGGGAGGTCGGGGGCTTCGGTGGACAGCCTACCGCTGGTGGCATTTTGTGGTGAGCCTCTCCCCACTCAAGTCCCCCTCACGCTCTTAGACTATGACACATTCAGTACGAACCATCTGGTTATAAGTTCATTGTTCACTGAAAACCAGTGACAAACCAAAAACTGAGAGAATCTGATTGAATTAGTAATGTTTTGGGTTGGTTTTGCAAATAAATGTATCCAATTGAATACCACAGTATGTGATTCAATAAAAATCACCTAGACCTATGAATTTTCTAAAAGCATGGACACAGATCATGCACATTGAAGAAGAGTTATAACTAACCAGACTTGTGACAGTTTTATTAATCCCTCAGACTTAACAGGCACTGAACACTGGTCTCTACATCAGAGGATAAACTTACTGAGGAACTACAGCTCATTTCTCTAAGATCTGAGCGCCGAGAGGAGAGAGGTTAGACGTGGAAGGGATCTTAAGAGTCAGTTGTCCAATCCTCTTATTTATAAAAGAGGAATCTGAGACCCAAATAAGTTAACAGATAGTATTTATCTTTTAATAAAGTCTTTATCACTAGTTCTAAACTGTTTGACTTCCATTAATAATATTGCACATATTTTAATAAGATGCATTTTTATAAACCATCTGGGAGTTAAATTATATAAATCTATGATTGCAATGAAGAACCAGAGTTTCTGATGAAAGCCAAGGAATTCTATTTGCACAATATGAAAGCTTTATGTATAAGATTTTTAAGGAAAAATGAAGAGTATGTTTAATTAAAATTTAGGGATGAAAACATAGAATCTGGGTCTTATGAAGCCCAATTCTCTGTAAAATTCAGCCATCTTCTAATATTTCTTATATAAGTCAAAGTATTTCTAACACGATGCTCTTTACAGTATCTAGCGTTACTGAGAACATTTATAGAAATTGCAAAGGCTAAAAAAAAATAATCATAATTATTCATTACACACCTTCTTTTGCATAATTTATAGGATAATCAAGGTTTTAAGACCTGAATCATGAATATTCTGACAATGCTCTCTAGATAGTGACTGAGATTAATTCTTAATAAATTAAGAAGAAAGGAAACCTGTCAAGGTTGACTATATGCATTGCAGAAATCAGATCTGGGAACTAAAAATAAGTCACTTTACAGAACACTGTACCCTGATGTGGTATCCACCAGGGAAAAATAATGAGCACACCACTGTAATATGTCCTGAATAAATAGACACCAACAACTGCCGTTCTGTCTAATCCTACCCCTGAATGTCAAACATTCTGTCATATTACTACATGACTTCCCAGTGTCTGCTACTTGTGCAGGTGAATCTACAGATGTTTGCAAAGAATCCAGTTAAAACTGATCTGATTGTACTGTAAACAAGAGTCGATAAAAGAGAAGCTTATTGTCGTAGTACCTAACAAGAATACCGCTTACATGTTGAAGAACCAGTATGTAGCAGCAGCTTAAAATGCTCAGGAAACTACAGTGCAAATGGACTTCTATGTGATACAGCAAAACAGCATTTTCTTAATATCTCTACATCATAATGACACACAAAGGATGTTACTTGTCCAGTTATTATACCTACTGTAGTTGATTTCTGTGATCCAGTTCAACATCACCATGATTCCTAAACTGATACGACATGTACTCAATAGTGATTATCTTCTGGTTATACAGAGTACGTTCTCTGTGGGTACCTTCCTCCCAATCACTCATATCTGGAATTTATGGTTTTTTACACCATTTAGATGTAGTGCTAAGGATTTAAAATAAATGCTGGCAACTCAAGATACATTTCCCCCTTCCTTCCATCATACACCTGCATGTGAACTCGGGGTACCTAATGAGCAAGGGTGGGCGGTGCTACAGGTAATAGCACGAGGGAATGTGACTTTCTTTCCGAGGTGATGAAAGTATTCTAGGGAGATTTCCAGTTAATAACCTCTTGTTTGGAAGATAATGACTACATCTTCTTTAAAGTGTGTTTTCAGTAGTTGACTGGAAATAAGGGGTTCTTATTTCAGGCAAGAAATGTACTGTCCTTTTGCCTCGATGTGGCTTTCAGACCCGGGAGATGAAGCCCAGGCCAAGGCTGGCTGGGATCTGGATGGTCTCCAGGGCGAGGGAGGACGGGTTGAAGGGAAAGGTGACAGGAAAGATGTGTTTAGCATCCATGAGCAGCTGAGGAGAGTCCTTCCTGTCTCGTAAACGCATCTAAGATAAAAAAAACAAAAAAGCAGAGCATCAGTTCTTTGAATCTATAAAGATAATTTTCTTCTGCCAAAAATCCTACCCAAAATTCTCCAACTAATGAAGAATGTTTACATTTGTTTTAAATTAACTTCACTTTCCCAATAAGCTGTTACAAAAAAAACTTAATGCACTGTAAAAATATGATAAAAATTTAAAAAATTATCCTTCAACAAATTGTAAAATTTCCATTAAAAAACTGTGTTTGAGCGATCTTACCTGTATAGTACGAATAAATGACACAGAGACTCTTTCTTCAAACTCATTAACTGGCGTATACAAATTCAGCACTTTGACAATCTGTGAGAAATAAAATGATCAAAGTTTTCAACATATAGTCAAGTGCACTGGGGCTCATAATGTAGAAGACCGAAAAGATCTCAGTGTAGTTTCCATTCCTTCCAGGGCTGGTGGGGCAGGAGGGGAGATGAGATGGTCTGAGGGCACATATATTTTTACTATTTTAATTTTTATAATAAAAATGTATTAATCGGAGATCCAAGATGGCTGCGCCCAGGTGAACACCTAGCCGCAGCCGCACACAACAATTTCAATAAAATACAACTAAAATATAAAACGGACATTGCCCAGAATTACAGGAAGGTTGACTGACTGGAAATTCTACAGCAAGAAGCAAGGAGAAAACCAAAAGGAGGCACGGAGGAACTGTAAAAGCCCAAGGTACGGAGACACGCGGAGCGCGCGGAGAGGAAGGAGCTGGAGAGGAGGGAGGCCGAGTGCCTGGCTGGCATTCCCTAGCGGGAAGGAGATAAAACTCCGACTGAGCTGGACCCCCGACTGCTCTGAACCCCAGTTCTAAGCCAGACCCCGGGGACTCAGGCTCAGCCATAGGGAGCTGGGCTGTAAGGCGGAACCCCAGGGAGAGGCGAAAGGAGGTCCCGGAGGTGCGCACACTGCACACAGAGAAGGGACAGTCGGCTGTGCCGCGGGATTGCCCTGACGGGAAGGAGACTGGGGCTCCAGACTGCTCTGAACACCACCTCCAACTCCACTTCAAACGGAACTGAACCCCAATACCGGGCTCATTGTGGGAGAGCATAGACTGTTTGGCAGCAGGCGAAAATCGAGGGCACCTTTCTCTCAGAGGCGCCAGCAGCGAACACTGAAGGACCCGCATAGGGCTGACGGAAGCCAAAGCTGCAGGCTCCACCCTGAAACCCCATCCCATCTGTAACTGCGAAATGCGACAACAAAATAGATCGCAAATGCGACAACAAAATAGATCACAAACGAAAGAAATGGAGGACAAAAAGCATCTGGATATAGAGTTCAAATCTACGCTTATAAGGTTTTTCAAGAATTTCCTAGAAAAGATGGATAAGGCCTATGAGGATATGAAAAGAGATCAACTAGAATTAATAAGGAGTCAACAAGAAATGATAAGGGATCAACAAGAAATAAAGAATACATTGTCTGAAGTAAAAAATATTTTACAGAGTCCTAAAAACAGAAGGGAAGATCGCAAGAATCAAGTCCAAGATTTGGAACATAAAGAGCCAGAAGACACTCCTCCACAGAAGCTAGAAGTCAAGAGAATCCAGAAAATTGAAGATAATGTAAGAAACCTCTGGGACAACTTCAAGCGAACCAACATCAGAATTATGGGGGTCCCAGAAGATGAGAGAGAGCAAGATATCGAAAACATACTGAAAGAAATAGTGACAGAAAACTTCCCCCACCTGGTGAAAGAATTAGATTTACAAGTCCAGGAAGCACACAGAACTCCAAACAAAAGGAATCCAAAGAGGACCACACCGAGACACATCATTATTAAAATTCCAAGAGCAAAAGACAAAGAGAGAATATTAAAAGAAGCAAGAGCAAAGAAGGTAGTAACCTATAAAGGAGTACCTATACGATTGTCAGCTGACTTCTCAACAGAAACCATGCAGGCCAGAAGGGAATGGCAAGAAATATTCAAGGTGATGAATAGCAAGAACCTACAGCCAAAAATAATCTACCCAGCAAAGCTATCACTCAGAATCGAAGGCCAGATAAAGAGCTTCACTAATAAAAAAAAGCTAAAGGAGTTCATCACCGCCAAACCAGAATTATATGAATTGCTGAAGGGGGTTCTTTCAGAAGAGAAAGTAAACAAAGATAAAAATTATGAACAACAAATATGTAACTATCAACAAGTGAATCTAAAAACCAAGGAAATTAAAAAAATCTGATGAACAATAAAAAAAATAAAATAAAATAAAATGTATTAATCTTTGTACATTTTAAAGAGAAATGTAAATTTGGGAAAACATTCAAACTGTACAAAAAGAACAAAACATAAAAAGCAAAAGTGCCCCCACTCCCATCCTCCCAGTTTCCCAAAGTGGCAATTTTTGACAGGATCCTTACTATCCTCCTAGCTGCTTTCTGCACATACTCCATGTGTAACCTCTGTGAGCTTTCTATGCCAGGAGATATGTGATGAACACTAAGAAACACCAAGAGTAAGCACAGAAATAACTGGGCAAATGAGAAGTGGGCATGCACATGCCTATGCCTCCCCTCATGCGGCTGCCGGTCCTCAGGGTCCTCCCTTCTCTGCTCCCTCCTTAAACTCAAGGCCATGCCTGATGGACCCTCCTCTGAACAGTCAGTCAGTTATCGCCCTCAGCACTCCTTCAGACACCTCACCACTGAGCTCACTAGAATCCCTTCCAGCAGAATCAGCTGGGCACACCTGTCTTCCCTTCTAAACTTGCAGTTCATTTTCAGCAGGGATTGTCCCTTATTTATTGACTAGAGGCCTGGTGCATGAAATCTGTGCATGGGGAAAGGGAAGAGAGGGAAAGGGGTAGTGGTGTCCCTCAGCCCAGCCTGCACCCTCTCCAATCTGGGACCCCTCTCACAATCCAGGACTGCTGGCTCCCAACTGCTCACCTACCTGCCTTCCTGATTGCTCCTAACCGCTTCTGCCTGCCAGCCTGATCACCACCTAACCACTCCCATGCCAGCCTGATTGATGTCTAACTGCTCCCCTGCCAGCCTGTTTGCCCCCAACTTCCCTCCTCTGCTGGCCTGATCACTCCTAACTGCCCTCCCCCTGCATAATTGGTCACTCCCAACTCCCTCCCTTGCAGGCCTGGTGCCTCCCAATTGCCCTCCCTTGCTTGCCTGATCACCCACAACTGCCCTTCCTTGCAGGCATGGTCCCTCCCAACTGCCCTCCCCTGCTGGCCATCTTGTGGTGGCCATCTTGTATCCACATGGGGGCAGGATCTTTGACCATATGGGAGCAGCTATCTTGTGTATTGGAGTGATGGTCAATTTGCATATTACTCTTTTATTAGATTGTACAGAGGCCTAGTGCATGGGTGGGAGCCAGCTGATTTGCCCTGAAGGGTGTCCCAGATCAGGCTAGGGGTTCCTTGGGGCATGGGATGGCCTGAGCGAGGAGCCTATAGTGGTTTGCAGGCCAGCTACGCCCCTTGGCGACCCAAGCGGAGGCCCTGGTAATTGGAATTTATTTACATTCTACAATTGAAACTTTGTAGCCTGGAGTAGAGCCAAGCCTTCTCCTTGCTCCATGACTGCCACCATTTCTGTTTGGATTTCTTTACCTTCTATAATTGAAACTTTGTAGCCTTGAGTGGAGGCTTAGGCCAGGTAGGGCAGGTGGAAAGCTTGGCTTTTTCCCTCCTGCTCTCTGTGGACACAGCCATCTTGGTTGGGGTTAATTTGCATACTTGCTCTGATTGGCTGGTGGGCGTGCCTAGTGGTGTAGTGGAGTGATGGCTAATTTGCATATTACTCTTTTATTAGGTAGAAAGTGTTTCCCCCAGCAACAAGTGTGGTCCTTTGAGATAGGAACTCAATTCAGAAACAAGAATTATCTGTCTTAAAATAGAGAAGTTAAAAGACTTATAAAGTTATTTTTGGAACACAAGCTCCATAGCAGGCCTAGGATGCTAACCCTTCTTTCATTCCTGGTTGTGTCTCAGTGCACTAAAATGTGTGACTTCCTGGTATAATCCTATTTCAAGAGCTGTCAGATATATGTCTTCTCTGACACAGAGAAGTCAGCTCAGACAAGAGCAATTGCTAGAGGGCTCCCCCCCACCCCCACCCCCCCCAATATCACCCTTGACGAATGTGAAATGTCAAAGAAGGGAAGGTGTGTTACCTGGGCAGTAGTTAAAGCATTGCACATGGAGCAGATGGCTTCTGCATCATCATCTGTTTTCTTTTTCACTTGCAGAAGCTGAGCAGCTTGAATGAGAGGTTCCAGGGTTTCTTTAGCCCCACTGTTCATCAGATTCTTGTCCCGCAGCCATTCTTCCAGTTGACTGACATTGTACCTGTGTGTGGGGGGTGGGGGGAGAAAAAGAGAGAAAGAGAGAGAGAGAGAGAGAGAGAGAGAGAGAGAGAGAGAGAGAGAGAGAGAGAGAGAGAGAGAGAGAGAGAGAGGGAGAAAGGGAGGGAGGGAGGGAAGGAGAGAGGAGAAAGGGGGGAGAATGCAAATTTACTGAATGTTGTCATAAATGCCTTAATTTTCTGTGTATGGCTTTGTCAGGAATTTGTTAAAATGATAAACAGTATTCTTGTTTGCTTTTCTTAAATCTTATCAGCTATGCTTAAAAATTATCATTATAAAAAGTCATGAGGTTTATAATCACAATTATAAAAGAGTAAATGACTAGAGAATATAATTATCTTTAATGCAAGATAGAAAAGTAGCCATTATAGCAAAAATTATGAAGTGAGACCAGCTAAAAGATAAGACAGAACATATTATGTGGCTGTGCCCTCCTTAAACAGCTGATCAGAAACACTTTATAGTTTCTCCTACAACTTCAGAGTGAGAAATAATAATTCTTTAAGTCCTCCCTCTTACTTAAGTCCATCTGAATAATAACACCTCCCTCCACCCCATACACATACTCTGTGCTCCAGCCTTCTTTAGGGAAGAGCGTGGATAATGGAAGCAGTGGCCCAAGGAAGCTCAGGGAGGGGAGGAGAGAAAGGCAAGTGGGAGGAAGACCCCAAAACTACATGGGTGCTGAGATATCAAGAGATGGCCAAGCAAGTAACAGTGGTTTCCAAACTAAAATGAGGTAGATGGACACACAGAGTGAATAATCACACTTAACAAGAGGAATTATTAGGTGCTGCAAATGTATAAACAGCTTATAGAGAAAGAGATTCTTCTATCTGAGGTAAGACATTAGCTTCTCAAATGTTAACTACAATGGATGTGGGTCAGAATGGGAAATCTGAAAAGAATGCCAACATTTCCTGAGACTGAGTAACTAAAGACTTTTGTAGGAGAATTACTGCCTCCCCTTGGTGAATTTTCTAGCTGTTTTAAAATAAATTAGTTATAAAATAAGTCAATTCTATTATGATAATGAGGTAATGCTGAGGAGTAGTTGGCATCAAACCGAGTGTAGCTCTTTCTAAAACACCAAGGGGAACATTTCAAATATTAGTGAAAGACTCATTAAACATGCTCTTGTTGCCATAGTACAGAAATGTATTTTGTTAAAATAAATTTCCAAGAGCAACCAAGCATTATAATTCTTCATTATAATTTGACTAGTGACCGGGTGCATGAAATTAGTGCACATTAAAAGGGAATTAATTTGAGAAAATAATTTAATATTGCTACTTACCCTTTTTCTATAACAGAAGCATCAGAGATGAAAGAAAATTAGTAAAATATATATGAAAACCTTCCTCCTGTCAGAGTCTGGGGCTCACATGGGACCCAGAATCAAGTCCTTGCCCACGTGCACCTCAATATTGCATGAGACCCAGACCTGGCCGATCCCCTCCCCCCTGTGCTAGATCCACACCCAGCCAGTCCCACCCTTGTTAAGCCAAGTTGGGCAGGGGGCATAGGCTCAGGTCCCCGGGCCTGGGGCCTGGACAGTGGGTGTGGCCTGTGATCCCTCAGCCCAGACTGGGGCGTGGGCATGCCTTGAGGTCCCCCATAACCCCTGCCAAGAGGGGGAGGTGGGAGTAGGGTGGGGGGGGGACAGGGGGCGCAGTCTCAGGTCCCCCATCAAGCCCCGCTGGGTGGGGGGCACTGCCTGAGGTCCCCTGTCAAGCACTGCTGGGTGGGGGGCGTGCCTGAAGTCCTCTGTCAAGCCCCACCTGGTGAGGGGTGTGGTCTGAGGTCCCCCGGCCTGGTGCTGGGGTGGGGGTAGCAGCCTGAGGTTCCCTGGCCCAGTACCAGGACAGGAAGTGCACCCGAGGTTCCCTGTCAAGCTCCCCCTGGCAGGGGGTGTGGCCTCAGGCCCCTGTCAAGCCCCACTGGGGCGGGGGAGGTATAATCTCAGGTCCCTGCTGATTGCTTGTTAAGGCTCTTTATGGGAATTTAGCCTCAGCTGTGGGTGCAGCCATCTTTGTGATGGAGTGATGGTAAATTAGCATATTCCCTCTTTATTAGATAGGATATTTTATTATTGTGCAATTAAAACACACACAAAAGCCCTAGCTAGTTTGGCTCAGCCCTAGCTAGTTTGGCAACTCGAATAGAGAGTTGGACTGCAGACTGAAGGGTCCCAGGTTCGATTCTGAACAAGGGTGCATGCCTGGGTTTCGGCTCAGTACCCAGTAGAGGGCATGCAGGGGGCAGCCAATCAATGATTCTCTCTCAACACTGATGTTTCTCTCTCTCTTTCCCTCTCCCTTCATCTCTAAAAATCAATAAAAATATATTTAAAAATAAATAAAATACACACAAAAGAAGAGGAAGCAACTATCCCATCTTTATGTATTTTTCATCATCTTTCTAATCCCTCTGAAGACTTAGCTTAGCCATGAGTGGAACCTGCTGGAGGCACAGCACAGCGGAGCAATGATGACTGGGGAGAGGGCCAGCCAGGCGGCAGGACATGGCTCCATGCCCACACTTCCTTTGCTGGGTGGCTGTGGCCCAGACAGACATCAGGTGCACTGACCTCAAGCTAGCCCTCAGCTCCCCACATGCTGGCAGGCAGTCATGGGGCAGCGAGAAAAGGCCATCACTGTTCAAGTTTCTCACCTGATCTGCATGCCTTTGCTCCAGGAGCACATGTCCTTCCGCAGGAGGAGGTTGTTCAGCGTGATGGCCCCCACGATGTAGAACATCTGCTTGGCCACCTGCTTGATCAGCTCGGGGTCCATGCCGTGCTGACACATGACGGAGTGGAAGGAGCTAAGCTGCCGGAGGATGGAGTCCAGGGTGTAGGTGCCCTCATCGGCGATGCTGGAGGTCCTCTTCCTCAGCCCTGTGGGCTTCACCCCGGACACGCCCTGAATGGTCTCATGCTCCAGCATGCCTGAGACTGCACGAGAAGTTCACGTGAAAAGAGAGGGTCAGGAAGGACACCGTTTCATGTGCACACACATTCACACATTCATTTTAGGAAAATGATCTGAGCATCTAAACAGAGGGAAAAAGAACTCCCCCCAAAAGAGCTTCTAGATTTTTAATAAAGGAATAATTCTTAAATGCAAAAACTTATTAAGAAATCTTAACGGTGTATTTTCTAAACTAAGGAGCAGCAGCCTGTACTAGCACCAGGGTGTGGTACCTTGGGAGAGGTATGCAGCAGTTAGGAGAAGATGAGCGTTCTCCAGTGCTGTGTGAGCCCCAGAGGCAAACAAATCAAGTAACAAGGGCAGAAGCCTGCCCAGCTGGTGTGGCTCAGTGGCTGAATGTCGACCACTGACCCAGGAGGTCACGGTTTGATTCCGTTAGGGCACAGGCTGGGGCTGCAGGCTCGATCCCCAGGCTAGGGCATGCAGTGGGCAACGGATCATTAATTCTCTCTCATAACTGATGTTTCTCTCTCTCCCTCTCCTTCCCTCTCTGAAATCAATAAAATATGTTTTTTTTTAAAAAAGGAAGAAAAGCAGGAGCCTGGGCAGAGGTCTTGGAGAAGACTTGGGAGCTGGGCCCTTCCTTACCCTGAGCTCTGCCGCCCAGGACTCAGCCTCTCCTCTGGGCCCTGCTGCTCCTCTCCTGTGCTCTCATAGCATGTAGCCTACGTGTCCTCTAGGACGGTTTGGGTTTGGGATGTCTACTCCTGGGTTGGGAGCCCCTCGAGAGCAAGGGCCAAGCCTGACTCACTTTGATTTCTCCTAGCGCTAACCTCAGCCTCCAAGAACCTCATACAGCTGCTGTTGAATCACTGGGGATTGGGTGGCGGGAGAAAGTGGGACACTTAGAGGTAAACTTCTTGTTCAGCCGATAAAAACAGACACAAATAGGAAAAAAGTTTGACTGAAGCTGATCTTCTTTGCATCTGCACCTCTTGCATTTTAGCTGAGTTGGGCTGCTTTAAACTCATGACTTTTCAGGGAATGACTGAAGAAATCACCCGACTCACATGGTTTCCTCAGCCTGTTATGGTTCCAGTTTGATTGTGGGCTTACGATAGAAAATGGAACACTCTGAGTCCACAGAAGGGAAAGAAATTGTGGAAATGAGAAAAACACATGAGTGGGGAAGAAAGGGCAGCTGGGAGCAGTCTTTAGAGGCTGCTGATGATCTGCCTGAGAATGAGAGTTTGGTAAGTTAAAAACAAGTGTGTGTGCCTGTTTTTTATATTCAATGCATTTAAAGTTAGCAGCCTGCAATCTGTACATGCCCCCTAAGTCTGACTTCAAACATGCTACACATTCCACAGTGTAGCATGATACATAAACAAACATGCAGAACGAGTGTACACATATGAAGGGAGGTACATGGAATCACATTAGCTGAAAATACAGAAACAGAAAGACAAAGTACACACCCACACAGACACAATCAGTGGGGCTCATTGAATTAGAAATTGCTGCATTAAACCAAATTGCCTTTAACAATTCCAGAGGGGCCATGAGATGTACAACTTTAGCCTGGGGTGTCTGAGCCCTGTTCTGTTACCACCGTACCTTCCCACCCCTTTTGCTGTAGCCTATTAATTAGCCAAAGTGCAAACCCTCCCCAGCCTTATTAGTTTTAAATGTAGTGTAGTAGTTTCCTAGACCAGTGGTCGGCAAACTAATTAGTCAACAGAGCCAAATATCAACAGCACAACGATTGAAATTTCTTTGGAGAGCCAAATTTTTCAAACTTAAATTTCTTCTAACGCCACTTCTTCAAAATAGACTCACCCAGGCTGTGGTATTTTGTGGAAGAGCCACACTCAAGGGGCCAAAGAGCCGCATGTGGCTCGCGAGCCGCAGTTTGCCGACCATGGTCCTAGACCAAAGTTTGAAGTGTTTTTCAAAACTGGACAATGAATAAGGTCTACTGCTGGGTACACAGCATTACCTGATCTTAGAGAGAGGTACTGCACACTGGGGAGGGGAACTGGATACTGCTGTCCTGCTCTTGTGGAAGCAGCGATTCTGATGTAACCCAGTTAGTCATGGCTAACATTCTATGTTCTGGGATTCCTCAGCTACTTTTAGGATCATTTTAATGTTCTCTGTTTGAAAACATGCTATGACACATGTGCCACTGGTGGGCATGTGAGGTGGACAGACTTACCGATCATGGGCTGAAGGATGTTCTCCAGCACCCGCACAAGTTGCTGGTAGATCTGAATGGCCAGGTCACTTAGCACCTGCCGGTACTCAGCCAGGTCGAAGTTGGTGAGGCAGTGTTCGTTCTGGCGAGATGTGTTGTGCTTCATAAAACCCTAGAGCCACAACGCAGTTAATGATGTACAGGAAGTGAGATGTCTGCTGTCTGTCAGGCTCACTTGATCAGCATCTCCCTGTTCTTTTTCTCTCTTCATAGAGTTTCCATATATCCCACACATAAATGCCAGGATAATAATTTTCAATGTGTGTTTCCATCTTTAAAATTCCACTTCTTACTGGCTTTTTGAATAATATCTAAACTTGGAAACCTAGCATTTTCTTTCCAATAGCAATGTCAATAAAATAGGATAGGAGAATTTAATCTTAAAAAAAAAAATTGCTCTAGTAGGTGTGGCTCAGTTAGTTGAACATGGTCCCATATACCAAAACATCACAGTTCAATCCCTGGTCTGGGTCGGGGTGTGTACGGAAGGCAGCTGATCGATATTTTTCTCTCTTTCCCCCTCTTCTTTCCTCTCTCTCTAAAATCAATTAAAACATACCCTCTGATGAGGATTGTAAAAAAATTGTCTTTCACTTATGAAACATGAAGTTTACTGCTAAACACTAAACTATCTAAAGTACTAACATGTTTAAACTTCTGTTTATTAAATATAGTTGCATTTATAAATACTGTACCAAAAAGGCATTTATAGCTTAAAACAGATTGATTTCTACAGAGACTGGTAGATACATAAAAAGTTTTCCTTTCATGGCACCACAGATGATTTTCATCTTTTGGTGGTATTTGTTAAAATAGAAAGACAACAGTACAAGAAAGTAGTTTTGTCAGATATTGCCTGCCAAAAGCAATAGCCTACTTGATGGGTTCTGCCCAAGGTCCTTAACAATACAGTCAAGGGGTGGGAATGACAGGGCAGCGAATGGCCCCTCTGGGGAATCCTGGTCTGTCAGTCCCATCTTTCCAGGGACATCTTGCTCACATTTGTATTTCCCATCGTTTGCCAGGACCATCCTCTGCCCCAAGCCTCTGACTGGGTGCTCAGCAAGTGCTACAGCTCAGCTTCTCTTTTACCCTCCTGGCAAAGGATGGGCGGTGCAGGAGAATAGTTAGGGGCAGGGGCTCCCAGAGGCAGGCAGACCCTGCTCCTTATGGCTGACAGGACTTGGGCAAATGGATGACGTTCACTGAGCTTCAGTTTCCTCATCTGTAAAACTCGGTCATAATCCCTATCGCATAGAAATGTTGTAAGAATTAAGTGACACAGTGTCTAGTAAGTGCTGTCTGATGCATAGTAAGCAGCCCTTAATAAACAGTAATTTTAACATATTACATTTTTGAAAAAATAAAGTCTGTCAAACAATTGATGAATACATCACTACAAACAAAAGCCAAACAGATTTTTGGACAAATTTAAAAACAGTCTGAACTTATCACCTTTAAAGCATTATAGTAAACCACAACTCTTTAATTTTTAAAGAGTCCTTGACTAGTCCACTTGCACACACTGACAAAAAGTTTCATTGTTCCAACTATTCACTGACCAATGCTCATTTTATTTATACTGTGTTTTCTTATAATACAAACTCTCAGAGGAAAGAAACTTGGTTGTTCCCCACAGTCACACTATTCCATAAATAATAAACATCAAACAGAACTATGAACTTCCAAGCCACCTCTGAATTCAGGTTTCTAAATTAACCTTTTCCTTAAAAAGATCAGAGAAGGCACAGCATGTTGGTTTTATAACCAGGTTTTTCTCACCTCTTCTCCGCTGTACTGCTTCAAACAGTGCAAAAACCGGCAAGTGTTAGAGAGCCAGAAGGAAACGGTTTCAAAATCATCACCTCTTTTCTGAAAGAGAGAATAAGCCTAAATTTGCTTTTTTTCTTGGAGAAATAACAACCTGAAAAATAAATGAACAGATACCAGAAGGCTCATTCTTTCAGTTACCATTATAAAAAATTATAAATCACAAAGGAGAATGAGAAAGACTGTGAAACACTGAAACTCAGGTTAGGTTAAACATATGTCAGTCATAAGATACAATTAAAAAAAAAAGATTTTAAATTGTTTTCTTAGAAAGAGGAAGGGAGAAGGAAACATTAAGGTGAGAGTGGAACATCAGTTACCTGCTTCCTGCACACCCACTCCTAGGGATCAAGCCTACAACCCAGGCATGTGCCTGATGGGAATTGCACTGGTGACCTTTTAGTGTACGGGATAAAGCCCAGCCAACTGAGCCACACCGGCCAGGGTGATAAGATATAATTTCTGAGCAGTGAATCAGAAATGGGATGAAGGAAGTCCAATGCAGAGCAGTACACAAAGGAAGCTACTTGTTTCTTCATCAGGACTGGGGCACATGTCCATCATTGCTAAATCCAAACAGAGCCCAGGCTGGTGTGCTCAGTGGTTAGAGTGGCAGCCTGTGCACCCAAGGGACTCAAATTCGATTCCTGGTCAAGGGCATGTACCTGGGTTGCAGTTTCTAACCCCAGCCCCAACTGATGTGTCTCTCTCACACTGATGTTTCTATTTCTCTTCCGCTCCTTTCCTCCCCTTCCACTCTCTCTAAAAATAAATAAACAAATAAATGAAAAGCTACCCTCTGGCGAGGACACAAGACAAATACTAGTCTACTTCAATTCAAAAAGGGATATGTGACAAATGCACATCAATTTTAAGTGGTATCAAAAGGGTGTTAGGTTCTAGTACCCTCTCTTTTGTAATCTTGAAACAATCTGGTACAATAATTAGTCAAATTAGATAAATGCCTTCTTGCAATTAAGATGAAAGGGAGGAAACCTTATGAGTTGACTTTGTTGTCTTTGTAAAAGTTGGCCTAAGAATTAGCAAAACTTATAGTCTAAGTGCAATAGAGCATCAATACACCAAAAATGAAATGAATTCTATTCAGAAGATGCTCATCAATTTTTAAGTATTAAATCTTCAGAAATTCCATGCTTCAGTAACTACTGTAGATTGTAACTTCATAGAACATCTTAGCAATAGGGACTGAGAACTAGCATCTGTCAAAAGGTCAGATGGGGGAAGGAGTGTGTTTCTTCAGTGCAGAGTTTCAGATGGGAAAGATGAAAAGGCTCTGAAGATGGGTGGTGATGGCTGCACAACAATATAAATGCACTTTATGCACAGAGCTGGTCACTGGTTAAGCCCTGGCCGGGTGGCTCAGCTGGTTGGAATATTAGTCCATGCACCGAAAAGCCCAGGATTTGATTACTGGTCAGGGCACATACCTAGGTTTTGGGTTGGATCCCTGATCGAGGCGCATATGGGAGGCAAACCAATCAATGTTTCTTTCTCACATCAATGTTTCTCACCCTCTCTGTGAAATTAATAAAAACAATCAAATAAACAGCAAAGCTCCACATATCCTCAGTAAGGATAAAAATAATGGTTAAATGTTATAATTTTTGTTATGCATATTTTACCACAATAAAAAAAGTATTTCATGAAACACATCTTAGATTTGAGCGCCCACTGGACATGTTAACTTATCCACTTATCTCCATTTTAAAAATTATCCTTAAGTCAGGTATCAGAAAGCAAAGTATTTAGAACACTTTCTCTTAGCTCTGCACAGAAACACCTGAGTTAAAACTAAGAATAACGTTCATTGTTTTTCTGACTCAGAAGGAGGATTATGCAACATAATCACTGAGTCATTACGTAGGACTTCCTGCTCCAGTACATGATTTTTCTGTCTTTTCCAAGCCTTTTCTTTCTGATTAGTGTCTGTGTGTTGCTTCTCCATGGAATCAGGCACAGGTTACAAGGAAAATTATGGGCGATTTGAAGAAAAATGGTAAGAAAAGTTCAAAGAAAAACTTTATTTCATCAACTATCTTCTTATATGAATGAGCCATGTATTATTTAACCTATTTAATACCTATCTTAACTATAGCATCATATTCCCTGTATATGATGGACTCCATTAAGTATTTTAAATTTACTTCTAAGTAAGACCTTAAAGCAGACTATTTCTATCTATAAAGAAACAATTTTCTCCACAATTAAATGCAATTAAATCAAATTAATTTTGATTACTGTTTATTCTGAGCCCTGTTTTGAAAGAAGCATATAGACAATCTGTAAGAAAAAACATTTCCCACTGTGGTACATTTCCACAGTGGAAGGTAGCCATTAAGACAGCAAAGTGTTCACACCTTCCTCAAGGCTGAGGGAGAAAAAGTCCCTACATGAAAGTTATGTCATTATACCCATTATGAGAATTTTGTTAAACATGACTGACCTTTAATACTTTTTTGATGCTGTTAATTGTGGATGTTAGCAGCGACCTTACTTTCTGATCATCATTCAGGTAGTCGGCATGTCGAACACACATAAACAGGATATACGCTGGTAACCCTGGGATCAAGTTGACTGCCACACCACGTGGCTTTAGTTCTAAAAAAAGAAGAGAGAGAAAACAATCTTACCGAACACTGACAGCCTTCATGAGAAGCCCTTTGAGAGACAATGAAAGCATAGTTCTCATGTGAGAGTCCAATCGTTCAGGGTAAATAGGTCACATAAAAAGCATATTTTAATAGCTCAGAAAGAGAAGTTCTTGAGGGTGGGAACATGGTGAATTTTAGTTGTCTCTGCCAAGACAACTCCCAAATCTCTATCTTCTGCCCTGACTTTTCCCTTGAATTCCAGTCTCTTGGATCAACTGCCTTCTTGGCATCTCAGCTCAGACATGTCAGACTGAGCCCATCCAAACCAAACTCCATTCCTGGAATACCTGCTCTTCTAGGAGTTGTCCCACACTCAATAAATTGCAGTTCCAGCCTTTGTTTCTCAGGTTATAGACCTGTCATCACCTTTGATGTTTTTTTCTCACACTACACACCTAATGCATCACCAAATCCTGTTGGCTTTACCTACAAAGCACTTCCAGAATCCAGCTACAACTGCCCTGGTCTAGGTCCCCACCATCTCCTCCTGTATTGTGGTCTCTGATCTATCCCTAGCTCCCCAGTGGAACATTTTCACCTGACAACCAGAATAATTCTATAGGAAAATGTCAGTCAGAGCATGTTACTCATTTTTTGTTTAAATATACTTTATCACTTTTTTTACAGAGAGGAAGGGAGAAGGATAGAGAGTTAGAAGCATTGGTCAACTGCCTCCCACTCCCTCACCCCCCATGGGGATGTGCCCGCAACCAAAGTACATGCCCTTGACCGGAATCGAACCTGGGACCTTCAGTCCACACTGAATGATCTATCCAGTGAGCCATCCGGCCAGGGCCAATGCTTTATCCAGTGAGCCATCCAGCCAGGGCTAATCATGTCACTCTTGTATGAAAGTCTTCCAAGTAGCTTCTCATCTCATTCATTTAAAAACGAAATGCTCAGCATGTTCTCTGTGCTCAGGTCTGATCCCCAACCCCAGGTCACAATGCTCCAGTAAAATGGGTCTCCTTACAGTTGGCTGAATGTGCCAGGCATGCCCCCACCCCAGGGCTTATGTGCCAACTATTTTCTGCCTGGAATGTTCTTCCTCAGATATCATCAGCATGAACTGCTTCCTTACTTCCTCAGTCTCTGTCCAAAGATCACCTTGTCAAAGAGGCCTTTCCTAACAGTTTTATATAAATTAGTACACCTGCCTTCACTCTTCATCCTTTTTACTCCATTATATATTTATTTTTTCTATTCTCTCTTTTAGTATTGATTGATTTTAGAGAGAGAAAAAAAAGAGAGAGGAGTGAGACAGAGACAAAAAGAAAGACAGACAGACAGACAGACAGAAAGAAAGAAAGAAAGAAAGAAAGAAAGAAAGAAAGAGAAAGAAAGAGAGAAAGAGAGAAACACCAATTTGTGTTGCTCCACTTATTTATGCATTCACTAGTTTATTTTTGTAGGTACCCTGACTGGAGATGGAACTCACAACCTTGGCATATCAGGACAACATTCTAACCAACTGAGCAACCCAGCTAGGGCTTTTCTCTATCTTCTCTTGCACTGGAATATAAGTTATATGAGAATAGGGACTCTTCTCTCTCTGTTACCCAGCACAGAAAATGTGTGGCACTTGGTAACAGCATCCTAAATGTTTATTGAACTGATTAATCTTTGCTTAAACTCTATGTTTAAAAATCAGTGGCTCCTTAACATTTTTGGTAAATGAAGATCAAGTTGAAACTTTAGCACCTCTGCACCTAAATATAGTACTAAGTTTAATGCCAAGAACCTTAGGAACTTTAAATCAGGTGTGACTGCCAATCCCACTGCTGTCACCTGGCACCTGGGGGAGGAAGGCTATTCCAAGGCAGAGAGGTGTTCAGCATCCAGTTCAGAGCTGTGCATACTCCCTAACCATTTCCCACCCTCCCCTAAAAAGTATTCCTCAGAGCAATCTCCAAGACCTCAGGCTGCTCTGAAATGCTTCTTCCACACCCATTTCATTTGTCCGCCCTCTCCTTCCATTGCTAAAATATTTTCCTTAATTCTTTTGTGTGTGTATTTTTCCTCTATTACTGAGCTGTTGTTGTTGATATAGTTAGTCATACACTTTGTAGGGAAGCAAGGAAAACAGAAATTCAGGAATGCAAATGGCCTAGAGCAGTGTGATCAATTCCTTGAAAGATTTTTAAAAATACTAGACATGGCTAGGCTCTTCCCTCTGGATTGTAATGTGATCAAATCTGTGGTGGGGACCTTACAACAATACTTTTCAAAAGCTTCCAGGTTGGTCTAACCCATTGGTCAGCAAACTCATTAGTCAACAGAGCTAAATATCAACAGTACAATGATTGAAATTTCTTTTGAGAGCCAAATTTTTCAAACTTAAACTTCTAACACCACTCCTTCAAAATAGACTCTCATAGTCCGTGGTATTTTGTGGAAGAGCCACACTCAAGGGGCCAAAGAGTTGCATGTGGCTTACGAGCTGCAGTTTGCTGATCACAGGTCTAACCAGAGCTGAGAAGGCCTGGCCTCCAGGGATCTGTATGGGTGGACCTGCTTCCTAGGCAAGCGTCCCTGCTATTTGACTGATAATGCATGGTGGCCAGGATACTTCTGCAGCATCAAATGCACAGTATGTAATGAGGGCTAAAGAAACTAGTGTTGCCGAAACCAGTTTGGCTCAGTGGTAGAGCGTCAGTCTGCAGACTGAAAGGTCCCAGGTTCGATTCTGGTCAAAGGCATGTACATTGGTTGCGGGCACATCCCCAGCAGGAAGCAGCTGGTTGATGTCTCTCTCTCATCAACATTTCTAGCTCTCTATCCCTCTCCCTTCCTTTCTGTGGAAAATCAAATATATATATATATATATATATATAGAAACTGGTGTTGAATATTTCAAAAATCAGTGACTAGTCTTTCCCACCACTGACATGTGTACCAAAAAGACCTTTTAACCCAGGCACAAAATACTTGCATGTTTGAGATCTCTTTCTTTATTTCTCCTCTCTCCTCCCTCCTTCCTCTCCCACCCTCTCCCCCCTCTATTTTCTCTTTTGTTTCTGTGAGGGTGGCCAGAAGAGGGCTGTTGGCAAGCCAGCCAGAGAGGCCTCACCAGGAACCACACTAACTGGCACCTTGATCCTAGCCTGCAGAACTGAGATAACAGAAGAAAGAAAAGACTTGCCCAGAATCAGGTTCTTAACAAGTTTTTGCTCATCTTCCTTCTTGTATTCCAGCATTCCTTGGAAATCCTTTTCTTTCCTGGGAATGTTGACTGGACGAATGGGCTCGTCAATGATCTGTCCTGGGGATATGTTCTCCATCTGGCCCACTTCATGAGAAACAAAAAGGAGAAGAAAAGGTTTTCCAGGGAGAAAAGATGAGAAGGTTCCATGTTCCTATAATTTTAAATGATAAATTCTATAACAACAAAAAACATATTTGCCACTTAATTGTCCCCTTTTTATTTTATTATTTTTCCCCCAAGCAAATATATTTATTTAATTATAATTTTTATTTTTTATTGTTTAAGGTACTTCATGTGTCCATATCCCCTATTGGCCCCCACTCCACCCCCCTCTTTAATTACCTTTTCTGCTAAAATTGGCTGTAAGTGGCAAAATTGTATGGTGATGTCACTGACAGCCACCAGTGCTGGGCTACTATTAACGTCAGAGAACCTTAATTGATTCAAAAGCATTTTTTTTTTGGGGGGGGGAGTAATAAATTTAGTTTATAATAAGATTAGATGTTCCCAAAGTTAGTGGTTTAACTTCTTGGTTAATGAATTATTAATCATAAATAGTTAAATATATTTAGACTTTAAATATTCTACAAAGAGGAAGAAAAACTAGAAGATTCCCCTCACTTTCAGCTCTATGAATCTAGTCATTAAAGAAAAAGAACACTTATTTTAAATGTAACGTTGCAATCAGTTCAAACCAATGAGAGAGCTGGTAGGAGAGTGTGTCTTCACACTAGTTGATGTGAAATGTTTCATTTTTCACAGAGGCTTCCCAAGACAAAGACCGAACTTGCTGCCACTATCCCTCATTCCCAAAGAGATAATGAGCAGATAAAACCACCTCTATTTAATGTAATTTCCTAAATACTATTCAATTTTTGTTTGTTTCTAGTAAACATGAAGTTGCATCCATTAAAGCACAGCTACTGGTTTACCCGTTCAGAGGTTAAAAATGGTCACTACTGTCAGTAACAGCTGCTGGAGAAGAATAATGCTAAGGATTCAAAAAGTCTCCTCAGAACTAAGACTAAATGGGAAGTGGAAGAGAAGGTATGGGGACACAGGAGTTAGAGTTCTGTGATGTTTGTGCAGACTCATGCTAGTGAGCAGGTTGTGTTACCTATAGGAAGGGGGCAGTTGAACCTGTTCAGGTGAAGATTCAGCTGAGTTCAGAGACCTGCAAACAGATGCAGATCAGAGGCATCGGAAAGGTTAGTGCTGCAGACTGCACAAGGTATAAGCGTGCTCTCCTGTCACTCTGGGACCGTGGTTGGCAAACTGTGGCTCACAAGCCACATGCGGCTCTTTGAGTGTGGCTCTTCCACAAAATACCATGGCCTGGGCGAGTCTATTTTGAAGAAGTGGCATTAGAAGTTTAAGTTTGAAAAATTTGGCTCTCAAAAGAAATTTCAATCATTGTACTGTTGATATTGGCTCTATTGACTAATGAGTTTGCCGACCACTGCTCTGGGGCAATTCTGTGTTGGGTCTGGGAAGCCAGTTCCACAGGAAGAGGCTACGGGAGAGAATACCAACAGCTGTCAGAGCTCCTGCTGCAGCACCAAGACTAGCAGCACTGAAGATGGCCACGGCCATCAGCACTATATATCTAAGGAGTGGCCACACTGTGGTTGGACAAATCAGGGCTGTGGCATCTAGTGCTTCATGTGCATGGTGCAGTCTGGAAACCAAGCTAACTGTGAAATGTGTGCCTCCACATAGAGATAGAAGATTCAAACTATTCAATTTTACAAAATTATTCCTGGAGTCAGTTTAAACACAACAGCACCAGGATTTCGAAATCTGCACGAAGTGGCCTTCGCAGCTCACATACATGCTACATGTACAATACAAAAGAATAAAATCTCTGCTATCTATATTACTAGTCACTTTTGGCCAAAGAAATAATCCTAAGGGAAACTGGGAGGAAATAGATTCAGCATATTAAGTTCATCAATAAATGTACATATTTGGACTCCGTATGATGTAAAAAGAACGCTTTAAATCTACTTATTTAATCACACCTATGGTGCCATTGACTATGAAATACCATTATCTACCTAATGAAAGAGTAACAAGCTAATTGACCATACCTTCGTGATGCCAACCAGCAAATTAACCCAACAAAGATGGCGGGTTAATTTCTATACAAAGACACTGAGTGGCCAGGGGTGGGGCAGGACACTTGTGTCGTCACCATGATGACGGCACAGGCATTCTGCACCATCCCACTGCTCTGGGTCTCTGGGCAGTGTGGGAAGGTGGAAAGGCGGCTCCAGGCCGGAGTGAAGGCAGTGCCAGCAGCTAGAGCACATGTGTCAAACACAAGGCCCGCGGGCCAAATCCATCCCGCCAGGCTTTGCAATGTGGCCCGCACCTCGCTGTCATCACTGCACTCCGCTGCGTTTCCATCACAATGACAGTTTATGACTGTTCAGTAAACCATTCGGCCCGCGATTTAGGCTGGATTTTAGATTTTGGCCCCTTCTCTGATTGAGTTCGACACCCCTAAGCTAGAGGAAGGAAGACCCATTCTTGCACAAACCTTCGTGCATTGGGCCTCTAATTTTATATAACACTAAAGGAGGAAAACGCTGCAATTAAACTATAACCCATCAACAGTTATAAGACATATCCTGACTTCAGAGATGTTAAAATGTCAAAAAAGTGTGCACTTCAGAATTTATGAAATATGTTTTAAAAGGAAGTTTCACTTTCCTTTTGTAAAATCTCTAACCAAGCTATTTTTGGTTCTGTATAAAATGTCAAAGACAGCCGAAACCGGTTTGGCTCAGGGGATAGAGTGTCGGTCTGCAGACTGAAGGATCCCGGGTTTGATTCCGGTGAAGGGCATGCACATTGGTTGCGGGCACATCCCCAGTAGGCGGTGTGCAGGAGGCAGCTGGTTGGTGATTCTCTCTCATTGATGTTTCTAGCTCTCTGTCCCTCTCCCTTCCTCTCTGTGAAAAAATCAATAAAATATATTGATTAGAGCAGTTGGTTAGAGCATCATCCTGATACACCAAGATTATGGGTTCGATCCCCCATCAAGGCATATATAAGAATCAACCAATGAATGCATAAATAAATGAAATAACAAATTTATGTGTGTGTTTTCTCACTCCCTTTCTCTAAAACCAATCAATTTAAAAAAAAAAACTTAAAAAATATATAGATGTCAACTCAATATAACCTTGATTCACTTAGTAAGTCACCTGCTACTAAAATAAAATGTCAACCCTTGTATAGCATCAGAAAAGCATAAAGTCTGAAAGAGAGAAGCCAGGACACCACCCCAGTTTTCAAAGATAAAAGAGAGCTTGGGGGATCATCCAGTCTAATTCACCACCTAATACGAACCTCCTTCTGGAAAGACCTGAAGAGATGCCTATCTCTATCTCACAGATTCTTTAGACTTGAGGAAAAACATTCCTGAACCTGTTTTGTCCTGGAAAAGGAAAGAACACTAGAATTTTTTGTTGTTGATGTTGTTAATCCTCACCTGAGGATATTTTTCCATTGATTTTTTAGAGAGAGGAAGCGAGAGGGGAGCGACAGAGAGAGAGAGAGAGAGAGAGAGAGAGAGAGAGAGAGAGAGAGGTGAAAGAGACACAACCTCGCGTACCCTGACCAGGGGCAGAGATCGAGCCTGCAACCTAGGTACCTGCCCTTGACCAGAACTGAACCAGGGACCCTTAGGTCTGCCAGCCAATGCTCTATGCATTGAGCCAAACAGGCTAGGGCTAGAATTTTAATTTATTTTTCCTCACTTTGGTACCAGGAAGAGCTTGGACACAGTTTAATTGAGGCAATCAAATTCCTATAAATAGAGAGAGTCCATTAGAAAATATGACACAAATGCCAAAACTGGTTTGGCTCAGGGGATAGAGGGTCGACCTGCAAACTCAAGGGTCCCAGGTTCTATTCCAGCCAAGGGCACATACCTTGGTTGCGGGAATATCCCCAGTAGGGGGCATGCAGGAGGTAGCTGATCTATGTTTCTCTCTCATTGATGTTTCTAACTTTCTATCCCTCTCTCTTCCTCTCTGTAAAAAAAACAACAACAAACCAATAAAATATATTTAAAAAGAAGAAGAAGAAGAAGGAGAAGAAGAAGAAGGAGAAGAAGGAGAAGAAGGAAAAGGAGAAGAAGGAGAAGAAGGAGGAGAAGGAGGAGGAGAAGGAGGAGGAGAAGAAGAAGAAGAAGAAGGAGGAGGAGGAGGAGGAGGAGGAGGAGGAGGAGGAGGAGGAGGAGGAGGAGAAGAAGGAGAAGAAGAGGAAGAAGGAGGAAGAAGAAGGAGGAGGAGGAGAAAATATGACACAAAGGAAAGAAGTCAGTGGTTCTCAGAAGACTTGGGTTCTAGTCCTAGTTTGGCCACTAATTGGATGAAACTTTAAAAGTCAGTTATGGTTTCTGGGCTTCAATTTTTTTCCTCCTATAATATGATTAACCAATTTCTAGAATTTTTTAAGGTCTAAATTCCTTGACTCCTTGAAAACTGAAATGGAATACCCACTCCTGGATTAAAATATAACACAATGCAGATCAAATTTTGAAACACTTGCCATTTATCTATGTAATTTCTGCTAAAATTATATATGCTGATGTTTTAAAAAAGTTTTCATTGGCTTCTACAAAAGTCTCCATAATTAAATGTTACTCATAGAAGGAGGCAAGAACCTATTTTAAACAAGAAGAACTTAAGTATATTTAATATACATTTTTAAAAATATACAAAGATTTCTATGCATTAGAAGGTGCTTTGCTGCACAAGGTTGCCAGTATTTTCTGTATAATGGGGGTAGGGACAGGAAAAATGTTCGAGGAGTCTGTCACCTTTATTCTCTAATTCTGGGAGGCGGGGGAATTCTGCTCTCCACAAGGGCCCAGATCAAATTGATTGATTTCATTTTATTCTTTAGACTTGCATCAGTTATTCAACTTCTCTTAAGGATATCTTAACGGTCTTTTTGTTTAATCTGTGAATTGCCTCCTCAGGTGCTACGTGCAGATTTAAGAACATAGTTGGCAGGAAAGTTTAACTGACCAGAGATTTCTGATTGATAATGGCTTCAACTTGCTGGCATCTTAAAATATTCTAATCTATCTCTTTAATTAAAAAGATACATATCAAAGAAATCTTATTAAGAACTTAAAATAACAAGTAAAACCATTAGGAGTTTTAAAAAATAATCTCACAAATTGATACCTTGAAATCAGTTTCTTTCAAGCAAGTACTCTGCAATCTAATTATCATCTCATGATATAATTAATGCAGAGTTAAGTGCAGAAATGTTCTGTGAATAAAGGTTTTCAAAGTTCTGCCAACAGACATTTTATTTTTTTAATCTTCATCAGAGGATATTTTTTCAATTGGTTTTTAGAGAGAGTAGGATAGGGAAAGACAGAGAGAGAAATATTGATGTGAGTGAAACACATCAATTAGTTGCCTCCTGCACATGCCTGGACCAGTGCTGGGGCCAAGGAGAAGAATGCAACTGAGGTTATATGCCCCTGACCAGGATTGAACCCAGGACCCTTTGGTCTGTAGGCTTGACACTCTATCCACTGACCCAAACCAGCTAGGGCCTATAGACATTTTAGCCCATGTGACTGATTTGGAGATTCAAAACTTTATTCCGATATGTAAAATCTGAATCAATAATGCTATAAGGATTATATATAAAATATAACAGCCAAGTAATCTGATTTCTAAGTAAATCTTTCAGCATTTATATATCCAAGGACATAAAAAGTAAATATCTTCAAAGGAAATACCTACATTGCCATTCTAAATATTTCTGAAACTTATTCAGCAAACATTTATGGAATGATTAAGATGGGCCAAATATTATGCAAGGTATTGTGAAAAGAAGGGGAAGAGGTGATCCCTTGCTCAGGAAGCTCATAGGCCACTGAGAAAGCCAGTAATTCAAAGAGAAAAATGGCTAAAAATATGACAGTGAAAACCATAAAAGTGAGTTCAACTGTGATACATAGAGTGGGAACCATAAGGTCTGTCTGGGGATTAGGAAAGCATGCTCTTAAGGATGTGTTTAAAATACCTTCTAGTTCACCAATTTTTTTAGCAAATACTTTTAGTTGCTTTTTCAGTTTTCGGACAGTCTTATCTTGTTTTTCAAGTTGTTCCATCAAATCCTAAAGGTGAAAATGAGAAATACAACAGAATGATCAAAATAGGCCTTCTAAAATGCACAGAAGGAAAGCAGACACAAAATGATAGAAACAGCACTGTTAGTTTCACATAAAAGCTCCAGAAAAGCTCACTGGTGGAGCCACCACCTGGCTGAAACTGGCAGGCATGGGAAATGGCAGCTATAATACAAGCCGAATGTTATAATACATGATGCAGTACAATCCTTTACAGCGTGACGGACAGCAGGCTCACTGGGGAGTCTTTTCCAATAGACTCCACGTGGGCAAAACAAATGCTTGTAAAATGTACCACTATTCCATTGCAATGCCTTCTTTTAAAGGGGGAAGAGGCAAAATAATTTTTGATGAATGCACAAAATGTGTTGTGGAGAGTTTTAAGGGCAGTTGAACTTGGGTAGGAGCTTTTTGACTTTTGACTTCCATCACACTGCAAGCCTAGAGTCAGTAACAAACCAAACACGATAATGGACGCAGGACGCAGGACACTGGTAGAGGTGACACCACTCGCTGACAGACAGCTGTGGGGAGAAACAGGTTTCATCAGAGTTTTTGCAGAGATTTCCTGGGAGGAGCAAGCAGCCCCTTGGTTGCAGAGAGCTATAAGTAGGGCAGAAAGCAACAGAAAAGCGCTCTTGAGTTTACATACAATCATCCGTTTGTAAAGTGAAATCCGATATGATTGATACTTCTTAGGGTCATCTGCATATAATTCCTCAAAATACTGAAAAAACAGGCATAATGGATATTTGTTGTTCTCTGTGCTACTTCCCTCAGCAAAATCAATTTTTAAAATATTTTAAGTTAAATAATGAAACTGAATCTACTGAAAAGGCTCTGATTTGTCTTCTGCCATTGCCCTCTGACCTTTCTGGTACAGACAATTCGAGCTTTATGCTGTGACATACACTGTCACATGCTCAGAGGAAACAGGCCACAGCCAGGATGCCATTGGTTAGTAGGGGAACAAAGTGGTGCTCGAGTCCCCGGGTAAGGCTGCTATAATTTCACTCCTTAGACCTGCTCACAAGGTTGCTGCACTTTTTGTTGCCAGCAGTTGTGGCAAGAGTAGGGCAGGCAAACAGAATTAATGGCAATATGGGCGCTGTTGTTTGAAGGTGGAAAAGGCCGGCAAGCAGCTGTGTGCCTTCCTTCCTTGAAAGGCAGCATGGGAGGCCTGGGAGGCACGTTCACTAGAGAAGGAGGAAACCTTCTGTTTGTGTTGGGGCAGGTGTGCGGGCGGGTTAGTCAGGGCAGCATTCCAAGGCCTACACCTCGGTTCCCAGCTGTTTTAATATTCTGCTCACGCTTCTTAAAGAAATGCACAATTAACATTGACAAACTTCAATGACTGAAAAAGTGCATCACTCCCTGTACTTAGGTTTGAATCCAATCTCCAGTCAGTGGGGCAGGAGAAGCGGCTGAGCTGCAAAGGATTTTCCTAAACTGCAGACAAGATCATTAACTAGACTACCAACTTAGAATTTGGGGCTTAGTTTACTTTTGTATTAGTTACGCAAAATTATCAAGAAAAAGAACACTACCGACAAGGCTGCAAGGGAAATGCTTAATCAGCTTGATGAAAAAACTGGAAATCTGCACCCAGAAGCATCTTTACTTCACGGTTTCACCTCATACTTGAAGATAATCATTTATAAGCAGATAATTTATACACTGATCAGTCATATTATATGATTTAGTATATTATCAATTCTTAGGCATTTAAGCATTGTTAGTTAAACTTAAGCAACAATACACTTGAAAGTAATAAAAAGACATTTGAGTCTATGATCTGGAAGATTCCCCCCCAGAAATCAGTGATATTTCAGTCCCTTTGGAGAGTCCAAACACTGCCCTCAGCCTTCGCCCCGATTCCCACAATAAAGCCTCCCACATGTGTCCTCTGTCCTCGAGGGCACAAATGGGCTCTGAAAAGAACACCTTTGTGTTTTGCTTTCATCAATATAAAAGACAGTTGGACAGATGACACTAGAAAACTATTTGTAATAGAAAATGATCACTAATGGAATAATGGAGGGATAATTCAGATTAAATCTTCAGAGAAAAATCCAAATTATTTATTATAGATTAAAATCCTGAATTAAATAAAAAAGACAAAACACAACCAGCTTTAAAGAGCTGTTCTCAAAACCAGGCTGATACTAAAATCTAGATTTTTATATAGACACATGGAATCATTACTTTTCAATGACCTCTCATTTAATAAACATATTATCAAATTTAAGTAGATTTTAAAAAATCTATAAGTAATAAAAGCTATTTTGTGATAGAGAAAGAAATATTCTAGAAAATATTTTCTATAAAATAAAGGAAGAGAAAAAGTAAAGAAAAAAACTTGTGCCACTGTTCAGAATCTGAGAAAGGAAAAAAACAAAAAACAAACACCCTCTCCTCATTTCATTGCACACTGCTCTCTCTCCTCTATGACCTGGGAGCTCCATCCAATGTCAACCAAAAGTTCCATTTGGTTCTGCCAACTGCCTTGCAGACGATAGCTCTCACCCCCACTCGTCTGCTAGAGATGGAGGCTGGGGTGGCCTCAGTGGCTATTTGGGAACCACAGTTGAACAGACGTGGGCCCCAGTCTCTGTCACAACAACCACAAAACCAAGGGCAGAGAACGGCAGAGGTTCTGCAGCAAAGTGGAAAAGAGGCCACGTGAGTTCTCAAGGATCTCAAGAGCCCAGCATGCAGCTGGTGGATACCTTCCAGACCCTCCAAGTGGGTCTGAGAGAGCTCCTGTGAGAAACACGACCTGCGCACATGCCTTTTCCATTTCTGCCAACAGAGTCCTATTTTCCTCATTCCATCTCTGCTGGGGCACCCTGCAGAGCCAGGCCCTTACCAAGTTTTCGTTGGTCAGCCGGGTGATCTCGTGCTGCAGGCTGGCCTCGATGCGGGCCTCGGGGGGCAGCTGCAGGTTCTGGGCCAGCAGCTGCTGCTGCCGGTTGTTCTCTTCCTTCAGGCTCTGGATCTCCCCACGGAGGGCTTCGGCCTCGTTCTCATAGCTCCTCTTCTGTGACTGGAGCTGGGATTCCAGGAGCCTGCGGAGAAACCACAGGGGAAGGAAAGGGTGATGCACCAGAGTCCCTGCCTGGTGGGGCGAGGCTTCGTGCTCACTAGCGAAGGCAGGAAAAGCGAGGGCTCGAGTGTCTGCGCAACTTCTGACTTTAAAGCCAGGAAACTCGGGCCAGAACTGGACATGTTTGTGTCTTTCTGAACTGTGGGCCCTGCTACGAATATAAAGTTCTAAAGGCCCTGAGAAGCAAGGGAGTTTTAGCTCTTTTGAGAGTTCACAGGAATGATGACTAAAATAACCAATTAAAAGACAGCTTCACTCTGGCTGATTACAAACAAGCTTTCAAATTGGCAAAGACAGTATCTTTGCCACAAAATAACTGCATTATGGATCCAAGATTATAAACAATTGATCTAATTCATATGACTTCAAGAATGTCAGCATTACTAACTTCAGGCAGAGGGTGTAACCAGGGTCCCCTTTTTGCTTTCTACTCTTATCTGTGATGAAAGGAATAGCTGAATGCTTCTATGAAATATATAAAGATTTACCAAATCCAGACAGGTAGTTCTAAAATTTTATATACAAATATTTTAAATCTGTCATCTTCTTTCTCCCCATAAACTTCCCTATCAATAAGAGAATCCTAACAAGACATGGTTTTAGAACGTAAGTATTAACAGGACCAACAACATGGTTGTTGCTTCTCTGAGCAAACACTCAGCAGTGAGCACAGCAGACAGAAATAGCACCCCCCCCCTTTACCATGCACCCCATATTCACCCCCTTTCTAAACACAAATCAAAGTTACAGTTAGTAATTAATTAACATGAAGAAAGAAAGTTTGTTCTTTTATTTTAATCCCTTTGGTTACCAACTGCTGGGCAAGACTTATTGATGCCGTTGCAAGCAAACTGTTAACAGTAGATTAAAAATATTTTAGTGAGTATAAAATTTCAAGAGGATTTGAACCAATAACACCACAAAGTTAATGACAATGGTTTATGGTTAGGACAAACAAAGCAGGAAAGCAGAAGCCCCTTGAACAAACAGCATATTAGGTATTTTTCAAGCTTAAACATTAAAATAGTATTTTTATGAGATTTTTAGGACACAAACATCACTAAAGCAGGGGAGTATCTGTGTTAGAAAGGTGCTGCTGATTCAATTTTATTTGCTTCCCCCTAAACACATTTAACATGTTGAGTCTGGGTAATTATTTTGAACTGCAGCAATGCAGGAAATCCTCCTGATTTGCTGTTTCACAAATTGGAACCTCACAGTAACCACACAAAATGCCAAGTAAGGCACTTAATACTGCCAATAAGCAGCATGGAACAATATATTGGAATGCAGCCACAAAACCATTGGCATATTTATCCTTTAGATTGATCTTTATTCCAAACAAGAAACTACTAAGTATTAGGTATTAATATCTCCCACAGTAGTTTGAGCTCTAGTTGAAAGGTTTCTTGTTTTGTTTTTTCCCCAACTCCTAGTGAGATATTCACAAATGTTAGTGTCTGAAGGGCAGTCTAGATAGCATCTTTCACTTATGGGAAGCAACTCTTATTCATCATCAATCTATTTCAGCTTTAACAGCATCCCTTACTAAAGGTTTTAGGAAGGTATTTGGTTGAATGCTCTGTTTTACTAAAATTTACTTAGGAAGACAATGTACAAGAAACATAAAATTTGAAGTCAGGAAGCCACTGTTAGTAAGAAGAACAATAAATGAATAACATTGCATTGAGGACACAAATATAACCTGTTGGCTTGTTTTAACCCTTCATAAACCAGCCACAGCTCTCCATCCTCATTCAACTCATGGTAATCCATAGCAGACGACCTTCCATGCAAAGGAACAATGCAAAACACAAAGGATACAGGGTGGGAATGAGATGATGATGTCAACAGCACCACATGACATTTCATACTGTTTTTGTTAATTACAGATAACTTAAGACATTATCACAAAAAATATTTCTGGTTAATTTTTTAAAAAAAATGTGTAACATCTAATTGGGTGAAAGTAAAACAAATGAATCAAGGATCTACAGTGATTTTTCCTGTAAAATAAGAAATTATTCAAAAGGTGAGAGAGAAAAAAAAAAAGGTGAGAGAAGTCCTGCTTTTAGCATTTTATTCAGCTAGCAGAATGATCTTATTGTCACTTATTATATTCAAGACTAACCACAACAGTCACACATCTATAATATGAAAACTGCAGCTATTGTCTTCATGTAGCAATCTTCATAATCCATTTCAAAATGAAATTTTAAGTTTTATGGATAGAAACTTGTTTTGACGTAATAAAATATCATTTCCTAGTTTTAAAAAACTCTTATAGGAGTAACTTATAAATAAGAATATGTTCAAAGTTTGCAGCTTTTATGACACAACTTTTAAAAGACTTTTTTCTTTGTCTCAAAATTAATTTTAAGGCCTAAGGAAACTGTTTTTATATTAGTGATGTGACACATTTTATTAAAAGTGTGTATACTAAGTAATAGCTATTAATAAATAATAAATAATAACGGCATGCTTGATTACAGGATTTCTTCTATCTAGGCTATCAAAATGATATACATGAGTGTTTGCTAAGAGTCAGGTATTGTCTATAACTCCCGCATATATTATTTCACTAAGTTCTCCCAGTCACCCAATAAACATCTTTGCCACGTTGAGGAGGAAGTAAGGTGCCTAAGGAGGCTATGCAGCTGGAAAGCAGTAGCTTCAGGGCTATCAGGTGCAAGTCCAAGATCTCAGTTCTCCAAGACTTCTGTGTTGATACGGTGTTTATATAAAACAAATTCCAGAGCATGTTCTATTTCCACCTACCATCTCTCCCTGAAGAGTTGATCTATTCGCATGGTTTCAATTGTATATATTATATGCTGATGACATCAACATTTATATTTCAGCCCATATATCTCTCCTGCTTTAGATCTATATTTTCAAATGCCTAATGGATTTCTCTCCTTCGATGTCTTCCTAGCTCCTTAAATTCAATATCTGTAAATCTACCAATCTTCTGCACCCCATACTTTCCTTCACCCCAGACCAGGATCACAAATGGCATCACCACATCCAACCAAGTATCCACAGCAGACACTTCAGAGTCATCCAGCATGACCCCTATTCCAATAAAACACAAGGCTTTACTGACCTCATCTTCCTATGCATCTTCAAAGTGTCCCACTTCTCTCAATGCCTAATACCACCAACTAAATCAAAGTCACCATAACCTAGCCTCCTAGCCTCTAACATAAATGCCAGGATTAGCTTTCTAAAACTCAAATCTCATTATATTTTCCTACTTAAAATCTTCCAACAGCTCCCACCATCAGTGAAGTGAAGTCCAAATTCCCTAAGCTGTCTCCCCAACAGCCCATAAACCCTGTGAAAATAAGGAGTGCATTTACCTTGCTGACTGCTAGTATTCCCAGCATGTAGCACAGGAACTGGCATTAAACAGGCATGCACTACATCTCTGGTAACTGAATAGCTCAGTGGATGAAATAACAGCGTAATCTAGCTATTTTTATACTTACACAATCTTAGATACAAGATATGTGCCATTTATATTTTACATTCATAAATTAAAATTCAAGTTTAGCCAAAATATTCCTATCAATATTTTCCACCCATTAAAGAAGATATTCTTTAGTTTGTGAAGTATTTCTATATGCCAATCGTGGTACTATGCACCAGGAGACCCAGACTGCACACTGATAATAGAATCTCCAGAACTGCCTTTCTCTGTGATCATCACTGGCCATATTCTTGAAAACACGTAATCTTTTTAGGTGCAAGTTCAATAGCACTAAGGCTCCGCAGGGAAGGGGGTGAGAAGAAGCCTGAGGGAATCCCAGAGACAGCCTTTATTTTGTTATATAAACTCAGCTACAGAAAAAGCGTCAGGAAAGTTCAGTCATTTAGAGATGGTACAAATTCTGCATTCTCAGCCAATCCACCTCAAGTTCTTAAGTGTAGAGTAACTGAGCTAAGTGCCATCTGCAATTTCATTCACATTTACAGTAAATGGGATAAAACCAATTAGGATTTTCTTAGAACAACTTAGGGGAAAAAATATGGTCTCAAATAGCAGGGTTCTGCCCTAGAAATTATGGAACCCTTAGAGAATTATATGGCTGCCTCTAATATGATTTCAGATACTCCATCATTTCCCTTCACATTAAATTTTGATTGATGGAAACTGCAGTAGCCCCTAACAGCACTCACAAATAACCAGCCTGAATGAGGAATTAAAGGAACTACCCAAGACAATCAACAATGAGCAACTGGTTTTCTCCTCAAGGCTAAGACCTTAAAGATACAGACATATATATCCCCATGATGTGAAGAACATTTCCCCTGACTCCTTTCATCAATAATGCTACCTTGTAATGAGATTTTATTGAACATATTGAAAAACTTGGATTCCCTTTGAAGGTTAGTTGATGTCTGCTAAAGCAATGTATAAATATGTTGACTTTCTGTACAAGAGGCTAAAAATCAAAGATCAACATGATTAAACCAAAATGGAATAAAAACAGTATCAACTTACCTGTTTGTTTCTTTCAAACCAATGTATGCTTGTGCTATTTCACCTTTATCTTTCATTTTTTGTACATCTTCCAAAAGTACTGTGGCATCTGTCATTGTATTCTGAAGGGGAAATGACACATTTCCACATGAACAACCAACTCACAAGCTTTGGCCCACATACAACATATTCATGTGTTTATGTGTCCACCAAAACTCTGCCCCTCCAGACTCCAGAGGCAGGGGGGCACAGGTAGTCAAGGAAAAGGGGAGCCGTCAGTCCTTCTCTTGAGAATTCTTAATGTACTGCTATGAACATGATGAGATTCCAAATATCACAGCCCTATAAATAAAATAATTGACGGGCTATGTTCTTTTACATTGTGTGTGAGTGTGTTGGGGGTGAATATCTATATTCCATTATATAGTTCTAAGGCGTTCTTGACCGGTTATGTTCTAATGCTATATATGCTATATATTTTATACATATAAATTAGGTTTCATATGTTTAATATATATATGTATATAGTATAAATATATATATTTCAAAATATATACACAGCATTAGAATAAAAACCACTGAGTATTTAGTAAAATGGGCAAAACTGTTCTTCCTACTACTTTTTGGTCAGTTATTATAATAAAACATGTTATTGTAACACTTATTATAGTATCAGTTTTAATAACACACTAAAAGTTGGACATAAATCTCATTCTTCATGAAAAACTCAGTACAAGAGATAGCATTGTACATTGAAAGAGGTAGTATTCAAATGTATGCTTTAGCAAAATGAAAAGCCTTTCTTCACATCTTTAGATATATATAAATGGGAAGAATTTAGCTCCCTATAAATACTATCTACCATCTGCTGTTATTCAATACTTTTTCCTCTGTTACAGTATCACATGGCACATAAGCTTTTGAAATAAACACCTGGAAGGTCAAAATTACTAATGATCCTCTGTAATAAAAGTCCAGTGGCCATAATGGCAGAATGAACAGAATGACTGCTCGACCAGTCACTATGAGGTACACCGATCCACCTCTTGGTGGTTCCTTTCCCTGGTCCAATCACTGCCAATGGCGAATGGGGAATTGGAGTGGGTGGCGGGGGATGCAGGTGGCACCAGGACAATGGGAAGTGGGGGTGGGGTCAGCGAGCAGGCAAATGGCTGACCTCTCTGTCCTTCCCCTGGCTGTCAGGCTCCTGTCAGGCTCCCATCACCGGATGGGGAATGGAGAACTGGGGTGGGTGGCAGCCGGGAAAGATGGCCCTGATCACAGGCTAGGCCTCGGGACCGTACCCGCACACAATTTTGTCTCCCGTGCCTCTAGTTTTATATAAAAAGAACTTTTCTGTTAGACCTTTTTACTTTCTTTTTATTTTTCCTTTGTGGTCTAATCTGTCTGAAAACTACTATAATTTCAAAATTTTGCTTCTACTCAGCTATTCTATTATCTCTCCTAAACCAAAGCAAAAATACACAATAAGAACCACTGTTTTATAGTCTCTAAAGAATAGAACCCAATAGGCCATCATATTTGTCTAAATAGTACATATCTGATCCTTTCATCCAAGTTTGCTCCAGCAAGATCTCAAAATGAAGTGGCACTCAGAGAATCCACTTCAAATACCAGGATCTTAGATAACTTGAATGCCAACTAGAGGTCTACTAACACTTGCTTTTGAATGTCAGTGTTCATTAGAAGCTTCCTTTAAAAAAAATAATCCCACTTTTCTCCTATTGCTGTTCTTTTGTGAGTTTATAAATGTATCCTTAGAGAAGACCAAATAGAATTTGATAAAAGCTATTAACAAAAGCTTAAATTTATTACATTTTAAACATATTTTTCCAGAAACACCAAATACAGCATTTCTTTAGCAATTTTAGTACACATATCATAGAAAAACTTCCTTTTTCTCTTTCTCTGAAAGGAGAAAATCTTTCTATTCCATAAAGGGCCATACACAAATTTTTAAGTTTTAAGTAATAACTCTCAAAGGCTCAGGTTCTCTAATGCTACGTGTATTCTCTGATATCTGAGGATCTCCTTATAGAATGTGGTTTTGAACTTTTCATAATTAGGTAAATTTATTGAGTTAACTAATGTAGAGGAAAGCTGGGTCTCTTTAGTGCGTTGCTGTGCTGAGCTGGGCCTCCTAGTGTGTTGCCCATCTTTCCCTCAGTTGGCCTATCTTAGCTAAAGAGTGGTGGCCGGGGCATGGGATCAGGCTTAGACTGCCAGGGTTAACAAGTCAGTACTGACTCTGCTCAGCGTGTATCCCCTGAGCCAGGGACCGGAAGTCCTGAAAGGGTTGAACCATGTAGGAAAATCCCACCCTTCCAGGTGTGCTCAGCAACTCAGGCTCCTCTTCACCCTCAGACCCACAGGTGGTAGACAGGTGAGCACGGGAGATTCTCCAAGTTAAAGGGTCCTCCCTCCCTCCACTCTGTGGATGCCCTACAACCACCACAGTGAAGCACAGAGCTGGCTGTGAATTAGAAGTCAGGGAGGCCTCTCTGTGAGCCAGACTGGAGACTACTATTATCTACGTTTTCCCATTGACATCCCAAATATAAAAATAGACTTGGTGGGCAAAAAGCATCAATTGCATATAACGAGGGATATTTGTAAACTAACATTAGGATTGAATAGTATATACTAAAAATTTTATAATTACCTTGTCATCCTGAAAATCCCAAGTTGGCAAGCACAAAAAACAAATGGAGAAAACAATAAACCCTTACTTCTATAAATAAATTCTACCACTGAGTCTCCATCATAACAAATAAGAACTGTAAAAAACAACCAAGGTTTCCCTAAAACTAACTCAATAGATAAATATTCATGAAACTGACATAAGGTGGACATTAACATTTATGTGATGGCAAGTCTTAATTCTCAGGAATAAGTGCATGAAATTCTGTTTTGTTTTGTTTTGTTTTTAAATATATTTTATATATTTTTTTAAACTGATTTTTCACAGAGAGGAAGAGAGAGGGATAGAGAGTTAGAAACATCGATGAGAGAGAATCATCGATCAGCTGCCTCTTGCACACCCCCCCACTGGGGATGTGCCCGCAACCAAGGTACATGCCCTTGCCCGGAATCAAACCCGGGACCTTTCATTCCGCAGGCCGACGCTCTATCCACTGAGCCAAACCGGTCCCGGCGAAATTCTGTATTTTTTTATTGTAAAGTATTTTTAGTATGTGAAAGGACAGCCCTCCTGTTAGAGGACATGGGGAAACTCCTCCCCAGTGTCTGTGAGTTACAGTGAAGCCTCCTAGAGTACTCAAGGGGGTGGAGCAGACACTAGACCTGGCTAGGCTGGATCACCACCTTGCTCACTGGGTGTCACCGCTGTCCTGCAAAGAAGTTGTGACATATGTGTTTATGACTAGAAACTGAGTGGAATGATCAGCCCTGGTGTATCTGAAAGGTCTCAGTCAGCATCATGGGCATTTTTCCCAGGAGAGGACAAGCTGCTACCATGTGTAAGCTGGAAGCTCAGAGAGCAGAAACCTCGATTAGACGGGGCCAGCCCATTAGAGGCTGACAAGCAGTCATCACGTGGGGTATGCGAACTGGGTAATTGAGGGTGTGTGATCTCAGAACCACATACCCTGTTAGCTAAATTGTTTTTATGCCCCTTGGTTCATTTTTCTTTTCCTTTCCCGTAACTCTTACTGAAGTTTCCTATGAGCATACCAATTTGTCACAAGGGAACCAGAGGAAGGAATCCTGATCGTGGACTCTGCTCCAGCTAGCAGAAGCGAGGACTTGTTTCTTGAGTGGTCGTCAGCCCCAGGGAAGGCGAGATGTACATACAGGGCCAAGCCCAGGGAGAGACTCCCAATCTCCAACTTCTCATTTCAGATCAGACTTAAGGGGTTTGGGATTTGTTTTAAAATAAGGAAGGTCATTTCTTCATAAAAATCCATTTGTTACTGGGATTTTCCAGAATTTTATATTTTCTGGATCAATGTTAATCCTAGGTGAGAGTTCCCATTATCAGATCCAAACCTATGTGCAAGGCTCGGTATCTCAGCCACCTGCAAAATTACCATTTCTAAGAGAAGCATTCTCACATCTTTCAAGCACCCAGTTCATCATATATCACAGTCATTTTTCATTTGGCATGTCACACAGTTGGGATAGTTGATTGCCTCAAGCTTTGGTAACACTTTGCTGCATGAACACTGGCAGGGACATAGGTCAGGCTTTAAGGTGATTAATCTGATAATTTTTATCTGATGGCACATGACAAAAAGGCCCATTTCTGATCGGCACATGGTCTCAAAATACCTGAGGGCAGGAAAGGACTTCAGAGGGCCATCTATATCTTCCAGCATGGTCCTTTCTGCTGCCTCACTAACCACAGGCCCTCACGCTGGGACAGCTTCCCTAGTACAGAACTCCCTGAAATGAGCAGAAATCTCCATGCAACTTCCACCACTGAAATCCTTTCCATGTTACCTTTCCAGTTAAACAGGCTACCTTCAACAAATAATTTTAAAGTCATTCATGCCTTCCCACTGCAAGACAATTTATGGATTTGTGTACTTAATAGCATTTTATTTTTTTATCAAAATTGTGGCCAAATTATTACAAAAAATAACTTTAAAAGCACTTGGCTCATGAGTGAGAGATGAGACTGAATACCATTTGGGATTTCATGTGCTTTTTGCTCACTCCAAATGACATTTGCAATCGTTTTTAAAATAACACTGAGATTTTTAAAAAATTATAATATTTTCATTTAGACTAAAAATGCTCTTAAGTGTTCCCTTCATTATACAATGGACGGAATGGATAGACAGAAAGAAACAGAGGCCAAAACCCCAACAGCCTCCTTAGCCACTTGCTTGTGCTTACCTTGGGTTGGATGGCCTCTTTCTGGCTCACCAGCTGAGACCTCAGGATGAGGACCTCCTCTTTGCGGACATCGAGCTCCTCACTCACGGAGGTCAGCTGCTCCATGAGGACACGGTATGCTGGTGCCCCCGGAGCAGTCACCTCTGGGGCGCTTTTCTCACTAAGGGCTTTGCGCAACTCATTTAGCTCATTTTTCAGTTTTTTGTTTTCTGATTCTAGTTCTTGTCGCTGTGTAAGGGGACAAAGGATAGTTCATTGCTGTCATCCTCAACTTTACATTGGAATATTCATCTTCCCCCAAGATGGTAGAAGAATTCTGCTGGAAAAGACTGTCAGAGCTCCCCTAGTGAATGGCTTCCCAGGTTCTACTGGGAATTCTATTCTGCAAACTCAGGAAGTCTGACATCAAGGAGAATTGAGCAAGGTAAATGGTAGTTTGCTTCATCAACCTAAATTCCAGAGTCGAATTTATTCCAGGCCTGCCCAGGGTGTGTTCCCAGGCCTGGCGATTGCTGAGTTCCAAGGGGAGAGTTTAACCCAGTCCTAGGAAGCCCAGTTTTGTTTATGGGTAAATAAATGTAAGGGTAACTATGAGGGTCCAGCTAGTCAGGTTATTTCCAATAAATAGTTCAGATGAGTGGCTCTCTGAAAGAAGAGGGACATCTTTTTATTTCCTTTGTAAAACAGAATGAAAAGACCACTGAAATCTTAGGCTTTTAATTTCTAATAAAAAAAAATTACCACATCACTTAAACTAATTAAATTCTCTTTAATGTTTTGATGAAAACAAATAATCTTTAAAAAAAAAAAAAAAATATATATATATATATATATATATATATATATATATATATAGTTCCACGGATTTGCATATCATCCTTGCACAGGGGCCATGCTAGTCTCTGTACTGCTCCAATTTTAGTATGTATGTTGCCGAAACAAGCATGGATATATCTTTTTCACACTTCTTTCCTGTATGACATGCTAAGTTGCTGGCAGAGTTCTGAGAGGTGGGAGGAAGGATGGGCCACCTCCTCCTTCACCATCCAGATGGATGCACACATCCTTTACACTCGCACATACCAGCAGCCATCCTTATGCTGCAAGGTGCTGCCTCTGCACATCCTGCTCAAGCAATGGCAATGGGAACCCAGAATAGAGTTCTCACATTAAAATATATTTACTGGTACTAGAATACAAATGTTACAGAATACCAGCGCAGTAGACAGTCATTTAAAAGCACCATGTTTACACCTGAACCTAATACAAAATAATATTGAATGTGAACTGTAATTGAAAAATTTTTAAATAAATAAATAAATAAATAAATAAATAAATAAATGCACCATAATGACTTATTTAGCACATGAGATAAGGCCTTATGATGGTGGACATGAAATACTTCTGTATAAAGATAAAATATTTTATTGCTTTTTTTCCAGAGGTAATCGTGTGCTTGTAGCACCATATCAGACTTTTCAACATGTTTTAGATTGTCTTTTTTTTTTTTTTCTACTTAAGAATAAGGAATCTTTTCTTTCATGAATTAGTTCAACTTTATGTGCAAAAGAATGTTCCTCCGTATCCCGTCTCCCACCAGCTGGTACTCAGATGCGCATTGCTCATGTCTGCAACAGAAAGCATGGCTGTCTTTACTCTGACATCTATGCTCTGTGTACTGTTTCCTAAGCTTCCTTGAGCATCAAGACTGCTTGGAGGACAGGTGCAGGGCCTACCCACAGTTTCCAATTCCATAGGCCCACAAATGTGCATTTCCAAGTTCCCAGCTGTCGGTGATGGTCCTGGCCAGGAACAACATTCTGAGAAACACTCAAGCTAATATTGGGAACTCTGTGATCTAGGCTTCTTCACATACAGAGGATGTCTTTATTTGTTCGTTTTTGTGTGAGGTAGGCAGAGTGAGTAGAACTAGAAATCAAATTCCTAACCCCATTCCTCTAGTTTCAGTAGGGTTTGGTGGTTAGAGTATGGGGTTTGAAGTCAGAGATATTTGTAGGTGATCTTAGGGAACTTACTTATATCTCCTGGCTTCCATTTTCTTATCTATAAAATGGGAAGTAAAATACTAACTTGCAGGACTGTTGTAAGAATCAGAGCTGATGTGTAAAATACCTATATTTTTTAAATGATGATGACAATGATAACAGCCAACATTTGTTGGATACTATTACATACAGTACTGAGCACTATTAACCTATTTACATGGATTAGTTCATAGAACCCTCATAAGAGTCCTATCCCCATATTATAGGAAATTGAGGCATAGGAAGGATACATGACTTGCACACAGCCATATAGTGGTGGATTTAGCATCTGAACCCAGGCAGTTTGATGCTAGAGTCCATGTCCTTTACTACTTTCTACAGCCTCAAATTTCAGCTACTAGTCCTGTTTCTGTTTAACTGAACTCCATATTATACAGAATAGAACTCATAAAAGGAAACAATACAAGGCTAGACATAATGCCTGAATAAAGCTTAAGCTAGGGCCTCAGGTGCCCTGAAACATGTTCTCTGAGAAAAAGAGAGGCTCTCAGCAGATCTCTATTTCAGGTCTTGGGCAGAAATATTCCATTACCTTGAGTGACTCATATTCCAGTTCTGCACCTCTAATTTGTGGCCGTTCTTCTTCCTAAGGAAAAGATAAATTACAAACTTTATAAACAAGTAGTTATATTTTAATTGTTACATTTTTACTCTTAGAATATTTCCTTGCTCTGAAGAAAACAGAGAGGAGAGGTCAGCCCTCACTACTTGAACCAAATCCTACTTGGTTAAAGTGCTTCTAGGCTGGGCTTCCATTAAGAAGTATATGCATGCATATAAGCATAACCAATGGACGCAAGACACTGGGGGTTAAGGGCATGCATGGGAGTGGGGTGGGAGGGGGAATGGGAGGATACGGACACATGTAATACCTTAATCAATGAAAAAAAACTGGAAAAAGAAAAAGGAGAAACTATAGAACTGGATATAAAGTCCCAGCCTCAGTGCTGGGTTTGCCTGCGGCCTGGGGTGGACAGCATCGCGCACCTTTGCCTTGCTGCGGAGCACCTGCTCCTCCTTGCGGTCCAGCTCATCCTGCATCACTTGCTTCTCCTGCTCCAGCTCTGTGACCCGCTTCTGGAGCTTGAGGAACAATGACATGTCCAGTGGTACCTTCTTCTCACTTGGCTCCTAAGTCCCAGGAAAAATAAGATAGTCAAGACAATCCAAAAGATGTATAAGCCAATGAGAAAACGATGCATAGCCCAAAAGAAAAAATAGGCAAACTTACAGAAAAAATATAAAGGGCCAAAGAATATAGATGTAATAGGTCAACTTAGCTACTAGGAGAAAGGCAAATGAAACAACAGTGAGGTATTATTTTTCCCCTATAAAGTTGGCAAAGATTGGGAAGATTTATAGTGCCATGTTTTAGTAACAGGGTCTTACATGATATTGGTGGAAGTAAAAGAAGGCCTTTTAAAAGAGCAAGTTAGTTATACCTATTAAAATTTAAATGTGTGATACCCTTTAATTAGCAATCTATGTTTAAAAATTAATCCCACAGATATACTACTTACAAAAATACACAAAAATATATAGAAAAAGATGTTTATTGCAGCATTATTTTTATCATTACAAAAAAATGCAAAGAACCCAAATGTTAGTTAATGGGAGTGTTTTTAAATAAATTATGGTAAAGCCAAATTATGACATACTTTATAGCTATTAAAAAGAATGAAATAGATCTATATGAGTAGATAAATATCTCCCAGAATAAAGTATTAAAAGTAAAATATACAAGTTGCAGGACAGTATTTATATTATGATCTTTTGTTTTATTTAGAAAAAACATAAATATGTGGAGTTTTAAAAATACATAGCACTTAGCATACAAACATCTAGAAGGCCTTCAATGGTTACCTTGGAGAATGGGAGATACTATGGGAAAGTTTTATTTTTTACTTTAGACATTTCTATATTTGAATTCTTTGTAATTGGAAAAAATAATTTTGAAAAGGTGGTCAGCATAAACATATTGAGATCAGAATGAGAGAAAACGAAAACATATATACCTCTTAATAAACTGAAAGATATCCTGGTAGCATTTTAAAAAGTATAGCAGTTGGTTCTAAAACAGAACCACAGTGAGAACTACTAGGATAAATAAAGACACACTAATTAAAGCTAAACAAACAGAAAGAACTAACCACCATCATGGAAGTTCCGAGAGAGCCATAATTGTTTCACCTTACGTACTTGGGATTTGAACTTTTAATGAGGTAAGAAGAGAAAGAATTGTATCTTTAGATTTAATGGAATAATAAGGAGTCTCTTCTTGTTTGAGAGAAAGATAATAACATTTATTTAACTAAAAGGTCAAAAGATAATTAACTGATTAGCTAATCTTATATTTCCAATTGTCAATTTTTAAGACAAATGTTTTTAATCTATAATAATAAAAACATAATATGCTAATTAGACCGGATGTCCTTCCGGACAAAGCTGGGGCTGCAAGGGAAGACCGGTCCCTGGTGCCAGAGGGAAGCTGGTGCCGGCAACCGGGGGAAGGAAGGCCTACTCTTGCAAAAATTTTGTGCATCAGGCCTCTCTATAAAAGCAAAATACATTTCTAGAGAAAATCTAGGAAATAAGAAAAGTACAAAGAAGAGAAATGCAAGCATAACCAATCTTATATCCAGAGAAAACCCATAATTTTGTTCAGCCTTCTTGCTGTAGATTTATGGAAGTGAAATAATATTTTCATTATATATTTGTGTTATCTTTTAAAGATAGGCATAATCAAAGCATTTTCTTTTTTAAAAATATGCTTTTATTAATTTCAGAAAGAGGAAGGGAGAAGGAAAGAGAAAAACATCTCTGTATTCTTATAGTTACAGGAATATGTCATTTTAGTTTTATACCACATAATACAAAGCACTAAGGCAGATTTATAAGCTATTTTTCAAGTATTTTTGTGGAAGAAAATTACATTTGTAAAAACTGTCATTAAGCCCTAACTGGTCTGGCTCAGTGGATAGAGCGTCCGCCTGCGAACTGAAGGGTTCCAGGTTCGATTCCGGTCAAGGACATGTAACTTGGTTGTGGGCACATCCCCAGTAGTGGTTAAGCAGGAGGCAGCTGATTGATGATTCTCTCTCATGGATGTTTCTAACTCTCTATCCCTCTCTCTTCCTCTCTGTAAAAAAATCAATAAAATATATTTTAAAAAAAACAACAACTCTGATCAAACAGAGGCAGCAGTCTTACAAAACTCTTGGGCATTGGTATTTATAATGCTCAAGGGCAAAGGCTTACTTTTTATTTATTTTTATTTTTTTAAATTTATTTTTAATTAAATTATTATCTGTGTACATATCTTACCATTGTAAAGGCTTACTTTTTAAATAATTTTCCTCTGTTGGAAATAAATTCATGATAGGCTATATTTTTGTTACTAGTATACATAAACTACATTAAGGTATAAAAGGGAATTACAAAAGGGAAAATCTGGTCATCAAAATTACATTAAAATTAAAATGTCAAAAAATATATATGCAGTAAGTATATAATACATAGCTAATTAAGCACCTATAAGTCACATCTGAATAATAATCAGTTCAAAACGAAGTATACATTTATGGGCAAATGGGATCTGCTCTGCAATGGAAATGTGCTCTGTTAACAATAGCATGGTCATATTCTACTTTTAGTGAGAGGTGTCTAAAATGTACCTCTGAATTCGCCCTGGCCGGTGTGGCTCTGTTGGCTGGAGTGCTATCCTACACAGCAGAAGGGGGTGGGTTCGATCCCTAGTTTAGGTGCATATGGAAGGTAGCCGATAGATGTTACTCTCTCACATAGATATTCATTCTTTCTCTCCCCCCCTCTCTCCCTCTCTCTCTCTCTCTCTCATTTCCCTCTCTCTAAACTTAATATAAATAAATAAATGAATAAATAAATAAATAAAACAAAGTGTACCTCTGTCCTCAATGGAATGTCTTCAGTTTCTCCAATTTCAGTGCTAAAGGTATATTCAGACTCATTGCTGCTGTGGGTGGAGTCTGTTCTCTTGTGTCCAGGCTTAGGCACATTCTGTAAGGCAAACAGGATATAATACTCATAACACAATTAAACCTGGTATAGTTAAGACAGCATCCATCTTAACCTGGTTTTAATCACTACTCACTGACTTGCTATTCTTATGACCAAATGATCTATTCCATGTTGTCTTGACCAAACTCTCACAAAAGGGTCACCTTGTGAGCTCCTCAAAGAAAGAGACAAGCACCAGCAGACATGACAAGAACCGTGGCAAAACCAGATGCTTGAATGAGAGTCACTGTTAGCAGAGTCCCTTCTGGGTTTTTTAATTGTGAGTGGCCACCCACACTGGTGGAGCATAAGTAGTATGCTTCAGCATCCACACACTGACTTCAATGTCACAATTAAGTAAACATTACCAAAAAGTTTATAAGGTGTGTTTAATGACAGAATAGTTATTTTATTGTGCTGTGTTTGGGCATAGTTAATAAAAAAAGAGGGGGTTTCCACAAAGTGACTGTAATTTCTGTCACTTTTATGCATGAAGGTGACTCTATGGAGTCAGCAGTAGGAAGGATGAGCAAGAAAGTCAAGGAAACTGCTCTAAGAAAGCTCTGAAGATCGTTGGGTTATTCATTCAGGGAGTCCAAGTGACACGTTATGGCATATAGTACCTGTGAAATTGCATTCAGAAAGTATGTGGGGAACAGAAAAGTTAAGCAATTGCAGGTCCCTCTTTTCTGGATTAAGGGCTGGAGAATGATTTGAAGGAAGAGGGAAGAAAAAGGCTGGGTTTGTGCCCCTCAGTCCTCAGGTGCCCCCAGCAGAAGAGGTGGGGAAATTTGGTGGCCTAGATCTCACAGGGTTACCAATCCTGGGAGCTTCAGAAAGGCCTCAGAGGGCTTTCTGATCTGCCCAATTTCCTTTATTCCTCCCCCAAATGCAGGAAAGGAGCCAGAAGCCACAAGGTGGATCTTTGCCTCTTTCCTTCTGCCATTCAGACTTATAGGGAGCAAAATCATCAGTGCAACCAAAGTGAAGCCGGCACATGGGGCAATTGAGTCTCCCAGGCCAGCCCACCATGCATGCCAGTGCACAGGAAGACCCCAGAACACCAGAACCTCTGACCTATCTAGCAGTAGGGCGCACACCACAGAAGAACTGCCACAGATAAAGCCCAACTCTGCTTCCACACACAGGTTACTCTGCTTACACACACAGGCACTCTGAATTAAAGTTCCTAGTGTTCCAGGCTTAGGCACATTCTGCAAGGCAAACGGGATATAATCCACATATCATGTTGCATAACATGGTGTTTATTTAATAAACTAGAGGTCTGGTACATGAAATTTGTGCACTGGGGTGGGGGAAGGGGTCCCCCTCAGCTAGGCTTACACCCTCTCACAGTCCGGGACCCCTCAGGGGATGTCCACCTGCTGGGGGGATCGGGCCTAAGCCAGCAGTCAGATATTCCTCTTGAAGTCCGGGGCTCTTGCAGTCTGAGAGCTCTCATTCCTTATTACCCGCCTGCATGGAGGCAGAAGAGGCTCCCACAACCACGGCTGTGCTTGCCAGCTGTAAGCCATGAGCCTGGCTTTTGTCTGAGTGGCACTACCTCTTTGGGAGCACACTGACCACCAGGAAGCAGCTCCTGCATTGAGCTTCTGCCCCCTGCTGGTCAGTGCACGTCATAGCAACTGGTCGTTCCGCCAGTCATTCTGCCGATCTGCCACCATTTAGTTGATTTGCATATTTGAGATTTATTATATAGGATGGTATGTTCTTAAGAAAATCAGGTTCATAAATACTAGGACAATAATTTTTAATAAATTTATTAAAGATATGTGAGACCCCTATTTTCCTACATGTATGTATTTTTGAAAAACAAATATCTTCAGATACGAATAGAAGCAATACTATAGAATTGCTATTTACTGTAACTTTTGCATACTTGGCAATGGTTAAGTGCTCTGCGTTGAGAGAGTTGGGTGGGAATCCCAGTTCTGCCACTTGCCTGTCCCTTACCCAACTTCTCCAGGCTTCATTTTCATCTTTCAGAAAAAAGGGATAATATTATCTACCTCATAGGATTTATGTGAGGATTACATAAGAGAGTGCAAGTAAAGAATTTAGCATAGTACCTAGGACATAACAAGCATTCAATGAATGGTAACTGATGCTGCTATAATTGTTAGGACCCTGTAATAATTCAACTCCCTAGGTGGCCTTTCAGTTTTCATTCAATATGCTATTCAAATACAAGGATGAACATTTGACCTGACCAGCATGTTCTCCTTCAAGATCTGTGTGCAGCACCTCCTCTTCTCCTTATCTGTCATTTCTTCCATAATTCTTTCTTCTCTTGAATCTTATTTACTCCCTTTGTCAAGATTAATGGCCCTATTTTTGACATGCTGGATTCCCTCCTTACTTGGAATTAATTATCTACAAACACTTCATAAACCTGGATTTGCTGGCCTCATTATCCTTTTATTGTTGGCTTAAACCTCCAGTTACCATTCATTGAACCCCTTCCTGGCTTCTGCCCTACAAATGAATGTTCCTGGAGAAAAATCCCACAACACTTTTTAGTACCAGGGAAAACAAATCTAGACTCTTGTAATCAGTGGCACTAACATAATGGAAGCCCTGAGACAGTCTATCAATTTTCCTCCCTTAAACTTCCCCACATCCATTTGAGGAGTCTATCTGATACCACAGTAATTAGCTAGTTACTAATAATAGAAAAGGAACATAAGGGAGGCTAGACATTATAGCATGTCATTTGAGCAGCTTCACCAGGAAGCTGCAACTTCACACTCCCCAGGGAATTACCAAGATTACTGAGAGAAGAGACTGGGGCAATTGGGGAGACAGACAACTGTGCAGTAAAGTTGGGGTGAGTAGGGAAGGTACCTGTCAGTCAAACCTGGAAACACAGGTCATTGGCTAGAGTAGGCAGGGCCATTGCAAACTCTAGTAAATTTGGGAATACATAATCCCACAAACAAAGGATTTCACTCTTTTGGCTTGTGGCTCTCTTGCATTTGGTGTTTTCTCCATAGCCATATGACCCTGTGGACCCCACATGCAATGGACTGATGTACTGCAACTGGGAACACAAACTAAGCGACCCTGATGCTGGAATGGATACTGATTCTAGCTCTGCTGAAGCCACAGCTATACTTCTTCTATGGCAGGGCAAAGGGAAATGGGACCTTGGGAAACCTAGGGGTTAATTCCACAGAAATAAAGCTCTCTACAATATCTCATCCTCCCATGCGGATCTCAGAAAATTCCTTTTCTTGGGGTCCCAAGAAGCTCACTCCCAAGAGCAACAGAAGGGAACTTGGAGATCTCCTCTCTGATAACATATTTATTACAAAATGCTTCCTTAGCATTGGGGCAGTGAGAGCTCATTTGCAAAACAATGCCAATGAAATATTAGCCAAGAACCCATCTGTTAGTTGCTAAGTTCTAATCATTAAAATAAGATGCTGCTATTAATATTTCAATACTCCTAAATATAAAGTCAAATTTTTTATTCTCACCAAACATTTCCTGAAAAGACTGCAATCTTGATTGTATCTGGAGCTAGGAAACCAAACTACCCCTGAGGCTCCTTCCTCGGACCATTCTTGTTACCCAAGAGGAATGACAGTGAGTCACAGGCATCCAATGGAGAGGGAAATAGGCTGAGAAATCAGAAAACAAGCAGCTAAACTACTCCTAGAACTTGGTTACATCTTTGTTTTTCCATAGCACAGCTGAGAACAAAACAAACAGCAGCAGACCTGCTCAGCAGGAAGGAAATCACTGATGGAAAAATCACTTTTCTAGAGGTGGCTGCCCCTCTGATTAAGGAGACCCATTAAGCACACAGGACTCTAGAGAAAGCTGGGAATGAGAGAATGTGAACAAAGAAAGGTTTCTCCAGGGCCAAGTGCAGTAGGGAGAGCAAAGAGGATAAGACTTAATGAGGGTCCTTCCAATGTATCCATTGCAAGGATAACGGTGACCTATTCCTACTTCTAATTTCTCTTTGTCACATATAAATCACAGAATAGAGTAGTGAGGTTTGAAATAATGGTCCAACTATGGATTTAAGTTAGCATTTTAATCTCTTTGAGACTAGACTTTCTCATTTCAAGGTGGTAAATTTACTTAATTTCTTTTGTTACATAATCTCCTTTATTTTGACTTTTTAAACATCATATTTTAAAGAACTTTATCAAAGGATCCAGATTGAGGCAAAATTTGAAGCAAGTACTGAACCCCACAGATATCAAATTATCTGTTTGTTTAAAAGAAATTTCAAAGCATTTCTGGCTATTTGTACCATGAAGTTACCATAAAGGTTGACACTTTAAGGAACAAGAGAGCTAGGGATTTCTTTGTTTCATGATAGCAGGTTAAGTAAAAAAGGGAGAACTCTTAAAAGGTACACTGGCAGATGTAGAAGAGTCCTTGAAAGAGATAAATTATTACAAATAGTGGCTGAGTCTTCTTTTTGTAGGAATATACCTCTGAAATTATAATAAAAACCAGTAGAGGAAAATAATCATATAAATATTTTCTTTATATGCAAATTTTACATTAAATCATTCAATTTATGAAACAAAGTCCAGTTATACTGATTTTATACTACCTTACATTCCAGTCTTTAAAGTGTTTGACTTTATAAATTATTTATAAATAAAGTTATATGATTTCTGAGATTTGCTTTAAAATAATCCAACCCATTGGATGGGGTGGGATGGAGGGGTAGAAAAGTGATTTCCATTTTGGAACTGGGTGGTGAGTACATAGAATGCACGGGAGTTCATTCTCCTATTCTATTTAATGTTATATATGTTTTAACATTTTTCATTAAAAAAAAAGGAAAAGTAGATGACCTACCAACATCACAGTCATCTCTTCCTTGAGGTCATCATATCGTTCTTCTAAGCGACTGAACTCATTCAAAAGGTTCTGATATCTCAGCCTTTCATCATTAAGATCGAGTTCCAGTTGTTTCGTTTCTTCTACCAACTTCTTCTCCATAGTCTCTGAAGAAAAGAGGAAAAAGCATATCGAAGATGACTCCACAGAATACAACAGGACAAGCATGGACCCTGACTTCCGTTTCTTCACAGGGCTTTTACTTTTAGTGCCAATATGATCTATGAAAAGTATCTTCACAGTCAGTGTAGGGAAAGAGAAGCCTTGGCCAGGTAGCTCAGTAGGTTAGAGCATCGTTCCTATAAGCCAAGGTTGAAGGTTTGATCTCTGTCAGAGACCATACAAAAATCAACCAATGAATGCATCAGTAAGTGGAACAACAAATTGATGTTTCTCTTTCTTTCCCCATTCCCCTCTTTCCCTAAAATAAAAAATTAAAATTAAAAATTAAAAAAATGAGAAAAAGTATCATAACCAAAAACTGAAATAACTTATTGATAACAGTAATAATCATCTGTGGAGTTCTTCCAGAACTATAGACTTGGTGCCTCTAGTTCATTCTCTGGTCATAGCACATGCTTGTAGAACTTCCACTAGTCATTGTCTAGTAACAAAAGTATACATGTTTTATTCCAATAGTAGTCTGTTTCAGGCTCCTCATAAATTGTTTTGTCCAGATTAGTGTGCTCTGTCAAAAAGTCAGATATGCCCCAGTCTCTGAGGGAATGGCGGCTTCTCAGTGGACCTGGCTGTCCTACTCTCCACTCTCTCCACTCATCTGTAGCCAGGTTCTCTTTATCAATTTTCCAGCACTCTGAACTCCCCCATCTTATTATGTCCCCATTTCTAATCAGGTACACTCCCCATGCCTGTCAACTGTGTTACTTCCCCTACGTGCTGCTGGGGGAACCCGCTCCACGCTAATCCTCTCTGCTGCCAGTGGTTTGCATTTAGCTAGAACAGCATCTGGAGATTGGAGATTAGCCCCTGACTACAGCTAAAGCAAAATAAAAAAAACTTCAAACCTCAGCTGTATGTTTTAACTCGATGAGCCAACCAGTCACATTTATAAATATTAAGCTTGCTTCCATTCTGGTTCACTTTACCCTCATATTTTGTGGCTAAATCTTAATCTGCCCTGCTCACTTCTATTACTTTACCATTTCTTTCTCTGTCAGCTCCATGAGGGCAAGGGCTGCCAGTGTCTTGTCTCAACTACTTCTTTGGTGCCATCACAGTGTTTCCCTACATAAGGCTTTAATAATTTGTAAATGAATGAATGGAAAAACTTCTTCTCTTTATAAATTCTATAACTTGCCATTTATTCCTACCAGTTTGCAGAAGCTGCCCAAAGCTACCAACAAATTGTCCCTGGGCAAGTCTATTTTCCTAGAAGCATCTCATCATTCTGGAGCCCCCATCACATTCTGCATCCTAGCAGCTTTATTTCCATGTCTTCAGTGTCTGTTTTGTTTATTCCTTCTCTTCTGAATATTTTCCCCACCTCCTTTTCCCCACACCTTATCCCTTACATATGGTTATCCTATAAGGCTTAATTCCAGATTTTCTCTCTCTCTTTTTCTCCCCACCCCAATTCTCTCCTCCCTTTCTTCCTCCCTCCTTCTTCTTTCCCTCCCTACTTCCCTCTCTTCCCCACTTTCTCTTTCAAGGAGGATTAAAAAAAAAAGTGGCATCTTATAAAACTTTGGGAGGTTGGTTAGCATGCATTAGTTTGAGCCCACATGAGCCTTACCTGTCATCTCCTTAGCCTGTTCCACAATAAGGAGATTGAGGGCTTCTTTCTCCTGCTTGAGCAAAGTATTTTCTTCCTTCAGAGTTGATACCACCTATAAAATTAAATAAACTAAGGTAGCTGCAACAGGTAGAGCAAACCAGGTCCTAAATATAAGACCACACTATAGTCACTCCGTACCTCCACATCTCTGTGCCTCATTTCTTTGCAGTTATGGCTAGTCATCTTTCACATTTGGTTCAAGCAATACCTCCTCCAGAAAGCCTTCCTGGAAACTCTCTTCCAATAGACGTTTCCTTTCTGGGCTACTATAGGGCCCTGTATATGCCTCTTTATAGTCCTTATAAATGATTTACTTTTACTTCCCTAATACACTAGAAATTCCTGGAGGACAAAGATGATCACTGCTGCCGAAGCCGGTTTGGCTCAGTGGTAGAGCGTTGGTCTGCGGATTGAAAGGTCCCAGGTTCGATTCCGGTCAAGGGGATGTACCTTGGTTGCGGGCACATCCCCGGTAGGGGGTGTGCAAGAGGCAGCTGGTCGATGTTTCTCTCTCATCGATATTTCTAGCTCTCTATCTCTCTCCCTTTCTCTCTGATAAAAATCAATAAAATATATTAAAAAAAAAAAAAAAAGATGATCACTGCTATTGTTTTACTTTGTACCTTGAGCATTTAGCAATGCCTGGCCCCTCATAAACATTTGCTCTTAAAGCAAAGATAATGCCTTTTCACCTCAGCAGCCTAACACAAAGCTACACACTTAACCCATGATTCAGGTAGAAGATTGAAGAGATTAAGAAAGACTTGAAGGCATTTTGTTTCTGGAAATTCACTGAAGATTTTCTGACGCTCCCTGCTGTCTATCTTGAAAAAGAGAATTTTCCTTTCATCCCCTTTTAAGAGTTTTGCAAGGTTGTAAACTTGTCCTTTTATCCCATGTTTAAGCATTGACTTTACTACAGTGAATGCACTTAAGGCCACTGGACTGTATACTTAAAAGTGGCTAATATGGTAAATTTTATGCTATGTATATTTTAATATTTTTTTAAAAATTTTAATTTTCTAGTTTCTAGTTGGATAAGGACACCCAGGAAGCAAAAGTCAAAACCAAAGATAACTTTGCAAAGTTCATAATTTACTCAGTTCATCTCTGCAATAACGTAATGTACTTGTGATGAGTAAAATCTAAATTTCTTCTCTAAGCCTAAGTTCAAGGAACTCTAAAAGTGATAGCTAATAATAAAGATAAGTGTCAGGAGTTCAGATAGAGAGTGAGGGCTCTGTGACAGGATCTCTGGAGAACAGGGAAGTGGACAGCAACACTGCCACAGCTGAAGTCGCCAGGTGTTCCTTTGGAGGGTCCAGTCTCTTCCTTCCATAGTGACCTAGCCTTATCCTCCACCTCATCAGGGTGACCCGAGTCCCCTATGCTCTTGAGAGAAACTGCTCTTTATCAAGGGTATGCTTTTTCAAAATACATGTGCCTCGTTCACACTCCCAGCGCTTGGGCAGGTATCTTCAAAAATAACTCCCCAGCAGATTCTGATACACACTCCTGGTTAAGAACCACAGTTATAGTGTACCTTCCAGGCTCCTTAAAGGTATATAACTTTCCTGATCATAAAGCTGGCCATCACAGTGAAGTTTTTTCATTCCACATTACTACACTCCACCCAAAAGAATAAGCAATAATGCCTATAGCTAGCCTGTGAAAAGCAGATTAAAAAAAAAGGGGGGGGGGGGGGAGAAATCTGTATCTGTTCATGTGTACTATTCTATCAGACCAGAAAGGTATGAACTTGACTTTAAAGAGGAAAGAGAATTTTCCTAATTTTCCTACCAAGCTTAAATACTCTAGATTCAGAGGAATCTGGAAAGCTTCTGTGGACTCAGAAAATGGCAACAAGAAAAAAGGTAAAATCTTAAACTTCAACGGTACTGCTTTGAATGCATATTTAAATTCCGACAGAACAAAGTTGCCACGTCAAATAACACATTAATGGCATTGCTGAGGAATTGTTCTATTGGGACTTTGGATACCATGGGAGGATTTGCATCTATGCTCCTTCAGAGATTCTCACTGAGCTCAGAAGGTTAATGTTCAGCTGTCAGCGCAGAAACAGAGCAGCGGGATTCTTGCTCAGTTACAATCAACACAGTGAACTCTGTTTTCACTTAAAGATGACCACACTAGTAGACTCCCTGAAAATTACTTATTTCCCCAGCAAGTCTTTATGTTGAGGCATTTTTATTTTGTTTAAGCAATGCATCTCACTGCTGCTTGAGAACCTTAATGTTTTCTGTGTTTAGTCAAGTTTTAACATAAGTAAATACAAATTTGTATTTTGGAAACACTGGTCAATCTGTGAAAAAAAAATGTTTTTCTTGTTCTATCTGCATAACAGCTCTTGGCTACAATCAGTGTGCAGATGTGTGGATTTATCCATTGGACTTCTCAACATAGACTTAATTCATTTCCATAAAGCTCCCTAGTATCAGCTATTGAGAGTTCATTGTTTGATTTACCTCTTAATCATGTTAACCCAAGAAAAAGGAGTCTACTCTCTATCCAGACCTATGTATATAAAGAAAAAGAGTATATATATATATATATATATATATATATATATATATATATACACTATATATATATATATATATAGTGGGGACATGGCTATTAATTCTCTTCTTACAATACTGCTTTTCCTCTGTTCTCATGAGAGTCAAAAGGTTCTACAAAACAGCTACTGACTCATCATGTGGAAGAAATGCTTGGGAAACACAGATAATAAAATTTCAGCTCTGAAACCAACACTGAGCCACAAGGGGACTGGTCGAGATGATGGCACATTTCCTTTGTAAAATGGATGTGAAATTAGTTCCTACCTGCTCAGTTTCTTGCTTGTATCTATCTGCACGTTCCTCGATGGATTTTTTCTCTGACCGAGTCTGTTCCAGGTCTTTCCGGAGCTTGGCAACCTCTTCCTGTAGACTGAGAACCCGTCCAGTGGCAATCTTAGCCTCCTCCTCACTTAGTTGAAGACGTACTAAGTCACTTCGCAGTTTCTCAGTCTCAGAGTTGTATACTCCTTCCAGATTGGTCAATTTCTCCATGAGGCATTTGTAGTCTTTGTTCTTTAAAAACACACAAACAATTAGTAAATAGACATGCCACCAAATGTATATAGTCAGGAAACTAGGCTTATTCATCATAGTCATGCTATATCATCATAATGTTATAGTATCTAACCAAAATTTTAACCACAACATTTATAGCAACATAATCAATACTCTCTTAGTGATATATAGAGAGAAGAGAATAGCAGTATTTCTGTTTTATATGATGAGCAACATAGATGTGATTTTTCTTTTAGCTATAAGGTGAGTTACCAGAGAAAATTCTTAATTTCCTTATTTTTAATCTCAAAATAGGAAAATCTACACTTGCTTTTGAAAACAAATCACTGTGTTACTAAAAGTCATGTGCTAGCCAGGTGCTGCATTAAGAATGATAAAATGGCCTCAAAATCACAAATTTCTTACAGATCTTTTTGTATACTACCTCAAACTCCTCCTCACACTCAGAAAACATTTCTGACGAAACCTATTTCATTGTGGGCTTTTTTGCCCTATGTAGTATTTATGTAGTGCTAATTACCTTCATGTCATTGGCATGTGTTAAAATATTACTTAGTAACTATCTCTAAGAAACCAAACTTTTATCTCTGCAAACAGGCTGTAGATTCCTCAGAAGCACAGACATCTTACTGATTCTTTTGTCACCTCAATGTTAAACAAGTCACCTGAGAAAGGAGCATTATACTACATGCAAATGATTGGCAGTGACAAAAGAGCTTTGTGAAGTATAAAGCACACCATGGCTCTTAGTCATAAAGGTTAGAAGTGCTAGTAAATCTGGCTGTATTCTCAAAAATAATTTCCTGCAATGATGCTCTTACCTATGAACTCATCACTATTTCCATTCTCATTACTGTCATTATTTTACTTCTCTGCTAAGACTAAAAGGTAAAGTCCAGGGAGACACTGCTGACCACAATCCCAGTGGGCTTCGTTAGGCATGCTCACTTTCAGGGTCCTGTTCAAAACACACCTGTTCATCAACTTTGCGCTGCAGCTGCATGATCTTGTTCTCCATGCCGATGTGGAGTTTCTTATAGCGCTCCACGGAGCGGGCCTCAATCTTCAGCTTCTTCAGCTCGCGCTTGGCCAACATCCGCCGTAAGCAGCACTGAAGGTAGATGACGGCATGCAGGCTTCTCTTGTAGTGGATGCGAGCCAGCCAGCCCCGGACCCACTTCTGAATGATGACTGCTTTGTGGTCACGGAGTATCTGCAGAGAAAGGTATGTACAGCGTCAGACTCGACACTAGACTCAGGGTTCAATTCTATCAAGCTATGGTTGTCAGGCTGAGAAGTCATAAAGTGAAAGACACAAAAGTTGAAGTAACAATGTAGTATGAAGATTGTATGTATCACAAATATATGCAAGCACAAAATTGTTTTACAAGGTGATTTAAAAAGTAGACTTTAAAGGATGATTTGAGAAACAGAGTATGCACCTAGCACAGTGGTCAGCTAACGGCGGCTCGCGAGCCACATGCAGCTCTTTGGCCCTTTGAGTGTGGCTCTTCCACAAAATATCATGGCCTGGGTGAGTCTATTTTGAAGAAGTGGCATTAGAAGAAGTTTAAGTTTAAAAAATTTGGTTCTCAAAAGAAATTTCAATCGGACTGTTGATATTTGGCTCTGTTGACTGAGTTTGCTGACCACTGAGCATGTCAAACTCGAGGCAGGTGGGCCACAGGCCTTGTTTAAATAAATGAGGCCTGCAGCCTGATGGCTGTGAGTTTGACATGCCAGGTATACACACAGAAGTTATCTAAATAAAAGGCACCAGCTTAATAAAAGGAAAACAATTTTTAAAAATAAAGAAAAAACACACGAGGTTTCCTATTGGTGTATATCTGCTGGCAACAAGCGATCCTCTATAAAGTGAACAGAACTTGGCACCCTGTGAATTACATGCTATTAAAATAAAAGACTGTCACCACCCTCACTGCTGATACCATCTCACTGTACATCAGGTCTGTGCTTGAGGATATAGAACATGGCCAATAAGCTGAGTGTAGAGGAGTCAACAGTTGGAGTACTAAAAGTTTATTATTAATTTATTGATTTTTTCCCCAGAAACAAACAAAAAATGAAACTGTTGGTTGCCCTCTTTGAGGAATACTATTCTAGTGAGGATTTCCCATTGCTGTTTCAAATGTAACAGAAATTCACTTATGAGAGTCAAAGGTAGTAAGGATAAAGCTTTAAAAGGAAAGCTAAAAGTAAGATAGAGGGAAATAAACAAATCTTAATTTTGAGTTTGTTATACTTTCTAAATAAGAATATTCCCCTAAACTTATAAATAACTTATAACAAAAGACTGCCTTATAAGAATTTATCTAAAACCATCAAGCAGAGATTGTCTAGCCCTGGCTGTGTTGCTCAATGGTTAGAGTGTCAACCCACGCACTGAAGGGTTACAGATTTGATTCCCAATCAAGGACAAGTACCAGGGTTGCAAGTCTGATCCCCAGCCCTGGTCAGGATGTGTGCAGGAAGCAAACAGTCCATGGATGTCTGTGTCTGTCTCTGTCTCTGTCTCTGTCTCTCTCTCTCCCTCCCTCCCTCCTTCCCTTCCCTCCACTATCTCTTTAAAAAAAAAAAAAAAAAAAATCAATGGAAAAAATACCCTCCGGTAAGGATTAACAACAATATGCAGAGATTTTCTAAACCAAGCATGTCAAACTTGCGACCTGTGGGATGCATGCCACATTTATTTGGCCAAAGTTAGCCTATGAGTTTGACATCCTTGGTCTAAACAATTTACAGGAATGATGGAAAAGAAAATCTTGAAATTAATAAAGGGTGAACTATCAAAACATTTTGAAATCCTTCTAAGTCTATGTTTTTATAAAAAAAACTCTTGTATGATATAAATATCTAAATATATGCACTCAAATGGTTACTTATTAGTAATTATTAGTGTTTATTAGCACTTATTAGTAACTAGAGGTTTGGTGCACTAATTCGTACACCTGTGGGAGGTCTCTTGGCCTGGCCTCAGCGATATCAGGCCAAAACCGGCTTTCCAACATCCCCCGAGGGGTCCTGTTTTGTAAGAAGGTGAAGGTCAGGTTGAGGGACCCCACCTATGCATAATCACGGACCCCATGCAAAAGGTTGGCCAGCCAGGGAGGGGTTATGGGAGGGCTCCAGGGCATGTCTAGCCCATCTTGCTCAGTCTCAATTGGCCAGACCCCAGCAGAAAGCTAACCTATGGGTTGGAACGTTTGCCCTCTGGAGGTCAGTGCACGTCATAGTGACTAGACAACTGGTTGACTGTCTGACCCGTGATGGTCAGTGCACGTCATAGCAAGCGGTTGAGTGGCCTTAGCATATCATTGGCATATTACGCTTTGATTGGTTGAATGGATGACCAGAGGACCAGACACTTAGCATAATAGGCTTTATATATAGGATTATTACAAATGAACACAATGTATCTCTTATGAAACTTTCTAAATGTAAACATTTCTGGCCCTGCATGCATGGCTCATTGGTTGCACATCAATCTATGAACCAGGAGGTCATGGTTCAATTCCTAGTCAGGGCACACGCCTGGGTTGTAGGCTCTATCCCCAGTGTTGGGTGTATAGGAGGCAGCTAATCAATGATTCTCATCATTGATGTTTCTATTTCTCTCTTCTACTCCCTTTCTAAAATCAATAAAAAAATATTATTTTAAAAAATTCTAAAACCATTTATTCAAATAGATAGCAGTTTAATAAAAGCATTAAAACAATAGTTCCTATTTTTGGGTTATGGACCTGAGAAAAACAACGAAAGAAAAGTGCCATTCTAGAGGATACAATGAAGAAATACGTGGTTAAGTATGAAACCACCAAATACAAATAAACCTAAGTGTGCAGGAGACCGTTGTCAAGCCAAGGCTCCCCTATGGCTGTTTATCTAACGCTAAGACAGTCTGCTTTCCACTGATGCAGTCACTGTGCATCGTGCTGCAGTGAGGTCCCCTCCTGAGCCCTCCCGAACATCATGACCCCAAGGGAGCCTCTTGTCCTATCCTGATGACTAGTGACCAACTGGGTAAGATTCAGTAATGGCAAATTTCAGACTTTCAAAGTCAAGCAGCACAGAGTGGCAACGCTATGAATGTCAATTTTCCTATTCCATTTCCTTCTCTCCATGTAACTTCAGACATTGGTCCATTTCTGTAATTTCAGTCAAGTGGAAACAGTATATAATTGGATCTCCCATTAGCAATCTCATCTCCATTAGTGAGTTAGAGAAATTAAACAATGCCTCCTCTCCCTTAGATTCCCAAGCCATAAGAAGGGAAGCCTGGACTGGAAACACCGAAAACACAGCCAAAAGGAGCACTAGTGGCCTATACGTGAGCTGGCCCCTAACTGCCATCCCCATGTGTCGTCAGCTGGAGCTGAGCAGGCCAGAGACTGCTACTGCTCAACCAACGGCCTCCAAACCCAGTTCAGATGATCCTGAGGAGAGTCATCAAGAAAACTGAAGTGTAACAGCCGCCGAAATAGCTCAGTTGGGAGAGCGTTAGACTGAAGAAAACTGAAGTGTAACCAGTGTGGTGTATCTAAAAGTTGAATAAGGCATTTCCTTCCCCTGAAATCTCATGCTTGTAGAGAAAGAACACCAGAGTATAAAGCCAGCATGGGCAGAAAGAAAGAGCTGGAGTAGCTATTCTCAAATTTTCTTCAAAACACAGCCATTAAATATTCTCATTCAAGCCTCATTAGTTGTTCTTTGTTGTCTAAAATTACTTCAAAATGAAGTAAAATACAAACACGAATAGGCCTTAGGCCACCCTCACAGACTGTCTGTGATTAGAGACCTGTCCCTCAAAGTGGTCTACTGATGCTCCTTCTACCAGTGGTACCCACAGAGCTCCAAGATCTAGACTATACTTCTGGCTTATTAGGAATATATCATGAAGAACAAATTCAAAACCTTGCCAAAATGAAAGAGAAAAACCTTTCTACTAGATCATATATTGTCGGAGGTGATGATTAAGATTAATCTGGCGCCCATCCAGCATGGCTCAGTGGTTGAGCATTGACCTACAAATGAGGTCACAGATCGATTCCTGATCAGGGCACATGCCAGCTTATGAACTAGATCCCCAGTGTAGGCCATGCAGGAGGCAGCCAATCAATGATTCTCTCATCATTGGGATGTTTCTATCTTTCCCTTCCCCTCTGACATCAATAAAAATATTTTTTAAAAAGATTAATCTAGTGGTCCATTATTTTTGTCATGTTGATTATTGCCAGATATAAAGATTATTTGTCAAAAAAAGCTCAGAATATCATATTCTAGTCAGTACAAGTTTAACCATCTTAATGTTATTTATCTACTTTTCACTACAGTAAATTATTCCAAGATTTTTCATTTTTTGGAACAAATTACCACACATATGTCATATATTCTACCTCTTCAAAGCTCACCAGAGTGAGTTAAATAGAGGCCCCCAAAGATATCAGATCCTAACCTGTGGAATCTGTCAATGGTAGGTCATTTGGGAAAAGGGTTTTTGCAGATGTGTTTAAGCTAAAAATCTTGAGATGAGGAGATTATACTAGATTATCCTCATGGATCCTAAATCCATCACAAACATTCTTATAAGAAACAGACAAAAGAAGTGAAGTTAGACACACAGAAATGATGACGTGAAGATGAAGGTAGAGATTGGCTCTAGCCAGTTTGTCTCAGTGGGTAGAGCGCCAGCCTGCGGACCAAAGGGTCCCAGGTTCCATTCCGGTCAAGGGCACATATATTGGTTGCAGGCTCCTCCCCAGTCCGGGCCCTGGTCAGGGCTCTGCAGGAGGAAACCAATTGATGTGTTGCTCTCATATCAATGTTTCTGTCTTTCCTTCTCCCTTCCATTCTTAAAAAAAAAAAAAAAAAAAAGGAAAAATATCCTCAGGTGAGGATTAATTTAAAGAAAGAAGGCAGAGATTGGAGTAATATGGCCACAAACACAAGAAATACTGGTAGCCATCAGAAGCTGGAATGGATTCTCCCCTATAGCTTCAGGAGGAAGTACAGCCCTGCCAACTCCAGAACTGTGAGAAAATAAATTTCTATTGTTTTAAGCAACCAAGTTGATGACATCTATAGGAAATTAATACATTAAGTTTTCTTCATATCACATTGTTAAGATAGATAAAAGGGGAATAATTAGATATATGCACTTATTTAATTGTTAATTAAATATATGCACTTATTTAATATTTTAAAATATGCTTTAATTGTTGGTTGTCTCCATATGCCTCCTATGTCCCTTGGAACCTCTGTGGTGTACAGATGTGAAATTTGATTAACATTAACGGAATAAATAAACGAAGTTGAAAATAATGGCTCACCTTGCGATACCTATTTCTGGCCAAGTAGCCTCGTAAATAAGACTGAAGAACAATAGTGGCAGCTCGTTTACTTTTGTACTTCCTGTGGACTACATACATGCGCCAGTACTTCTGAATGATGGTTGCTGCCTTGGTTCTGCGCAGGAACTTAGCATAGCTGACCAAAGAAAGAATCGGTGCATTTGTTAATAGTCAGAAAATATCTTTGGCATAAATAGTACCTCCATCGTATTATTCCAATGGTATACATTCATACTTCTTATATTATAGCAATTTATAGTTCCCACAAATATTTTTTATTCATTATCTTATTTAAGCCTTCCTGATCATAATGTCCCATATTACCTGATTTTACAATAAAAAGAATGAAGCTCATAAAGATTCGTTCTTTCTAGGACAGAACTCATTATCCCAGATTATGTCCCCCTTGCACAGTAGACTGGCTGTACACAGTAATCTCATATTTATTTATCACTAGCTTTCTTAAATCCATCCTTTGCTAATGTACAATATTTTTATTTTTATTTTATTTTATTTTTTTAAATATATTTTATTGATTTTTTTTACAGAGAGGAAGAGAGAGGAATATAGAGTTAGAAACATTGATGAGAGAGAATCATCGATCAGCTGCCTCTTGCACACCCCCTACTGGGGATGTGCCCCCAACCAAGGTACTTGCCCTTGACCGGAATCCAACCCGGGACTTTTCAGTCTGCAGACCGACGTTCTACCACTGAGCCAAACCGGTTTTGGCACTAAAGTACAATATTTTTAAAACTCTTTCTGTCTGGGCATAAATTCTTTATTTATAAATAATTCATTTCTACTGATATTTCTAAATTAAAATTATTCTAATATATAATCACACTGAAGTGTAATTCTAGAAACTTTCACAGCTTATTGCTTCTGAAAACTTCTCAATGGAATCATTACTAACTAGCTCATATTCATGACTGTTTTAGTTTATAGATAACTTCTTCAAGCCTATATAAAAATATAAAAAATAAAAGATACTGAAGACATGAGCACACAATAATTTGTAATTATTTTGAAGATATTTCTGAAGAAATCATAAGGGTGAATTAAATTTTTTTTCTATTAAACTGTCTTACGAGTTCATTTGTTATTCCTTGAATCTAAGAAGAGGTGAGGTATTGCCTTCTCATATTGGGTGACCACTCAAAACTGTCCTGGTTTGGACAATGAATCAGATGAGCTGTGCAATCCTTAGGTGCCATGAGCCAGAGTGGATGGGTCCCCAGGAGACCTACCATCGGGCCTGGTAGCCTCGCACATATCTCTGCACAGTAATGGCCGCCTTCCGCATGCGCAGGTACTTCTTCCGCTGCAGCCACCCTCGGATTGTCTTCTGGATCCGAATGCAGGCAGCCCTCAGCTTGTCTGCCCTCAATTTTTCTAGATAGGCCACTTGACCAGCTCGGAAAAAGATCTTTGTCTTACCAAACTGGTATTTGTCCTTGTCCTATTTTTGGAAAAAATTATACACTTAGAAGATGAAATAATGAACATATAAATAAAATTGTAAAAGAGGAAAAATACATCTAAAAGCAGAATCAGTAAAAGGATGAATCTATTAGCTAAAACTTGGGCTATATCATGATTAACTAATGGAGCCAGATTTTTTATCTTATGCAAGTTGAGCAAATAGAAGGGATTTTAAGGAAAACTGCAGTTTAAGAGTGATTTTCTATAATTATTCTACCTGGAATTATTATCTGAGGCCAAAACCTTGGTTGTGGGTTATAGGCAGCTATTATTTGCTTGTTTGTATTTTAAATATTTCAAGGAAATGGAGATGCTGACACTCCCTCTGACTGACCCAGGCTGTAAGGATTACATCGGGCTGTGTGTTCCATGTGAAAGCTGAAGGGACAAAAACACCAGTATAAAGAATAAGGCAGGAAGCAATGCAAACAAAATAAAAATTAAACAAAAAAACCTTGTGCACTCATATTAAGAGAGTTAAGTTTCTTGTTATATCTTTGCACTATCAATGGTATCTGAAAATATATACATAAAACCCTATGAATTACTTGTACAAATTTCAAAATTCCTTTTACAAAAATATAACTACTTATATTGTCCATTTACTTTTTAAATTAAGCAGAGCCAAGCAGTAAACACTGAGATGCATGAAATTTTTGGTCCATTACATTCTGATCCACCTTATTTGGAAGCCTGCAATGGTTATTCTCATACAACAAGAGTGGAATTTATAATCGTCACTAATACAATCTGTGTGAAAACAGAAAATTATTTTTTAAGATTTTAAAAAAATTATTTGAGAGAGAAAGGAAGGGGGGGAGAGAGAGAGAGAGAGAGAGAGAGAGAGAGAGGGAGGGAGGGAGGGAGGGAGGGAGGGAGGGAGGGGAGGGAGAGATATGAGGGAGAGAGATGAGAGAGAGAGAAAGAGAGAAACATCTATTTGTTGTCTCCAGCATGTACCCAGACTGTGGACCAAAATGGTATCCTGAGCATGTGCCCGGATTGGAAATTGAATTATCAACCCTTTGGTGTAAAGGACAATGCTCAAGCAACTGAGCCATACTGGCCAGGGCAACAGAAAATAACTTTCACTGTAAGCAGAAATCTCCTATCTTGTACAAGAAATCAGAAAATCAGAAATCTCCACATAAATCTAAAATTATTTCAATTTTAATTAATAAAATTTACAGAGGAAGCCTAGCTAAAGATATATATAAGAAGAGCTAATAAGTGGTTACCTTTTCTTCTCCCTGTCTGATCTCAGCTTCCCCCACTCCACCCCACCCCACAACCTTGCAAATCCCTGAACTGGGCCTAGATGGGGGTGTTAGGCATAGGACTGTCCTTACTTTCTGCTCTGCAGTCCCATCTGAACACAGGTTAGAAAGGAGTCAGGCCAACCTCAAAAAGTTCCCAAGTCTTTTATACATTATTTAAAAAGTGATCTTAGCTCTTCCAAAGGGGGAAAAATGTTATTACTACAAAAAGAAGACATTCCATTTAGTTAATTATGACTGCTTCAGAGTGAGATAACCCACCCTAAACTAGTGTCAAACAAGTGAAAATACTTTTTAAGATCTTTCATGAATCTTAAATTCTCCATGGCTTAGATTAGTGGGTCCCAGAGTGTAGTCCTCAACCAGCATCAGCATCACCTGGTAACTTCTTAGACATGCAGGTTGTTGGACTCATCCCAGACCTACTGAGTCAGAAATTCTGGGGGCGGGGCCCAGCAATCTGTGTTTTAACAAGCCCTCCAGGGGACTGATACATTTAAAGTTTGAGCACGCCTTAGTTGGAATGCAAGACTCTCCAAGCACCAACCTGCATTTCGTAGGCATTTCCTTACTGTCCCACAGACTAATCTTAGATTGCAGAGAAACTTCATTAATGTTTTCTGAGCAAATTCCATGTTTTCCTACTTCTTCACACCATGCTTCCTATTACAATATTCTCCTCCTACTTTTATATGTTATCCAGTCTGACTCAAAACATAGGTTCCTCCTTTACATGGCAGATGTGGCTTTGCCTTGCTGATTTCCTGTCTCACTCACTCAGCATTTGATAGACACTAAGCTATATTATACTTATCTTTAAAATGTATTAATTTCCAAAATAGATTACATTACCTGAGGATAAGACTTATTTTTTCTCAATCACACAGCATCTGACCTGATATTTCCCATAGATAAGTACTAGGTAAATTTTTATTGATAATGATAAAACTAAAAAGAATGAGACTCAAGCCTGGGTCTAGGCCTCGCCACCCAGTTTCCTGAAGGAGGACCACCATCCTCACGAGTAAGTCCGAGCATGCTAAATACAGGGAGCTTTGATCTCCAAGCCAGTGTGCCTTCCACCCTCCCAAACCTGAATAATCTAGAGTAGTGGTATTTTGATGTTCCCAAGGCTTCCACAGGTTATAATCACAAGGCCTTTGGCCATATCTGTTCAGATATAGATAAGTGAAAATTTTTCTTACTGGGATAAGATTCTCTAATACATTCTTGCATGTTTGCTTTCTGTCACTCAGCACATCTTTTTGCTTCATTAGGACACGGTAGCGGCTGAAAAATTCTTGGTAAGTCCACCTATAAAAAGAAACTCACGTTAGCTTATTTAAATAAGTAGGAATTGATTTCATTAGGATCCCTTCTATTTGAAAATGCCAAGCTCACCGTGAGGGGAAGCCTGCTGCACTGATGCGGATGGTTTCCAGGACACCACATGCTCTCAGCTGCTGCACTGCCCTCTTCTCATCAAACCTACATGTAGAAAAGAAAATCATTACTACACAAAGTAGCCTGGCTAAAGCTTCAAATTATCCTCCTCAATCCAGAGATTATTCTGTAAAGAGCCAAATAGATACATCAGAAAAGAAAGCATTCAAAAGTCGTAGTAGTGATCAAAATGGAAAACTCCACGTGTGAGTGGGGAGAAGACAATTAGCAGTAAAACTAAATAGCCATAAACACTATCTGTTGTTCATACCACAACTCATAAGAAGTACCAGTGAGGATATTTAAAACAAACAAAAAACCCTCTTTACTTTGCCCATACTCATTAAAAGACTTGGCTTGAATAACTGTGCTTATAATTCTTTAGCTCACTATACAAATTTCCTCTGTCATAAAGATTGGCCAGCTCTGAAGTTTTCTCTAACAAGAAGGACAAATTAAATATAACTCACTTAGTTATTCTTTTAAAAACTATTGGTGTTCTAAAGCTATTGGTGTGTACATACTAAGCATTAACAGTGCCCATATCAATGGAAAATATTTTTGTTTTGTATTAAATCTTATATAATTTACTAGAGGCCCAATGCACGAACATTCGTGCACTCCGGAGGGGAAGCGGTCTCTCAGCTTGGCCTGCACCCTCTTGCAGTCTGGGAGCCCTTGGGGGATGTCCACCTGCCAACTTAGGCCCTGAGGGATCGGGCCTAAGCTGGCAGTCAGACATCCCTCTGGAAGCCCAGGAGCCCTCTAAGGATGTTCCTCAGTCATACATTCTTAGCGCTGCTGAGGAGGCAGGAGAGGTTCCTGCCACCACTGCACTCACAGCCATCAGCCTGGCTTGAGGCAGAGTGGAGCTCCCCTTGTGGGCGTGCACTGACCACCAGGGGGCAGCTCCTGCATTGAGCATCTGCCCCTGGTGGTCAGTGTGAGTCATAGAGACTGATCATTCCAGTCATTCTGCCATTAGGGTCAATTTGCATTTTACCCTTTTATTATATAGGATGTTTATTTTACTCTAGACAACTAGCATCTTAAAATAAATTGACCCTAAAAGAGGAAGTGGTTAAGGCCTGCCACTCCTTGTACCCTCCCAGTTAAGCTCTGAGCAACCTCTAACACTCTGCTATGTCATTTTCTCAAGTGTTCTGGTGGTGGTGGTGATGGGAGATGGAGTTAGCTAGGACCGACTTGGAGGGTGGCCCAGAGCGTGGCAGCTTCTTCTGCTTCCAACTTCCTCTAGGAAGGGCTTCTTGGCAACAGGAGGATATAACAGTTTTTCAGAATTGCCCTCCAGTCTAAGGCAAATAGCCAGAGGGCAGGGTTGGCAGGGGTGTAGGGAAAAGAGCACTCCTACGCTGTAGAGTAGGAATTGAAACTCTTATAAACTTTGGTAAATGTGTCTAAGTTCTAACTCACAAATTCCACTTTTAGAAATACATTATCCTAAGGAGGTAATGAGGCAAAAATATAAAAATGTTTGGCAAAAGATGATTATCATAACACTGTTGGGATAACCTAAATGGCAATCAATAGGAAATAATTCAAATAAATGATGGTATGTCTAAACAAAGGGACATTATATAACCACGAGAATGATGATGTGAATTTTTTTAGTTACTAACTGGAAAGTATGCACAATTTATTAAGATAAAAGCAGGTACAAAACAGCAATTACAGCATGAGCTCCTCTCTTTCATTAATGTGTCTTTCTCTTTCTCTCTCTCTCTTTCTCTCTCTCTCTCACACACACACGCACACACACGCACACACACACACACACACACACACACACACAAAACACATACACTCACACAAAAGGGAAGAAATGTTGCTCACTTAATATTAGTTATCTCTCTGGGTATAATGAATGCTTTTTCATTTATTTTTATAGTATTTTATAGCTTCTGGATATTGTTTTACAATGTACATACATTACTTCTATTTTTTGTGGTTTTTTAAACCTTTTTCCTTTTTTTATTGTTCTTTATACATACATTACTTTTAAAATTAGAGAAATATTTTTCTTCTGAGAATAAAAACCACCATTCCCTCCACATATGGTAACTGACATAGAACAAGATTTTTGGTAAAAGCAGACATTCTATGATGGCTTCAACAGTGGAAAAATAGCAGGGATAACTTTAAGCCTGGGGTTTCTCTGCTGTCGCCGTGCTAACTGCTGTCCAGGCTCTGAATGCCCTGTCTGGGGCAGATCAAAAACCCTCTGGAGGCGGATTCAGCCTCGCTGCTCCTGTGGACAGGCCCAGGCACTCCAGCAGTGGAGCTGAGGAGACTGGGCACTGACATCTTGTGGCTATGGGGGCTGCCATTTTTGTAGCGAAGTGATGGTTAATCTGCATATTACTCTATTATTAGATAGAAGATATATATCTGTGTGTGTGTGTGTGTGTGTGTGTGTGTGTGTGTGTTTTACAGAGAGAGAGAGAGGGACAGAGTTAGAAAAATAGATAAGAGAGAAATAATGATCAGCTGCCTCCTGCATACCACCTACTAGGGATGTGCCCTTGACTGGAATTGAACCTAGGACCCTTCAGTACACATGCCGACGCTCTAACCACTGAGCCAAACCAGTTAGGGCACCCAGCTCTGGTTTTAACTAATGCCCAAATTAACAAAAACTTAGAATGATCTTAAACTGAAGTCAATTCAAAATAAAAAATAGAATTATGAATGCTTGCTTAAATTCAACTTTTAAAATCTTCAGAAAACCAACTATTCATTTGTTCTCACATTCTCAAAAGGGAACAAAAACTGAAAGGAAAAAAAAAAAGCAAAAAAACCTCAGCCAAAGAAATCTTGAGAAAGAACAACAAAGCTGGAGACATGATGCTCCCCGATTTCAAACACTGATACTAAACTATAGTAATTAAATGTTATGACACTGGCATAAAAACAGACACATCAATCAATGGAACAGAATAGAAAGCCCAGAAATAAACCCACACATATATGATCAATTAATTTGACAAACAAGCCAAGAATATACAATGGGGAGAGGACAATCTCTTCAACAAATGGTGTTAGAAAAACTGGATGGCCACAAGCAAACAATGAAACTGGGTTCTTATCTTACACCATTCACAAAAATTAACTCAAAATGGACTAAAACCTTGCTCATAAACATAAAACCATAAAATTCCTAGAAGAAAACATAGGTGCAAAATGAATTAACCAATAAAACAAGACCCAAAACATAGAGGCATGGAACAGACTGACATACCTCCATGTGAGAGTTGGGGAATGAGGAGAGAGAAACCAAGGAACTTATATACTTACTAGAGGCCCAGTGCGCGGATTCGTGCACCAGTGGGGTCCCTCATCCTGGCCTGTGGGGGATCGAGCTGAAACTGACTCTCCAACAGTCCCTGAAGGGTCCCAGATTGCAAGAGGGTGGTTCTCGGGTGATGCACCCTGGAATTGGGCTCCTTCCTCTTTGGTTCCAGGTGTATCACCCGAGAACTGCAGCTGCCAAGTCACCACAGCTCTGTAGCTCCTATGTTGAGTGTCTGCCCCCTGGGGATCAGTGCATGTCACAGCTACCAGTTGGAACATCTGCCTCTTGGTGGTCATTGTGTGTCATAGCTACAGGCCAGTCAGCCAGTTGCTTAGGCTTTTATATATATAGATATGTATACGGGCATGGGCAATAAGATAGTGAAGACCTGGGGGCTTGAGGGGTAAGGGGTAGGCAGAGTGGGGTAAATGAGGGGAAAATGGGAGACAATTGTAATACTTCAACAATAAAATAAATTTAAAAAGAAAATAAAACAATACTTAGCAAATAATAATAATTTTTAAAACATAGGTGTAAGGTCCATATTATATGTCTTGGTGATGATTTTTTTTAATCAGACACCAAAAGTAAAAGCAACAAAATAAAAATAAACAAGCAGCTACTATGGAAAACAGTATGGAGATTCCTTTAAAAAATTAAAAATACAACTACCATATGTTCCAGTAATTCTACTTCTGGATATTTATGCAAAGGAAACAAAAACACTAACTCAAAAAGATATATGCAACCCCATGCTCATTACAGCATTACTTACAATAGCCAAGATAAGGAAACAAACCAATGAATGGACGAACAAACTGTTATATATATGCTTCAGCCATAAAAGAAAATGAGCCTAGCTGGCATGGGTCAGTAGTTGAGCGCTGACATATGAACCAGGAAGTCAGTTTGATTCTTGGTCAGGGCACATGCTTGGGTTGTTGGCTCAATCCCCAGTATGGAGCATGAAGGAGGCAGGCAATCATTAATTCTCTCTCATTATTGATGTTTCTATCCTTCTCTTCCTCTCCCTTCCTCTCTGAAATAAATAAAAATATATTTTTAAAAATAATGAAAGAAAATGAAATCTTGCCATTTGGGCAAGATGGACCTTGAGGGCATGATGCTAAATGAAATTAAGTCCGACAAACAAATACCATATGATTCCTCTTATATGTGAAATCTAAAAAACATAAAATATGGAGTATTTGATATCTTGTTTCCTGGCAATTGTCATCATTTTGGCTCAAATAAACTCATAAAAAATAAAAAATGCAAAACATAACAACACACACCAACACAAGCATACGCACACTAAATCCAAGCTATAGATACAGAGAACATATTGGTGATTGTCAGAGCTAGGGGTTGACAGCTAAGAGAAATGGGTAAGGGGGAGAGGGTGTCAAAAGGTTAAAAAAATTATTTTTAAGTTCTATTAACTAGTAGTTTCCCTATACAAAACATGAAGAATTACCCAAATATTGTTTCCTTCCATTGTTTTGGTAATCCTTTTAATATATGGATACTTTTAAACTCCATAGTTGAAAAATACTTACGTGAATGGGAACTTGAAATCATTAGGCTTAATACAGCGCACATAGTGAGGGGTAGTGGCATTGAGGGTCTCCATCAATAGGTGAAGGGAATTTCGGAACTGTACAGGAAAGAGCAGAAAGGGGCATCAAGGTTTTGTCAAAGCCAAAGATTATGTAAAACAAGTTAAAATTTTTTATTTTAATAACAGTAGTAGAGATCGACCCACCCTCAGAAGGGGAGCTGCTATCAAACAAGAATGCTTTATGTTACAATTTGCTTAAATTCTACTATTTATATACTTACTTTACTAAATAAACATTCACTCTCTCCCGTGCCTTTTCCCACATCCCCCTTTTCTATAGGCTGTTTTCTTAGAGCAGTTTTAGGTTCACAGCAAAACTGAGAAGATATGGGGATTTCCTATACATCCCTTATCCTCACACATGCACAGCCTTTATTCCCCATTATTAACATCCCCCAAGAGAGTTGTATATCTGTTACAGTTGATGGACATAAACATTATAATCTCCCAAAGTCCATCATTTACATTGGAGTTCTGTCTTCCTATTCTCCTTTTAATACATGACTCTGCTGTTTTCTGTTGGGAACGCGAAATTCTGACTAAAAATATAACCTTGCTTTATGAATATTAAGGCCATTTAATTATGTAGAGTGGGAGTTTTGCTATAAGATACTGAAAAATATAACAGATGACTTAAGAGTATAGCAATGAATGGGAGAATGGGAGTGTACAGCCAGGTGGGATTACCAGTAGGGACATGGGATCCAGATGGACGCAGTAGACCTGTGTCTGGCCCTGTTTCCTGTCAGCACCAGGCACAAGGTCACACACAGAAAAACAAGCTGACCAGTGCTTAGCCGCCTGTCCAAAGCACGGGCCACTGTTCAGGCATTAAGTATGCATGTTACATTTTCCACTCCCCCCGGAGGATAAGACATCAAAAACAAGGAGGAGGGCACTGTTCCAGTTGAAGGAGCTGATATTCTGCACAAATCCAGAGAGGAAGCAACCAGACAACAAAACAAAGGCAACAGTGGTCCATAAGAAAAAAGAATTAAGATGCAAAAAACATTATTTGGAAAAGGCTTAATCAGTCACAGGTCTAACGCTGGGTGGAGAGGAGCAGGAGTGGACAGTGATGCACATTCTCACAGTGAAAGCTCTAGTCTCTCCTCACCGGGGAGGCTGAGGAAGGAAGACCTGAGGCTTCAGCAGAGCCAAGGAAGAAAGGACACCACAGCAGTGGTTTCCTGAACTCACCTGGTGTCCCACTGTTTTCTTGTGCTCTTTGGCTGTCTGGCCTGGCCGACCTTTGGTGGGCTTTGCAGGAATGCGGGTGAGGGGTGTGCGCCCTGAAGAGGTGGCTGAGGTTGGACTGATGGCCTTCTCATCATCTTGAAATAATTCTGGTAGCATCTTAAACTGAGTCAGAGAAAGCGAAAGAATATTACACTCTAAACTCAAACTCAAAATAAATAAATAAAAATAATCTCAAACGTAAATGTAAACCTTTATGGAAACATGAAGATTTGCAATCCATAGTGACTCCCTTCTTTAAGCCAACTCTTTCAGAGTCACACACCAGAAGTAATCAATATCTGTGTCGGGAGCCAAGAGTATGAGAGGAAGGTGACATATATAGTCTAACTATATAGGTGGAAAAATGTAACAATTCTACAACCATGTTTGGGGGAAACAAAATAAAACCTACTCCACTAAGACTTGAAATCCTAGTTGGCCACTCTAAATATATTACTGAGTTGAATTATAATTATTTTTTGAGAAAAATACTAATTGAAAGTCCTATCTTATTATTTTAGTTCCACAAAATACTTTATCAGCATGCTTAATTTATCTACCCACTAATTCAAATGGTGAGAACAAGCTAAAAAAATACCACAGAAAATCTCAGCAGGAAGAATGTCATAAACTAGTTCTACAGTATTATAGTATTAAAAATAATTATTAATCAATAAAATTTTTTAGAAAATAAGTTGGATTATGGTGGGTAGAAGGATCAAGTAAAAACCCTATCCTTATCCTGTAATTGTTATATTTGTTTTCAAAGAACTTATAACTTGATTGCATAACTTTTGTAATCAATTTGTGTTCTATTAGGTTAGCAATATGAAAGATTATCAAGCCCTGGTTAGTGTGGCTCAGTTAGTTGGAGCATTGTCCCAAACACCAGAAGGTGGCCAGTTCGATTCCTAGTCAGAGAACACACACAGGTTGTGGGCTCAAGTTTCTCTCTCACATTGATGTTTCTCTCTCTCTCCTTCTCTCTTTTCTGCTCACTATAAAATCAATAAAAGCATTTTTTTTAAAGAACGATTTTCAAAAGGTTTGGCATTTTGTAATTGGGTGGATGGTATAAGGCAATATGACCGGGAGAAATTTTGTGGAACAAAAGAGACTTCAATGGAAAAAATATCAAAGGGTGAGGATTAACAACAACAACAAAAAAAATAGATACACGGATATATAAATAGGTAGGTATGCCTGGACATTCCATCTTGTTTCTTTGATCTGTCTAGGAAACAGTATTAAAGAAAACAAAATAATCCAAGTAGCAGCTTCATGAAAATGTGGGAAATCATTTCTGTAAGAACAACATTATTCATTAAGAGCTTTTTATGAATGAAACACTACTCTAAGGGCTTAATTAAACCTATTTAATCCTCATAAGAACCCCTTAGATACTATTATGATTCTATTTCATAGATGAGAGACCTAAGGCATAAACTCATTGCTTCCCCTTGTCAAAAAGCAACATGAAAAATAGGGGTTAAAACTCTTTTAATGGTATTTGGTAGAGTTGCAATTTAGTAGTATTTGGTCAGGTTGCAATTCATTTATGTGCTCTCTGATATTAGATGTGGCAACAAAATCTATGTTTTATAACCATAAAGAAATCTTAAGACACTTTTTGTTAAGTTTATAAGACCTTAATTCTTTTTTTTTTTTTTTTTGGTTGAAAATTTGATTAGAGGCTGCAAAATTAAAGGGAAAAAAAAGATAAAACACATACACATACAAACTCAACCTCATACTGTATTAGCACAAAATAATTCTATTTAAAATATTTAACACAAATATTAGCCTTTTAAAATTAGTACATCCAAGAGAACAAGTAAACACTATATTAAACTTTCTTCCTATCAGGTGCACAAACATTAACATGTAAAGTCCATCCATTTAGATTGGGGTTTCTGAGGGGCTGGGTTTTGGCCTGGGAGCAGGGAGGCCTTTGAGATTCTATGTAAATCACACACCTTCCCCATTCCAACAGCAACAATGCTATGTAGACTGGCAGTCATTCAAAATGATTACTTTGAATGTATATCTACCTGCTGATAATCAAGCTGATAATTAGCCAATTAGAAAAATTAAGCCAGAATAAAGGTACAATTGACATGGGTGCCTGGGGGATGGGAACCTGTGAATATTCTATTTAAGCTAATTACTTAGGCAGAGTAGTGATGTTAGAATGTCACAATTTTCATCTCTATTCATAAATCAAAATGATTTATAATCTTAGGCATTGGCCTGTGAGAGAATTTTCTCTTCTATGCCAATCCCATAAGCTATCAAGCATTAATACCCAGGGCCTATGAGGATAAGTGAAAAACTGACTTTCTCAGAAGACACTATACTCATTATTTCCTGAGGCATAACACTGGAATTTAGTCTTATGATCTTTCTATTATCAAAAGAATTGAAAGTAAACATTTTATTCTAAAAACAAGAGTAAAAATCCTATATAATAAAGAGCTAATATGCAAATGGTCATCATACACTCACATTCTAATGGCTCAGACACTCAACACTGGGGAGGGAGGAATGGGGACAAGCCAGGCACAAATGAGTTCATGAGAGAGAAATGGGGACCAGCCAGGCACAAATGAGATTGCAAGAGAGGAATGGGGACCAGTCAGGGAGAGGAACAAGCTGTCTGCCCCACAGTCCCAGGTGCCAGCAGCTGTGCCTGCACCTGTGGCCCGGGAGAGGGACAAGCTGCTCACACTGTGGTCCCAGGTACCTGTGGCTGCATCCCAGGCAAAGCCATCTGCCCACGGGCCCCAGTGGCAGCAGCTGGCTGGGGCGAAGCTGACCCAGGTCCTAAGTGCCTGTGACTGGCCAGCGGGAGGGAAGCCTGGGTCCTGGGTGAGGGGCGAGGCAGAGGCAGAGGCAGTTAGGAGTGATCAGGCCAGCAGGTGAGTAGTTAGGGTAGGGATGATCAGGCCAGTAAGGGAGCAGTTAGGTGTGATCAGGCAGGCAGGCTGAGGGGTTAGGGGCAATCAGGTAGGCAGGCAGGTGAGCAGTTTGGAGCCAACAGTCCCGGATTGTGAGAGGCAGTGGGACATCCCCGGAGGGTCCTGGCTTGGTGAGTATGCAGGCCAGGCTGAGGGAGCCTTCTCGGCCTCATGCATGAATTTTGTGCACAGGGCCTCTAGTGTTCATATAGTATTCCATTGAAGTTAAAAGGATTTCTTAGGATAAACCAGAAAAACTGGCAGTTTTAGAAAAAACAAAAAAAAAAAAAAAAAAAAAAAAAAAAAGGTGCCAATCAGTAATCTAGAAAAATTTGATGAATATACCTAGTTTTTTATTGAATATTAATTTTGCTAAACTGAGTAGCTGGCTTCCTGGTTCGTTCCCTATAAAATAAAAGTGAGCTGGAATGTGACTGAGCCCTAGTTGGTTTGACTCAGTAGATATAGCATCAGCCGGTAGACTGAAGGATCCCAGGTTCAATTCCAAGGAAAGAGCACATGCCTGGGTTGCAGGCTTGATCCCCAGTAGGGGGTGATCAGGAGGCAACCAATCAATGATTCTCATCATTGATGTTTTTATCTCTCTGTCTCTCCCTTCTTCTCTGAAATCAATTTAAAAAAAATAAATACACACACACATACACACACACACACACACACACACACACACACACACGGAGAATGGGGTCAATTCAGGGTAACCATCATAGTTCCTTGCCCTCTGGAATTTTTTTCCCCACTAGAAAACAGTGTTTCTAGAGTCTATACCAAAGAAATATAATTTTGAAATGCTTTGGACCACACCTGAAACTACAATCAATGGTCCAGAGATCAATCTCCATCTAAATAGAGTACGTAAGGCTATGTTTCAAGTGCATCCCTTTAAAATGACATAGCAAAAATACTCGTTTTCTCTCATAGTCTCTCACAGAAGCACACAAAAAAAGCCCAGAACTGCTGTGCAGGCAAAAATGTCCTATAAAACTGAAAGACAACACTGCATAGTGGTTAAGACACAGACTCTGAGCCAGACAGCCTAGGCTTTAATTTGGTTTGAAAACTCATTAGCTCTGAAGTCCCTGTGCCTTAGAGCCCTCATCTGTAAAATCAGCAGGGTAATGAGAATGTCACCTCATTATGAGGATGAGATGAGTTAACATTTGTATGGCATTTAAATCAGGACCTAACACACAGTAAGCATTGTATTGTACATCTGGCAAGTAAAAAACTAACAATAAAGCTGACTTTGTTAGAGAAATCATTATTATTGTTTAAAAGACAATGCTTAACATTTTGTTGAATATATCCTGACTGAAGAAAACCATGGACATGGGTTACCTTGCTTGATTTAAGAACTTTAATTTGTTCTTCAAAAACAGTGTCTTTATTCTTTTCCAGAAAGCCTTCACACTGGTATTCCACCTAAAAACACAGAAAAATCTCAACTTATACAACTTTTGAATAGAAATCATAATCATCTTTAACAAAATATTTATTAAGCTCAGGCAATATGACTGTGGTTTTATTCTAAGAAACTACAAACTTGATAAGAAGGATGTTAACCCTACAGTAAAAGAAATATTGTTTTTCTTAGGGAACAGTGGTAGTGCTGAATAACTGTGGTCTAAAAGATCCTCCCGTCATGGGTAAGCTGACTCATCTAAAGTTCATTCTCTCCCATGCTGGCAACTCCTACAACGCTGACCCAGTACAACTCCTCCTAACCTAGTTCACCATCCAGCAGGGTTAAGTCTCCTCTTGGGAAAGAAGATCAAAAGGAACAAATAGCTGTCTGATAGAAAGAAAGTAGAAGAGCTGATGTTAGAAGGAATTGGAGGCAGGTAAATACTGTCTGATTTGGTAAGTGGAATTACTTCAGAATGGACTATTACTGCTTCCAAAACTCCAGTGGCTTCAACCATCTATATACTACTCAAGGGGCTCCCAGTTTGTGCACCACAAAGCCTTAAGGTGGCCCTAAAGTCATTCTAAGGTTTCCAGCCAGAATTAAGGTGGACTCAGAAGGCCCCCAAATCCTGAAAGAAACCCTGAGAAGCTTACTCCACAGCCTACCCTACAACCCCCTTGGAACATAAATTAGTCTTACAGCTCCTGATTTTTCTCAGTAGTCCATAGAACTTTTGGAGCAGCAAGTCTGCCTGCCTTATTACCAGATACCCAGTGAATCAATATCAGAGAGTGACACAAGTCCACAATTTCTATTCTGAAACCCTTGGGATCAGCTATGCTTTAGAACTTGGGATTTTCCAGCAAAGAATGAGGCAGCAGTGCTCAAATACATTATCATTTCTACATTGCAATATGTAAATATCCAGCCTAAATAGGATAAGTAAAAACTATAAATAACCTCATGTTAGTTCAGGCCAGAGATCAGGTTTAGTCACTAAATAAATTATGAAAAGATGATTGGTTTTCAGAGTTTCTTGAATTTCAAAATTATAGTAGGGATTGTAGACCCACATTTACTTCACAATTCCATTTAGGTTAAAGAAAAAGAAAAACAACACACCAACAATGAAGATTACTTTCCTATAAAGCCCTGAAGAATGCAAACTTTAGCCAAGAAAAAAAAAAATGATACCTCTTAAATATTCATTTTTTCTTCTTTGAACTTAAGTATTCAAAAAGAAAAAAGATAATACAGCTTCCTTACTTTGTCAGCAAAATGTTGGATGATGAAAGCTTTGTTTGATAGACGGGGCTTTTCAAAGAGTGCACATTTGTTCAAATGTGTGTTGTACAATTTCTGGGCCCAAGTGTCATCTGTACCTTTAGGCATCTACATTTAATGAAAGAAAAATGGAAAGAAAAAAACAAGTGAATATTGTTATGAGACTTTTCTAATGCATTAATTAAGAGGCGATTATTTTGGCTTCACCTGCCAATGTTTATATTCAAATTAGGAACTTATTTCTTCCACATTTCTCTCATGGTGGCCTAAAACCAATTATTAACGGAGAACAAAGACTGAGAGCTCCCCTTGGGCAGCTCAATCTGCCTTTAGATGGAATCATCAAGTAATAATTGCTTTTAAAACAATAAAAGCCTCACATTAAAGATGAAGTATCATGACTATCAAGTATTTTCTAAAAATATGTTAAAGATAACATGTGCATATAGTGAAATATTTATATAATTCCGAGAGGTATGAAACGGAAGGTAGTCTCTTTTCACAACTTCCAATGACTTCTTTATCTTTCTGTCTCTAAACACATATACACAAATAGGTTCATTCTCTAAACTCAATGCATCTTTTTCTCTTTAATAATAGCAGCCTTATATTTATGATCACTATGTTTTTACTGATTTTTGTAACAATGACTGATTTTACATATATATCCTGGATACTTTTGCAAATATATTTGTTGGGTAAACTCCCATCAGTTCCACTGCTGAGTCAAAATATATATGTATTTATAATTTTGATGAATATTGCCAAATTCCTTTAAAATATGTTGTACTAATTCATGCCCTTCATCAAGAATATATATGCAATAAATATTCATTTGGTAGTATCAAATCAAAGGTATTATTAAATTTAAAATCTTTTTTATTTTTTATTTTATTTTTTTATTAAATTAAATTTAAAATCTCTTGATAGGTAAAACAGTAACTTGTTTTTGTTTTGACTTACATTTTATTTAATTTTGAGTGAGGCAAGGACCTTGTCACTACATGCATTCTGAATGCTGTAGAAAATCTGGATGCTTATAAATTAAATAAAGAGAACAAATAGGTATTTGTCTAAGATCACTCAGTTAGCAGTAGAGCTGTGAATCTCATATTTTTCTATCATGCTACATCTTCAAATTTAAAGCTAAAACTCCCTCCCTAACAAACATTTCAGTAATAAAGAAATAGTTAAATTTTAAATTATGAATATTTAGAGCTATTGTTTAAAATATCTTTTGTAATTTATTGCATTTCTTTATATATTAATAATACTAATGAACAAAAAGTACCAAATATAAGCATATTGATTAACAGAAAGTGACTAAAATTGGTAGTAGTTATATCAAATGTTAATCCTAAATAATAAAAGGCTAATACGCAAATCAACCAAATGGTGGCACAACTGGTCGCTATGATGCGCACTAACCACCAGGAGGCAGATGCTCAATGTAGGAGCTGCCCCCTGGTGGTCAGTGTGCTCCCACAAGGGGAGCATCGCTCAGCCAGAAGTTGGGCTCATGGCTGGCGAGCACAATGGCAGTGGCTGCACTAAGGATGTCTGACTGCCAGCTTAGGCCCGCTCTTAAGCTGTTAGTCAGACATCCCCTGAGGGATCCTGGACTGTGAGAGGGTGCAGACCAGGCTGAGGGACCCCCTGAGTGCATGAATTTTGTGCAATAGGCTTTTAGTTTTTCACATAATTTAGAATCAAGTGAAAAGGGAAAGGAATTCTCCTAATTTAACTTGTATTTAAAGGCCTTGGGATCTGGTGACCCTTCAGAATGCAAGTTAGAGTGACCTCACAATGGCAACTCATGGAACAATACGAATCTCTGCTTAAATTCACTTAACTTTCTGACCTTGAGATATCTATTTGGATACACTAAGTACATCAGGGAATTATACTTACTTTGCATTCCTCATCCAGCAAATCTAGAATGCCCAGTTTAGATTCTATAAGATTAATGCAAGGCTGATTATCATAAAAATCTATGAGTGTCCATGGAATTTGTTCCTTCATATATTCCTCTTGTTCTAATTTGAAGACATGCTAAAATGAAAAAGAAAAAAAGTGGCATTACTGGATTATTATCATAAGTAATGTTAGTCAAGAAACAATCCTATATAATGGATGATAAAGAACATTACAAACTAAAGAACCAAAAGATAGATATAGAGACAGTAAAGCAACAAGCAGACTGTCAAATTACAGCGAGGAGGGTAGGGAGATCTGGGGTAGATAAGAGATCAAACGAAGGACTTGTATACATGCATATAAGTACAACCAATGGGCACAAAACTCTGGGGAGGGGGGGTCAATGGTATATGTACACAGATAATAATTTAATTTTTAAAAAAAAGCTAACAAGCATATTGATTGAGTGCTCTCTCACCAGGGGAGCACTGCTCAGCCAGAAGCCGGGTTCATGGCTGGCGAGTGCAGAGGCAGTGGGGGGAGCCTCTCCTGCCTCTGTGACATACTAAGGATGTCCAACTGATGGCTTAGGCCCGCTCCCCATGGGACATCCCCCAAGGGCTCCCAGACTGCGAAAGGGCACAGACCAGGATACCAACCCCCCCACCAAGTGTATGCATTTCGTGCACCAGAACTCTAGTGTTTATATAAAACACTCTAAGATGCTAAGATAATCTGAGGTAGTCCATGGCTTCCAGAAACAACAATTTCATGGGAGAAACATGATTTCCACAAAGAGAACAATAAAATAAAGCAAATAAAAACCACAGACAGTAAACAACTATATAGGGTTCTTGATAAACAAGTAAATCTAGGTAAGTGAATGCTTTAAATAGCTGATAAATGTAGCAGTTTTCAATTTTTGATATGTATTCATCCCAACTATGTACTTTTTGGCCTCTTAAGTTACTGCATAGTGCTGTTAAAACATGGGCACAGTCTGCCTTAGCTGGCCTTGACCAACTCTGCAGAGTGGATGTCCTCCAGACTGTTGAACCACGCAGGGAGATGCTTAGAGCACAACACAGACATTCTCTGAAAGGACTGTGGTATTGAAGTCCATGTGTCTCAGAGTTATGTAACAGTGATCTTTGGTGTTTGCCTTTATTATTCTCCATAGTCAGGAAATCGTCCGCTCACTTTCCTGGATTCTACATCCAACTCTGCTGGAGCCACTATAAATTCATGCTATTTCTGCTAAATGTTTCAGCCACCTCCCTTCATCATTGCTTCTAATCTCCATTCATTCATTTAAGCAAAAATATGCATTGACTGCTACTACGTGCCAGTCACCAAACACCATTAACAAAATAGATGTGGGCTCTGCCTTCATGGGGTCTGGAGTCTAGTGGAAGAAGCAGACAGAAATAAAATAATCACAAGGAATATAATTACAAACTGTAATGTTACAGAGGAAAATAATGTGAGCTATGAGAGCCAGCATCTTCATCTGATTTGGATACAGGGTGGTGAGGGAAGACTTCTGAGAAAAGGCTGTGTGCTGTGTGATCTGAGCTTCACAGATGAATGGGAGTCCAATGGGAAGAGCAGTCCCATCTCTGTTCCAACCACGCCAATCAGCCCACCCACAACTTCTGGTCTCCACAGATGCTAATGACCTCCATTTGTTAGTTCTGGTGGCTTCTGCTTTCCTTCACTGGTCTTTTCTTGTCTCTCTTGGTTTGCACACACTTCTTGCTACTTTTCTGATAAAATTAGCCCTCTGTGGCTATGAGCAGGCAATATATATATATATATATATATATATCTCGGGTCTAGTAATAATTAATGTCGTTTTAAACATTTGTTTAAAATCTTGCTTGGCGTTGACTTGTATTAACATAACCTTCAAAAACGTGGTATCTACAGAACGTGTGAAGTGCAATTAACAAGTTTTGCTTGAAAAAGTTTGTGTTTGGTTTGGTTTTTGTTGCAAAACTAGGGCTAAGAAGATGGCAGATGAAGAGCATATTCGGCACTGCATGCTTTACGAGTTCCAATTAGGAAGAAAAGCAAGTGAGGCTGCAAAAAACATCTGTAGTGCTCTTGGTCAAGATGCAGTTAGCGCCAGAAAATGCCAGCCTTGGTTTGAGAAATTTCGCGAGGGAAATGTTTCGTTAGATGACAAGAGTGGTCGAGGCCGTGTGTCCAATTTTGATCAAGAAGCTCTTCAAGCTCTTTTGGTGCAAAATCCTCAAATTACCCAACAAGAGCTTGCGACAACTTTAAATTGTTCACAAAAAACAATTTCCAATCAATTGCGTGCACTTGGCAAAGTCCAAAAGTTTGGAAAATGGGTTCCTCATGAGTTGACCGACAACAACCGTAATCAAAGAGTCACAATTTGCAGTTCGCTCCTCTCTCATCAAAACTGTTTGCCGTTTTTAGAGCAAATTGTTACCCGAGATGAAAAATGGGTGCTGTATGTTAATCTGAAAAGGCGGCCTCAATGGTTGGACAAAAATGAGGCTCCGCAGCCCACGCCAAAACCTGACTTGCATGCGAAAAAAGTGATGTTGTGTGTTTGGTGGAATTTTAAAGGAATTCTTCATTATGAACTTTTACCATCTAACCAAACCATTACAAGTGCAGTGTATAGTGCCCAATTGGAAAGGTTAGCCCAAGCTTTAAGAGAAAAAGAACCCGCGCTGATTAATCGGAAGGACGTAATTCTTCACCACGATAACGCACGACCGCATACTGCAAGAATCACTGCTGAAAAACTGCGCCAGTTGGAATGGGAAGTTCTCCCTCAACCTGCATATTCTCCTGATATTGCCCCTTCCGATTACCATTTGTTTCGTTCTTTGCAAAACTTTCTTCTTGGAAAAAAATTTAATAATGAAGAATGCCTCAAAAATGCATTGACCGAATTTTTTGCATCAAAATCACAAGAATTTTACAACAGAGGGATTAAAATGCTTCCTGAGCGTTGGGCACAAGTAGTAGAAAACAACGGCAACTATATTGTTGATTAAATTTTGTTGTATTGTTTAAATAAATTCGATTTTAAAAAGTATTAATATTAGAAAACGACATTAATTATTACTAGACCTAATATATCACTTGAACTCTCTAAGATGAAGATAGTTATTAAGGGTTCTTTTCCTGTCCTTCACTCACTTCTCTTCCATATATCTTCCAATTCCTATAGGTTATTCATTTTTAATATCCTCTTTCATCAATACTAATAACTACCTCTAATCTTGCACTTTAGAACTGTGCCTAGCATGTGGTGAGCACTTTACACACTCCAACTTACTTAATCCATAGAACTATATGCAATAGGTACTATTATTTCCCCACTGTACAGATGAGGAGACTAAGGCCAAGAAGGTCCCTCAACTTGCCCAAGGTCCCTTGGATCAAGGCAGATTTAGGACCGTAATCCAAGCAATTCAGCTCAGGGCATCTGTGCTACCCCTCATTTTTTTTTTCTATATTGATTAAGGTGTTAAATATGTGTTCTTATTCCCCCATTACCCCTCCACCACCACCACCCCCACTCATGTCTTCACCACCCCCTGGTGTCTGTGTCCATTGGTTAGGCTTATATGCATGCATACAAGTCCTTTGGTTGATCTTTTCCCCTTACCCCCATCCTCCCCTACTTTCCCTCTGAATACACCTCATTTTTAAGCACCTTCAAATCCCTCAACATCGTGATAATGTTCTTAGATATTTGATATTCCTACTTCAAGAGACACTTGACTCTCAAAATATACTCATTACCATTGTCTTGTTGAGTGTCTCAAACTGTTGAAAAGAAAATATGTAACAAATATGTAGAAAAGAGAATATATTCTGAGTTTTTGTTTTGTCATCTTGAAAATACAACAAGTAAGAGGTAAGGTAGTCATAACCCCACATATAGTTAGCCTCAGGACAAGAAACTGAAGGATATCTTTCAAAGCTTTTTGCTTCCCTCACTCAACTTATTTGTACAAAATTTTCACTATTCTCAGACTACAATCCAAGGACGACCTTGAATCCCATCTAGACCATAAACATTTTCTAATGTGGCATCATTTAAAGTTCCTCAGCACTTCGACTGTTCTAAACACCAGATAATAGTTATAACTCATAACTTCATTTTAGGAATCAGACTTTAAATGCACACTAGGAATTCAAGAGAATAATTTATATCAGAATATTTTAAAAAATAATTCTTACCAGATTGAACTGTTGCTGTAGTTTTTCATTTGCATAATTAATGCAAAACTGTTCAAAACTATTTATCTCAAATGTTTCAAATCTGTAAAACAAAAAATATGGTAAGAGAAGAAAAGATAACAAGTAGTTTGTAAAAAAAATATTCAAAATGTGCATATTAGAAAGAAACAGAAATTCCCCAACATTGTGAAACTTTCTTATTATATCAGTAAAGATAAAGGTTTTTAAGTCAGTACATGGGGTATGTACCCAGAAGAAAGGCATCAGTCAAGTGGCACAGAGATTTTTTAAAATATTCTGACATGTAGATGAGCTCAGCAGTATAAGTTTTTGAGGGCCAATCCATCCCCAAGTGGGGAACACTTGGTATTATGATAAAGCCATTGCTCTTATCAGTGTATAGACTCAATGTATAGACACACATAGAAGGGAACTGGGGATAGATATCTCATAGGTTTTTTTGAAAAATTGAAGCAGTTAATGAAAAATTAGGCATCAAAAAGCACGATATAAAGGAAGGATTTTAACAGTTAAAGAAGGGTACCTAGAGAAAGAAAACTAGCAAATAAAATTAATATTTTTAGAAATTCTCTTGTAATTTTTCCTTCTTACCAGTAGAAATCAGAATCAAATACCCATGTAGAATTACTAGAAAATCCCTAAAAAGAAATGCTCTCTGACAGGCCACTAAGCTTAATATGCCTACCCATAAATGTCCAGCACACCAATAAAAGAGTGCTGCTTGACAGCAGAATGGAGCGCTTGATTGACATGATCTACGATCCAGTTAAAGAGTTTGGCATAGATGTGCTTAGCCAAAGCATCACGGGCATTCGTGGCCTGCAGCTTGGAGATGGGCTTGATGTATGTCTCTGTGGCAGTGGCTAGCTTCCGATGGCAGAGCCAGTGACACATCTCCTCATAGTTCACACCCATGAGGTCACAGAAGATGCTGAGAGGTTCATGCTTGGGCTGCCAAAAGAGAATGGGTTATCTCCTGTGACAAGATCAATCAAGTAAGAATTTACTGAAAAATACTAACAAAGTGGTAATAAATAACACCCAGCAAATTCTTTGTTATAACAAACACCCAAATCACTGAGAGCTGATCAGTGATGATGATAATTAAAATTATCCATCAAACCAGCATCTTAGCAGCTTATGCAATCTCTTCTAAGGCTCATTTTAAAAATCACCTGTCTCTTCAGAGTACTTGTTTGTATCTCTTTTCAGACACACTCAGTCAGTCAATCAGAAAATCAGCCATCAACAAATATTTACTGAGTGCCTATTATATGCCAGTAAACAAAAAGACGCCGAGACCGGTTTGGCTCAATGGATAGAGCATAGGCTTGGGGACTGAAGGGTCCCGGGTTCGATTCCGGTCAAGGGCATGTATCTTGGTTGCGGGCATATCCCCAGTAGGGGGTGTGCAAGAGGCAGCTGATCGATGACTCTCTCTCATCGATGTTTCTAACTATCTCTCTCCCTTCCTCTCTGTAAAAAATCAATAAAATATATTATAAAAAAATAAAAAAAATAAAAAAGAGACAGGGTCTCTGTCCTCCTGGAACTTATAGTTCTAGGTGAAATGGATATTCAACAAATAATTGCTCCCCAACATGTAATCCTATATAATGAAGAGCTAATATGCTAATTAAACCGAACAGCAGAACAACCTTCCAGAATGACCTTCTGGAACAACCAGGGGATGGGGGCAGGGCTACAAGGCAGCTGGGGCTACAAAGGCCAAACCCCTTGCATGATTTCATACATCGGGCCTCTAGTATTTACTGTAAAGGAGAAGGACACTACAGTAAGATTGCAGGTGAGATGCATGTGCCCTTTTCAGAGAGGCAGGAGAAAGCTGCCTTTAAATAAGGAGTTCAGATCTGAAAGACAAGAATGTATTAAGTTGGTGAAAGGGGGAGGAAAGGGTCTTCCAAGCAGAGGGAATAGCTGATATAAAAATCCTGCAATGGGAGGGTGACATCAATATGCGGGACTGAAGTTGAGAGAGGGAGAAGATCTATGTAATAAGGCCAGAGACAGGCAGAGGCTATACCACGGCTGGTCTTTATCCTGATAGCAATGGGAGGCCACTGAAGGGTTTTAAAAAGATAACTTGATAGTTATGTGTGCAACTTCTTACATTAGAATCTCTTTAATCACTTATATATCTAGGGTATCTACACTAATAAAAAATAAATATGCAAATTAACCGTACCTCCACGGTGCCCATCAACCAATCAGGAGTGACTATGCAAATTAACCTAACAAAGATGGGTTAATTTGCATACACAGGCATGAAGCAACTGGGCGGGGTGGGACACCTGCTATGAGGGGGAGGGCAGGGGGCAAAGGGAGCTACAGGAGCAGTGCTCCATCTGGGAGTGAAGACTGCAGGCTCCCTGGCAGCCGGGAGCGAAGCCAGGGGAAGGAAAACCTATTCTTGCATGAATCATCATGCAACGGGCCTCTAGTCTATATAATAAAGAGGTAATATGCATATTGGTCCTAACAGTGTCACAATGACAACCAATTTGCATATTTACAGACCAGCAGGAGGCTGTGCACACAACAAGGGGACTTGCGTGAGGCTTGCTTTCGTGCCCCCAGCCCGAGTCCTCTTTTTCTCCCAGTTGCATGCACCTGACAAACACTCCCACAACACCACACCCCATCGAGAGCACTCTGCCTGGGGACGCCACCAACTCCTCCCACCTGAGGTGGGGGCCCCAAGGGTCAACACCAGCTCGGCAGAAGGCTGGTTCTGGAGGTACAGTAGGCAAACGCCAACTGTGGGGCTCAGGCATTAGAGGTAACCACTGGGAGGGGTTGCACATGCAAATCGAGAGGGTGTGGACCCAACACAAAGGAAGGCCCAGGCAAGACAAGAGAGTGGATGTTGAGGTAAGGCACTGGGCTTGGATGGGCCACCGGGTAAACAACACAGGGATCCCACTGCCACAGACACACAGGGCGACCCCACGATGCTCGGGACGCTGGTAGATCCTCCAAAGCGCACAACCTCAAAGCCTCCTCCAGCTGCACAGATCCAGCTTCAGGACTCGGCCTCTTGAACCCAGCCCTGCTACTGTGGAGACCATAGGCGACTCTCACACCACAGGGAAGCCGTTGTAGCTTTCTCCATCCATCCATCCATCCATCTATCCATTCATTCATCTGCCCGGTCCAACCCAGACGGGGGCTTGCATCCAGGGCAGAATACCCCCACCCCCCAAGTCGGGCCCTAACAGTGCCTGTGCAAGCACATCCCGTCACCTGTGAATTTTGGAGGGGATCAGACAGAGAGTCCCTCCAGGCATGGAAGCAGGTACTCGGCCCGGGGGGTGGGGGGAAGCGAGCAGGAGGGGGAAAGGCCTCTGCGTAACCCCCTTCAGCACTCAACAGGAGAAAAGCCTCGCAACGTGCAAGTATGTAATGCAGCGGTCCTGCAATGGACACCAGCCCCAGCTGGCTGGACCCTCCCCCAAGTTGGAGAGGGAAGGCATGGGCCACAGTAGGCAAGATACAGCTGGTTGTTACATGGCCCCTCAAAGTGGTTACTGGTCCCAGAGAGGAAAGCAGTCAGTACTAAGAGAGGATGAAAAGCATAGAATTTTTAATTAGCCTATAAAAAGAGTAAAAGAGTGATGGAGAAGTGGGGGGAAATGGGGAAGAAGGGAAGGAGGGAGGGAGAGAAGAACTTTATAAAGGAGTCAGTAGAAAACAGAGTTAAAGGAAAGAGGATGTGTTAGTGAACTGTAGGAGCTATAATGAAAATCAAGTAGAGTTGTGTACTAGGGACAGATTTTAAAAGTAAGAGTCAGAAAAAAAAGAGATAAATGATAGTGAATAATCAGGTAGGTAGATAAATATTAAAACAGTGGAAGTAAATAGAGAAGAATGTATGGGAAAGATAGGATAAGAGAAAAAGAGGTAGGGAAGGAAAGTTTTAAAGGGGATCTGGTAGAGCTTAAAACGAGAATGGTAAAAAGGAAGAAATAGGGGAGGGAGCAAAGCAGATCCGAGGGAGGAAGTGAAGAAAAAAATTAAGGTGGGAAGGAAGGAAAAAGGGAGGGAGGGGTAAAGATAAAGGAAAGAAGTTATGTGGGGAGAGAGCGTAAGAGGGAGGGTAAGGGAAAGATGGAAAGAAGGATGATGGAAAAAGTAGGAAATAAGGAGGGGAGAAAAGTTTATAAATGATGAGTTAATAGGAAAGTGTTACATAGAGGAGAGAGAAAAGTTGTGTGAGAGGGAGAAGTCAATAAGGAAGTCAAAAACAATTGTGTGTAAAGGGAATAAGATTTAAAAAAAAAAAGTTAATAGGGGTAGGGTTGCCTCCCATATGTCCCCTGACAGGGGATGGACCCTCAACCTTTTGGTGTACAGATGACACTCCAATTAACTGAGCCACCTGGCCAGGGCTAATTTGCTAATATTTTCTTGAGGATTTTTACATCTATGTTCATGGATGTTACTGCTCTTGCAACCAGCATCTTTGATTTTGTTACTATGGTAATGCTGGCTTCACATAATGAGTCAGGAAGCAGTTCCTCTTTTTATCTTCTGGAGGAGGTTGTAATGTATTGGTATAATTTCTTTCTCATCTAGTAGACTTTACCACTGAACTCATCTCAGCCCTTTGCTTTCTGTGTGAAAAGGTTAATATTGATTCAATTTCTTTGACTTGAGATTGAGGCCTGTCAAGATTGTTTGTTGCTTCTTGTGAGCTGTTGTAGACCGTGTCTTTAAAGAAATTGGTCCATTTTGTCTAAATTTACAAATTTGAAAAACATAAAGTTGTACATTGTTTCCCCAGTACTTTGCACTTAATGACCTTGGAACCTGTAATTATGTTTCCTTTCTTATTTCTGACATTAGTAATATGTGTTATCTCTCTCTTTCTCTTAATTACCTGGCTAGAGGTTTATTGATCTTTTTTAATAACCAACTTTGTTTTTGTTTATTTTCTCTATTATTTTTAACTTTATTAATTTTTGTTCTATGTTTTATTATTTTTATGCTTGCATTAGATTTATTTTGTCAACTTTTTCTAGGTTTTAAAGGTGGGAGCTTAATTATTGATTTTAGATCTCTTCCATTTATGTATTCATGTTTAAAAATTTCTCTCTAAGTAAAAGTTTTGCTGCATCCTAAAAAAAAAAAAAAAAAAAAGTTAATAGGGGTGACCAGGCTAGCAGGGGAGAGCAATTAGGGGGATCAAGCTGGCAGGAGAGAGCAGTTAGGTGGATCAGCAGGCAGAGTGGTTAGGACAGGCAAGCAGATGAGCAGTTAAGAGGGAGAGGGTACAGGTCGGGCTGAGGGACTGCCCTCCCACCCCTGTGCACAAATTTTGTGCACCAGGCCTCTAGTAATAAAATCAGAAAATTAGCAATGATAAAACTTTATTATCTAACCCATAGATCTAATTCAATTTTTGCTGATTGATCTTAATAATTTCTACTATGAAAAAACAAACATACAAAACATTTCTATGGTCCAAAATCCAATCTAGTTTCATTCAATGAATTTAGCTATCATGCTTAATTAATTTCTTTTAATTTTTAAAATTTTATTTCATAATTGATTTTAGAGAGAGGGCGGGGAGGGGGAGGTAGGAGAGGAGAAGAGACAGAAAGACAGAGAGAGAAAGAAACATCGATTTGTTGTTTCATGTTCTATTTATTTATGCATTCATTGGTTGATTCCTGTATGTACCTGACCAGAGATCAAATCCGTGACCTTGGTATACCAGAATGATGCTGGAACCAACTGAGCTATCTGGCCAGGAGTCATTAATCTCTTTAATCTGAACACTTCTTCACTCTTTTTATTTTTTCATTTGTGATCATGACATTTTTTAAAGGTCTGTCCCTGGATTTGGGTCTGCATGATAATATTGCCTCATGATTAGATCTGGGTCATGCATTTTTAGCAGGAATATCAGAGAAGTGATGTTGCACTCTCAGTACTCCATGTTAAAGTTATGTGATGTTGCTTGGTCCCATTACTGGTCATGTCCATTGTGGTCACTTGGTTAAAGGAATATCCACTAGAATTCGCTACTAGAAAGATAACTATTTTTCCCTTTGTAACTAATAAGTAATCTATGCAGAGTGCTATTTTTTGCAGCCCAATACATTATTATTATCATTGTTTTAATTAATCACATTTTATCTATATTTGCCTGAATTTTACTAGACTATTAAATCATTTCTTCTCACATTTTAGATCTTCTATCAGGGGTCATTTTCCTTTCCTAAACTATGTCCTTTAATATTTCCTTTAGTAAGGGCCTATTGGTGACAAATTTTCACAAGTGTCTACTTGTCTAAAAATACTTCTATTTTTCCTTCATTCCAGAAAGATATTTTTATTGGATATACAATTCTAAGTTAATAGTGACTTATTCTATAACAATAAAAATAGTAGTCTACTGTTTTCTGTCTCATTGTAGAAATTGGAAAATGAGCTCTCAATTTAATTGCTATTTCTTCAAGAGTATTGCTGAATGTCATATTTTTCTGCCTGTTTAAAGATTTTTCTCTCTGCATTTGGTATCATTATGGTACTTAGAGATGGATTTTCTTTTTATTTATTTTAAATGGGATTTTTTGGACTTTCCAAATCTGTAGCTTGGTGACATTTCACAAGTTATGAAATTAGTTAGAAATTATCTTTTCAAACATTATGTCTGTCTTATTTTCTTCTTTCTCTGTCAGAAATCCTCTTTAGATTACAGCTAGAATTTATTACTCTATCCTTCATCTCATTTATCTATTGTTTTTAAGTGCTTCTTCTTACATTTTGGATTCCTTCCCATTTAGCTTCTAGTTTTCTCTTTAGTTGTGTCAAATCTGATATTAATTTTTTTCTTAGATTTGACTTTGTTATTCTGTTATTTTATGTAGGTCCATCTATTTTGCTTCATTGTGGTATTTATGATTTTTTACTATGAGCCAATATTTCTTGTAACTTTTCTCAATTCTATTGATGCCCTGATTGAAGGTGGATCCTCCAAAGTAAATTTGCCCTTGCTTCTGTCCAACATCTAGAACACTACCATTCCAGGACAAATTTAGCTAAGTTTTCTCCATGTAGCTTTCTGGGTTTATCCAGGAACTATGAAATCAGCCTGGGAGTATGTGTGATGCTATAAATTTTTAGGGAACTATATTTTCCTCCTTTATTTAGCACCAAGGCTTGAGCCTGATGAAATTTTCTTAGTACTCTTGAAGTGGGTAGTGGACAAGTTTATTATTGGTTTCCCGATTAGGGTCTCCATTTTAATAGTGGTTCCCATATTTGTTGCCCTATTTATGAAAGGACTAGACTTTATCTTTTCTCTTCTGCATCCCACTTGGCTATGAAATCCAAAGCTCATGGCCATTGGGTTTAGCAAATTTCCTCAAGATGAGTCTTAACTTCAGGGTTCTGCTTTGTTCTCTGCATCCCTATTTCTACCAAGTTTTAACCTCTGAGTGGTTCTTATGTGTTTTTAAAAAATATTTTAAAATACAATTTATTCAGTATGAAGATCAATCAGAGCACTTAGTCCAAAAATGAGGTTCAAAGTCCCAAAAAACAGAGTAAATAACGAAGTTCGGACTGAACTGAAACAAGAGATACTGAAACATGTATTTCAAAACTAAAGTTGAATTTACCCAAATTTAAGTCACAAGTTAATCTACATGTAAATTTGCTAATATCAACTACGATATCTGAAGAATGAAACACAAATCTCAAGATTATCTTCTATTACAGTCCTTGAAGAAGCAGGTTGGAAAAATAATTAATTAAAACTTCCTCTATTTCAATAAAGTTAAAAAATACTTAATAAATACATATGCTCACGCGTGCACGCATGCGTGCGTGCGTGCGTGCGTGCGTGCGTGCGTGTGTGTGTGTGTGTGTGTGTTATCTTTGATGATAATGATCAGCAAACACTACAAATCACAAATGCCCAATCAGGACAATTGACTGTTAGGTTTGTTAGTTTAAACAAATGTTTCCACATGTGGAAGTGGGTTTTAGTTCTGTGTGCAGTCATCACTATGTACGGAAGAATAGGTAAATCATAATGAAGACACCCTGTCTCACAGCCATCTAGTCTCTCTTCCTAGGAGTAACCACTGCTAACAGTTTCTTCAATACTTTTTTAACCATATCAGCTGGAGAAAAAAATAAAGTTATCAATTCTTGGCACATGTGCCAAATAAAACCTTCTCCCTAGACTCATCAATCCAACATCCATTTCTGACCTCTGTTTATACAGATCAGACATGTATACAAGTTTGAGTCTCTTCTCTCTCTCTCTCTCTCTCTCTCTCTCTCTCTCTCTCTCTCTCTCTCTCTCTCTCTCTCTCTCTTACACACACATACACACACACAATCACTGTGCCCCAGGGATTAGAGCCCGTATTTATTTTCACATGTTTGATAATTATCTCTCTGATGTTAATAGACTTCAAATATATTTATTCCATAAAGAAGCAACAAATCTAATACAAATCAATTGCCATCACACCAAGCTTGTTCTGAACTTACAGGTATTGCGCAGCTGTCTGAATCTCGAGATGTAAATCCAACGTTACCTAGGTGAAGAATGCCAGCAAGTATTCGGAAAATTCCCATCTGATAATTTTCACTAATTCCTTAAACAATAAACGAGTAGTGATTAACTTTAAAATAGCAGACAACTTTAAGCCTATGTGCCTATTTTGATTCTTAAATAATTATAAGCCTAAATTTTTAAACATTGCCAGATATTGTGCACATTATAATGTATCATAATTAACATTATCTCCATCATGGTTGAGAGCATGAGGTGTGTAGTGAGACATGCCTGGCTCTGCTCCCAACCTGCCACCTCACATGGGCATGTAGCTTCCCCCTTCTATGCTTCTGTTTTCTCATCTGAGATATGGGAATAATTGTTACTATCTCAAAGAGTGATTATGAACATTAAATGTGACACATGGTAAATGCTAAGCAAATTATCATCAGCGTCATAAACTAGATTTAAGTATTTTATTAACACTTTCACCTTTTGTTTTTATCTCTACTTCAAATGCAAATTATAGCCCAATAAGGCAGTTTTAAGTCAGATTTTTTAATTACTTCTTTTAACTACAGACCAAGTATAAGTCAAAGAGACCCCAAGATTAGAAGTGTTCAGGCTGATGAATGAGTGTCCATGTGCAGCATTAAAGTGGGACCTAAGTGTAAGGGAGGATAAGAAAGCTGGAGAGCTCTTAGCTTTTGATCAGATCTGGTTTCTTTTTTCAATAAGATAAGAATTTCCAGAATATTAGATGTGTATACATACAAGTAAATATAGTAAAATTATTTCCAAATGTGTAATCATATCCAGGAGAACTAATCATTGATCTTATAATGAATGTTCATACCATCTCCTGTGTTATGTTTGTTTTCTGATTTTCTACTTATAAACAGACTTATGCCTAGAAGGCAGTATTTTTCAAAATTTAATATGCATATGAGTTACCAATGTATCTTGTTCAAATGCAGATTCTGACTCGGTAAGTCTGAGTTAGATCTGAGATTTTGAATTTTTACAAGTTCTATCGTGGTCCTGGACCATACTCTGAAAAGCAATTAATGCTTTTCAATTAAATTAATTCACTTCAGAGTACCCTCAAAATTACCAACATACAATTTTAGATTTATTCATATTCTGAGGTTTTTATATAAATAATTCATAATTAAAATCATACACTAAGTTCTAAAGAATTATTTATTTATATGTAGATCTAATATTTGTTAAGTATCAGATAGAAGACAGTGACATCTGAGTCATTTCAACAAGAGAAAAAACTACATTTAATAATACATTGTTTTGTTACCCAACCAGCTCAGTCACATTTCCCAGCCACAGAAAACAAACAAAGAAAAAAACACCCTGCAAAATATGAACCCATTTAATTTACCTCTAGGTTTTAAATTTTGTAAACACTTAAACAGTTAATTAGTCCTACCTCTGATGTCCTGAATGTGCATTTTAAATAGTTTTATTGACTGATTATTTGTATACCTTAAAATTCCCGTTTTAAGTATGCAATTCAATGACTTTTACTACATTTACAAAATTGTGCAACTATCACCACAACCTAATTTTAGAACAGTTTCCACCCCAGCAAAACACACACACACACACACACACACACACACACACACACACACACAAAACAAACAAACAAACAAATAAAAAACTAGTGCCCATTTGCTTTCCAAATATGTTTTCTAAGGAATGTTAAATATCCCTCAACTATACTCACCACTTATATGAAGCCACGTCAACAATGCAAATAAAGGTTGCTTGAGTCAAAAGGTTATTGCTCATAGAGCTCAAGAATAAAATCACATTACCTAGCAAAGTGCAGGCCTGCCTGGTATGGGCCATCTCCTTGGCATCATCGATTCCTTCAATCACTGGACTGCCACCTTGCTTCGTGTAATGAAAGTGATTTGCATTTCCTGCAAATAAAAAGAAAAAGATTCGTACTCTATAAAAAAGATTTCTACCCTTTTGTCTACTCTGAATTAGGAGCAATGTCACCAGTTGAGTGTATAGAGTCGGGAGTTCCACTGCCTGTGTTTTCAATTACATTTTAATACAAAACTCAAAATTATATAATAAAGTGAAATGTTTATAGTTTGTTTATCTTATTTGGTGAAACGAGTAGTCTTTTCCTATACTGGTATTATTCCAATCGACATGCTTTAAACACTTCACTCCCCTCATCAGAAACTTTGCAGGCTTCCATCTCATACACTCCTTTAACTTTTTTTAGTAAGGCAAATTTCAAACATGTACAAAAGTAGAGAGACTAATATAATGAGCACCTGTGTATTCATCATTCATCTTAAACAAGACCAATCTTGTTTCATTTAGACAGCTATTCCTCCATCCTTATCCCATGGGTTATCTTGAAGCCAATTGCAGACCTCTTATGTCATCCATAAATATTTCAGTATGAGATAATCTGCTTTGTAACAAGTAAGCTTATAAACTCATAATTAACATAATTTAACAGAAAACAATACTAGTGCAATAAGTTTAATGCCATATTCTTACCTAATCGCAATATTTTAAATTCAGGTAACTTTGCTGAGGCACAAAGCTGATAAAAGATATGATAGTTTCTTTCCTCTTCTGCCTTTAAAATAAGAAGAGTTTTCAGTTACAGCATTTTAATCTAAAACTCAGAAAATTCAAACATAAATAAAAATTTAATATTGAATTATCTTGGTGCAATAAACTGTCCTTTCCCAAATTTCCTAACATGTTTTTATGATTACTAAATCTTATGATTTATTAGCCATGTGCAAATGAGTATGTGTGCATCTGTTAGTCATATTCAACATAAAATATCTTATAGTAATGCTTTCTAAACTTGTGAATAGCTTGATATATGCCACTGTCATAAGAGATCACTGCCGAAACCAGTTTGGCTCAGTGGATAGAGCATCAGCCTGTGTACTGAAAGGAGGTCCCAGGTTCGATTCCAGTCAAGGGCATGAACCTTGGTTGCGGGCACATCCCCAGTAGGGGGTGTGCAAGAGGCAGCTGATTGATGATTCTCTCATCAGTGTTTCTGACTCTCTATCCCTCTCTTTTCCTCTGTGTGAAAAATAAATAAAATATATTAAAGAGAGAGAGAGAGAGAGAGAGAGAGAGAGAGAGAGAGAGAGAGAGAGAGAGAGAGGGAGAGAGAAAGAGAAAGAGAGAGAGGGAGAGATCACTGCCTTTGAGGGAAGCTAAAATAATTTTTTAGAATACTCAATATTTTCTCATAGTGCCTCTTAGACTCAGGGTCTTCCTAACACCTTGGATGACAAAGAATACGTTACCTTTGCCATAATGTAGGCAGGACTGTGGTTGTTTTAAGAAATTCACAAATATTCTAAATCTTGAGTATTTTGGCTTATATATTTTAACTAGAGGCCCAGTGCACAAAATTCATGCATGGGGGTGGTACGGTGTCCCTCAGCCCAGCCTGCACCTCTCCAATCTGGGACCCCTTAAGGGATGTCTGACTGCTCATTTAGGCACAATCCCGATAGCAGTCGGACATATATGTGTACATACCTGGAACACCACTCGGGATTTCTCTAAAAGGTAAGTTCTCATATTGGCACCAATGATTCGATATCTCTTATCAAAACCAATCTCAATATACTTCCCAAAACGGCTGCTATTATCATTCCTGGTTGTCTTAGCATTTCCAATTGACTAAGAAAAAAGGAGGGGAAGGGGATAAGATTTTATTATTTTTTTTTTTTTAATAAACGTATTCGGGTGACATTGGTTAATAGGATCATATAGATTTCAAGTCTACATTTCTGTGATACAAGATCTGTATATATTGCACTATGCTCACCACCCAAAGTCAAACCATTTTTTAGAAGTGCAATTCATGACAAGGCATTTACAGAGTTGGTTCACGGAAAGGACAGAGTTACACAATCCTTTAAAATTGATTCTTTTTAAGACCAGAACAAATATTGCCTCTGTGGGCACAAGTGTATTTTTTGCTCACTGCACAACCACACTGGTATATACTAATAGATTCCATCTTCCCTATTATTGTCACACAAATTATTTTCATTAACAGTAAACCTGAACCACCACTGGAGGTCTTCACACACCATGTGTAGTATCTGGACATGTTCATTAATGGCAGCAAAGAAACAGAACGAATGGCACTGGGAGATGCCAAGGCATAAACCCTCTTAGTTGAACATCAGGGTTTTGATTTCTTAAAAATCTTAAGTCTGTTTTATTTTAATAAGCTGGCTAAGTCAAATTAATATTCTCCTGAAAAGTAGCCCTGGTGTTCAGGATCTCTTTAGCAGAAGTTCCTATCAGCTCACCCTGTGACAACAAAGGTCCAGTTGGAGAATTAGTAACTACTCCATTCAAAACCACTTTCAGAAAGCAGAGACAGTAAAATTTGGCTTTGAATTTTGGTAGTATTATCTAACTTGCAAAACATCTGCTACAGAATGCAGAGAATGTAACCTTCTTCTAAATTTTTAATATAATCTTAAAAATTAAGATAACATGCTTCTAACATTTTTTCTCTCAGCAAAGCAAAAAATATGGCATAGTTAGAAAAGCAAGAGTTCATAAAATGCATATATTAAATCTTCAAAATGATACTTTCATAAAATTAATTGCTTTACTTGTGCAAAGTCTGTGACTATCAAGATTAGTATATTAAAACCATAGCAGTAAGAAAGATATGAAAATGCTCTGGAGTGTTAAAAAAAAAGGGGTGGGAGCAATAGAAATATGTGATGAAAAAAGTAGCATATCCACAAAAGTCAACATATTAGACTATCTGCTCCATCAAAGAAAATGTATTTTTGCTCTCTGAAATACATGGCAGGTATTGCTCTATTTTGTTTTGGCAATGAGAATACTGCTGCATTTCAATTAATATTTTTAATGGAAAGAATGACTGAAAGCTATTTTCCCAGCAAAAATAACAGAGTGACATAATTTCACAAGATATTTATTAAAATATCCACCTTCTTTTTTTTTTTCTAAAATACTCACAAGGATATGCTTTGTTATTGATCTTAGAGAAGAAGGAAGCGGGAAGGGAGGGAGTGAGAGGGGGATGAAGGAAGGAAGGGAGGGAGAGGGGGATGGAGGAATGGAGGGAGGGAGGGGGGGGAAAGAGAGAGAAAGAGAGAAGGAGAGAGGGAGGGAGGGAGGGAGGGAGATTGGTTGCCTCCTATACACGCCCCAACTGGGGAAAAACCCCACAACCTAGATTTGTGCCCTAAACCGGAATTGAAACCACACCCTTTTGGTATATGTGACGAGGGTCCAAGCAACTGAGCCACACCACCCAGCCAGGGCTCCCCTTCTTGATATTATAAAAAGCACAGTAGTTGAAACCAGTTTGGCTCAGTGGTAGAGCGTTGGTCTGCGGACTGAAAGGTCCCGGGTTCAATTCCGGTTAAGGGCATGTACCTTGGTTGCGGGCAAATCCCCGGTAGGGAGTGTGCAAGAGGCAGCTGGTCGATGTTTCTCTCTCATCGACGTTTCTAGCTCTCTATCTCTCTCCCTTCCTCTCTGTAAAAAAATCAATAAAAATATATATTTTTTAAAAACACACAGTAAAAAGTCTCCATATATTCCCATTATTTTTATTTTGTTTAGAAAAGGAAATTAATAATAAATGCAGAATTTCCTTTCAATACCATATATTCTGTGAAAGAGCAGGTGGAGAGTTACAGCAGCAGCACTGGCAGCAGTAGTAGTTGCAGAGTGCTTACCAGGCACTATCCTAAGTACTTTTCTGTCAGCAACTAAGCAAGTTAGGGAAAGGTGAGCTGTAGTTTCCCCTCCCTCCCTTCCTTATCTCATCCTCCTTATGGCATCTCTCTCCTCTCTACTCAGAGTGGAAATTAGAGTGGCCAACCTGCCTAAACAATACTATACAGTACTCAATGAGAAGAGACAGTGGGTAGTTAAGGGTTAAAACATACACCTTTACCTTTGAGTAAAAGGTACTTATACCCAGAGCAAAAAATGATGGGGGGGAGCCAATGAAATAGAAGTCTAAAGATGTGGATATCAGACCAGGCCCTACTACCAACTTGCCATCATTTAATCCAGGGGTGGAAACCTTTTTTCTGCCAAAGGCCATTTGGATATTTATAACATCATTCAAGGGCCATACAAAATTATCAACTTAAAATTAGCCTGCTCTATTTGGTCAAACATTTAATTAACTCACCCCTAATGTCTTGGCATGCCAGACCAAACAATTTTGTGGGCCTTATATGGCCTGTGGGCTGGATGTCCCCCTCCCCTGATTTAATCCTTTGAGGAGCTTTAGTGTCCAGAAGTATAAACTGCCTAGGATAGCCGAAACCGGTTTGGCTCAGTGGATAGAGCGTCGGCCTGCCGACTGAAAGGTCCCGGGTTCGATTCCGGTCAAGGGCATGAATATTGGTTGTGGGCACATCCCCCATAGGGGGTGTGAAGGAGGCAGCTGGTCAATGTCTCTCTCTCATCGATGTTTCTGGCTCGCTCTCTCTCCCTTCTTCTCTAAAAAAAAAAAAATGAATAAAATATATATTTTTTAAAAATGGTAGGATACTACTGCTCTAAGTTAAAAAAATAATAATAATAAAATAAAAAAATAAACTGCCTAGGATAGATGAGCTTTCAGGTTCTTTTAAAATAAAAAGACATGATTCTAAGCCTTGAACCTAATATGGGAAGATGGTTCTATATTTAAACAGTACCTTTTGTCCATTCTCCCTGTTTCCTCTGTTTTATAAGTATTTACAACAGCCTCCCTTAATGCTATTTTCATTTCATTCAGCAAGAAATTGCTACAGGAAAGGAGAAAATTTGTGATCTTGATTTTACTATTCACTTCAGTAAAATGTTCTGTGATTTATTCTTCTTCTTTACTAAATGAAGATGAAATTCTTCAACTACAGTTACTGAGGATGAAAAACAACAATTAAGAAAGACCCAATCTTCTATGTCTCATCATAGGGCAAACATTTCCAGGAGAAAGGGAGAAAAAAGAACGTGATAAAAACAGAACAAAAAGAATTTCTTTGTACATCATTTGTATTTTGCAAAAGGAGCCCATGCTGAGGATGAGGAGCTTGCTTTTTGAAGGATAATGTGCAAATCCTATTAGCCACCGGGCTGTGATGTTAACCATAAAGAATGCTCATTATTCAAGGAGGCATTTCAGCAGCCCATTGGCAACCGGATTCACTTTTCTTGAAATCAAAGTAAAGGGCTCTAATACAACAACATAGTCTTGAGCAGGTTTAAAGCTACAAATTTTATGGGCAACATATTCAATATTGTACCTAGGTTGTTTTTTCTTGTACTGTAAACTCGTTGTCACCATTCGTAAGCCCATATTCCATTTTAATCTTTCAAATTAAGATGCCTTCACTGATAGTTTTTTAAAATTAGTTCTGTTTTTACTGAATTTTCTTTCTCCAAATTCTTATAGAAAAACTAAACAAAAATAAAGATGGAAGTATCTAAGCATAACTGATGGCTTTAATCTTTTTTTTTTTCATCCTAGCAAAGAGGGTAAATTTCTTATATAAGCATATTAAAAATTAGTCTCTGTGGCTATTCCAAATTTTTAATATCACTCCATTAACACAACTGAAATCTGTTGCAGAAAAACCAATGTAGCTATTTTTTGAAGAGAATATAGCAAGGTCATAAACTATTTCATTCGACTTGACATATTTTAGCAGGTTCATTCCAAACTTACATTACTACATGGTCCAGGCCTAGGAAAGATGGGATTTCCTGATACCATCACAATGAAGACTTTGGCATATTCTAACATTAGGGACTAAGAATGGCCTAAACTATTTGTCATATACTAAGAATTCACCGTCATGGCCAAAAACAGTAAAAATAATGGTAAGAAGTGTAGCCCTGTTGTTTCCTGAGCCAAATCCCAAAACTGGCTCTACAGACTGAAATACCCCAATAATAATACTAGTAGCACCCACTGCTGTAGCATAAATTCTTTAAAATCTTAATAGTTGCTTAAAACCTTTACTACTCTCTTCTGGCACAAACTTCTGTTTCCTCCAGTCCATGCTATTTCAGAAAACTTTTCCAGTTCTCTTTCCCCAGGAGGTCTCTTCACTCCCCCAGAACAGAGGTCCTGTGGCTCTAGGCGGCAGCCCTATGGGCAGTGGGTCACAGCATCTGTTCTGAAGTGTCACACACGGCACCGCAAACCAGGCACAATTACCTCTGGACTGATTATTGCAAAAACCACTTGTACCACGGGTGAACCAGGCCAGTTCTAAACTCCATCTGTGTTTGGGTGGCAAATAAGGCTTGACAAAGAAAAAAACAGGAATAAAATATGCTGATTTCAGTTTTAATAAGAAAGATTTGTTTCTGAAAACTAATTTCTCTCCATTTAATAAGACTTATTTTCCTCCATTTAATGGGAGTACTTAAATGTAACTTTCCTAGAATCATATCAGACAGATAATTCTCTACTTATAAATACTAAAATTCTCACATAAATAGGTCCATTTTCTTTGGCACATGCATCTTCTATTTGATATACATATTTCACTTTTTAAAAGTTCTTCCTTTCTCAAGAATGTATAGTTATTGAATTTCTTTTTCTAACCTAAAATTGTGTGATATGCTTGACAGAAACATGAAGGAAAATGTTTACAAGATCATGATTTAAGTTTATAGTTTAAATCTGGAAAAAAAATTCAAATTTTATAAACAGGTTGGGCTAAGTACAGAAAATAAAATGTGAACAAAGGAATAATGAAACTCATTCATGCTTGAACTCAGTGAATCCTATATTTTGGAAGGAGCTTAAATAAGAACCCAGGATTGAGGGGAAATTAATAACTTATACTTCCAGAACAATGAGCAATAGATTTGAGTCAATTAACTGTGAGAAAGAAACTTCAGGAAATGAAGTAGCATTGCCAGCTCTTTAGAGGCAACGATTCAATGTTAGGTTGAAAATGCAGGATTATGAAATAAAGTAAATTCCTCTACAGCTGAATTTTACTCAAAATATCTAACTTCTTGAATATTTATTGTTTCTAGATCTCTCACTAACACGTGGAAAAGTATTTTCCTACTTTTAGTGGGTAGGAGATCCCAGACTTTCTCACATGTGCTGTATCTTTTTAACAAGAGAATATAGTAAGAAGGCAAGCCTGCTGTCTTACCTCCATGATGGGGTTGGAAGCCAAGACCTTTTCCTCAACATTGGCTTCACTGGCAGAACCACTTACAGTGGCAAAGTATCGCATGGCATACTTAGCTGAGACTGTTTTTCCTGCCCCAGACTCTCCACTTACAATGATGGATTGATTTCGTTCATCTCTGTAAAACAAAGAAGAGTAACTGACAGGGCTACCCACTTCTGAATGTAATTAACATTTCCTCTGTGTTCCCATCAATGAGCCATAGTGAGTTTCTATAGGTTCATACATGCAACTACATGGGAAAGAAGTTAAGAATGATATTTCCTAATAAAAATAACTTCTTATAAACTAGCAAGGAACAGAGAGGGAGAAGATATCAAGTTTTAAATTAGAGAACATCATATCTAAAGATAAATCTGAAATCAAGAATCTCTGAATTTTTGTGTGTGTACATATCTCAAACATTATTTCTAGAAAACCATTTTGGTACATTACAGTACCATTGTCTACCACCTCTAAAAAGAAAGGAGTCATTACAAAGGAATTTAGGGGGGGAAAATCCTATTTAATTAAAATGATCAATTGTCTACTAGCTACTAGTTCATAAAGAAGTGTCTCCCACAAAATATCCTCACTCCAGAGAAGAAGTGCTTCATTCATTGGCTGATTTGTTCATATAGCTCAGAACTCAAATACTGTCATTATTATATCTTTACTTTATTCACACAACAACTCAAAAACTCTAAGTGATGAACTTGCTCATAAGACTATCATTTCTTTGGGGATAAGGACCTATGTCATCTTTATCTTCAATATCCAGCACCTAGTCCAGAACATGGCATATCACAAGTGCTCAATAAATCTTTATTATCTATAAGTAAATTGAATTTCAATGAACAACCAAGCCTTGAAATCAATTTTTCTATTTTTGTCTATTATTTCAACGAAGATAGGAGCATTAAATGCTACATCCTGAGACAAAGCCAGCCATCAGCTTTAATTCATCAAAATAACTGAGCAAGAAGAAAATAAATGGGATGAGCAAACAGAGATGACTAGAACCAGCCTGACTTATATTAAATCTTATCCTAAGTAACATTTTTGAGTACCTGCTATGTGCCAGGAATTGTACACAATATTTTCATGCAGTTTCATGCCCATTCTGGATGTCATGTGACAGATGAGAGAACTGGGGTTCAGAAAGTTAAGTGTTCCCTAGCTTAACTATACTTATAGATCCCATAATCTGGACTGATCTCTAGAAGCCTTCTTTTTTTTTCCCCCCACTTAAGTACTTTTGATGAATACTAATGAAAATAAACATATGTAGATATTAATAATTTTCAAACTAGAAAACAAGTGGAGTTAAGCAACAATACATGCTTGGTCAATAATATAGAAAACTTTCTTATCCACAGAAATCTATGACTCTCATACAATTATTTATATATCTAAAATGCATATACTCTCCCATTCCATTTTTTTTCACCACTAGAAAGCCACTGACACAGAGGAAAAAGTTAGATTGACTTTGATAGCTGCCTACAAAAGAGGTTTTTGTAGAAAATTATAATGTCTTTACTTTTGCATCTGGGAATTGTGAAATATTGATAGACTTGTCTAAAATTTTTATCATATCCACCAAAAATACAAATGGGATATATATTTTGTGGAACTCTTCCTAAAAGCAACACTTTCGTTCTTCTGTCATGTTTCATTAAGGATAACTATGTCCTTTATACCACCAATTGTCCCCCAAGCTATATCTATGTGTTCAAAATAACCAGAATATGGTGAAGTCAAGCAAAGACTCTGCCCAGCTGTGGGATCGGTGGGGCCTCACTGCTGGATTAATATGACTATAGATACTTATTTCAATATATTGATTATGACAACAGCTGCAAAGGATTGATCTGCCTAAATGGCTACATGTAAGAAATGCCTGTCATACCAAATTCTGAAAAAAAGTTGAAAACTTAAAAAAACAAACAAAAAAACACACAACTAAGCAAATACATAAAGGTGGTATCAATTGTACCCTTAATTTACAAAGACAAGATGACTTCAAAAGTTTTTAGTGGAACTATCCTACAAGGCCACAAATGGGGGAGGTTATTACACTACAGAAGGTGATCTCTTTATCTTGTAAGAGATTTATTTATCCAACAAATACTTATCAAACGCCTACTAGTTGACTAACATTTTACTAAATCCTACAAATATAATTTACATAAACCATGATTTGCATCCTCTAGTGACTGATGGTTTAATAGGAAAAACAGACTACTGTTTATTTCAAGATTATAATATATGATCAAGGAAGACTCCCTGGAGATGATACCTGAGCAAGGTCTAGAAAGGAGGAGTAGGAGAAAACAAGTACGGGATGAGAAAGTTAGGAAGGAAACATTTCAGGGAAAGGAGGTAACACAAATAAAAGCTCAGATACATGAGAAGTTAGAGAAAAGTGGGTAAACTAACTTTGGCTGGAACATGGATTGATGACAGATAAGGCTGCATAAGTTAGTAAGAACTCGGTCATAAAGGCTTTACGTGAGATGTTAAAGAATTTTACGTTTACCTAAAGGTCATGGAGTGCTTTTGCAGGGCTTTAAACAGAAAATAACACAACTTAGTTAATAAACTCACGCTGGCAGCAATGTGGAATATGGAGGTAAAGGTCCAAGTATGAACAAAGATTGTTATTGAGACAAATGGTTTAAGAGATACAAAATGGTAGTAATCAACAGTACTTGGTAATAAATTTCCAAAGTAGAAATTTAGAACTTTTCTAAGGAAAAGGTTTTTTTCTTTGAGAAAATGAGGTTCACTGACTTATTTCACAGGCTTTAAAAAATACAATAGGAGTATAATACATGCCTGATTAAGCAATTCACATCACACACCAGCACCACATAGCAGCTGTTCCTGAAACTCTGACTCCCATATTGAGGACCCTGATGACACACTAAGGGACGTCCAGTCCTTATAGAACAAGCTTGTATGTAATTCCATTTTTGTGAAACTTCCTGAATGTCATACTCACCATCTCATTTCCTTTTTATTTTAATTTCTAGAGTATACTGGATACTCTCATGGCTTCTTTTCATTCATGGCTGATTTCAAGATGAATCACTAGTAAAATAGTTCTAAAAGGAACCAATGTCCTTTCTTTAAATCATTACAATGTTCTTTCTTTTGGTCATTACAAAGTTCTCAGAATTTAGCTTTTTCAATATATTAAAAAACAGTAAAAAAAAAAAAAAAAAAAAAAAAAAGAAAAGAAAAAAGAAAGAAACTGTATCAGCAGTCCTCAGATTACTTTCTACAATATGATTAGAAAAATGACCTTTTCCTGTTTCTTGCATGATTAGTTCTGTCACTACACCCTGTGTGCTAGCTAACTTGACAAAATTCTCCCAGCACTTCTAATAGCAAACAAGCCGAGGAAGCTCCCACTAGTCTGATGAAAGGACATATTAATGGAAAGGCTATTCTAAACTGCACTGCCTTTGAAAAGCTACTTATTTCATGTTTTAATGACAAAATGTATAAAAAAAAACAAAACAACAAAACACTAAAAATCCATGTAGAGAGCCCTTTCCTATAATATGAAGAAGAAAAATATTAAAGGATTGCTCAAACAAATCAGATTTGTACAAATACACATATACATTCTGATGTCAATCACGTGCCAGACACATTTTTTCCATGATTCATAATCCTATATTCATATAAACAACAATTTTTGAATGTTTTAAGGAACTTTATTATTTTTTATATAAAAGGTAATATCTGTATTACTTCAAAGAGCAATTCTGAAGAACATTAAGATCTCATCAGCATAGAAACAGAGTAACTCTAAAAGGCAGAATCAGAAAATACAAATAACACAACCCTAGCACCAGTTAAAAAATTAATGTTGCCGAAACCGGTTTGGCTGAGTGGATAAAGCGTTGGCCTGAGGACTGAAGAGTTCCAGGTTTGATTCTTGTTAAGGGCATGTACCTTGGTTGCAGGCACATCTCCAGTAGGGGATGTGCAAGAGGCAGCTGATCGATGTTTCTTTCTCATAGATGTTTCTGACTCTCTATCCCCCTCTCTTCCTCTCGGTAAAAAAAAATCAATAATATATATATATATATATATATATATTACAAAATTAATGCTGCCATAGCCTATTTGGCTTGGTGGATAAGAGCATTGGCCTGTGGACTGAAGGGTCCCAGGTTCAATTCGGTCAAGGGTTTCGGGCTCAATCCCCAGTGAGGGGCATGCAGGAGGCAGCCAATCAATGATTCTCTCTCATCATTGATGTATCTCTCTCTTCCTCTTCCTTCCTCTCTGAAATCAAAATTTTTTTTTAATTAATACTAACAGTTTTTAAATGTTTATAAGGGATTCCTTCCTTCCTTCCCTCCCTCCTTCCTTCCTTCCTTTTTAATCCTCACCCAAGGATATTTCTCCATCAATTTTTTAAAGAGAGTGGAAGGGAGAAAGTGCAGGAGGGAGGCAGGGAGAGGAGAGGAGGAAAGGAGAGAGAGATCAATGTGAGACACATTGACTAGTTGCCTCCCACATGCTCTATCCTTGACGGTGACCAGGGAAGTAACCCACACTCCAGGTTTGTGCCCTTGACCGAGAATTGAACCCTCTACCCTTTGGTCTGCAGGCTAACACTCTAACCACTGAATACCACCAGTGAGGGCTATTTCTTACTTTATTATTCCTGACTTTTTGGCACAGAGAATTCTTTTTTTCCTAAGCCCCATAGACCATTCCAATATATAAATAAATAAGCACCACTCTTTCATTATATAAACTTCTCTGAATCCAGATTCCAGTCCTACGCTATCATTTACCAGCTTCATGGTGTTGAGCAATTATATAATCTCTCTGGGTTACAGTTTTCTCATCTTTAAGATTATATAGCATCTAAAGACCTCTTAAAAGCTAAAGTGCTGTGATCTTAAAGTCAAACTTTGTGGTTGATTTTTTAGATGTTGGGTTGGCCACAGCCTGCACTCTGCCAGGGTAAACTCTTGGAACCAGAACAGGGCAGGCCTACAGATACTCAGAGTCTTGAATGGCCATAAATGAGATGGGCAACATTTCTTCTCTGGAGAACCCCTGAATTAAAGATGGGGTTACAAAGAGAACAATAAAGGGCTACAAAGA